CTTAAAAAAGGTTCATATAATATTAAGATTTTCTCACAAATGTACATATTTTAACTCTTGTAATTAATTTAAATTGTAATGAAAGTATTTAAGCTTTAATACATTATGTGATTGATATTAAGCACCTAACTTAACATTAACACTCAATATTTTTAAATATCTACCCCAAAACTATTATTTCAAATAATTAATGTTTTTAAGCCCCAAAAACTTTATATTTTTTTAACAATGCAGTTGGCAAAGTGCAGCAAACAATTCACGTGCGGTGCAAGTGTCCAAAAAAAAAGAGGGTGGGGGCGGGAGTGTGGCGCAAGCAGGGTGTCTTCGTTTTCGGGTCGTATAGGGGATGGTGGTTGTGGCAAGCCGGCAGGGGCAGAGGAATGGCGTGGCACACTCAGTGCTGATAGCAGAAATTCCCCTAAAAAAGAGTTTTTGGTACTTTTGAACGCTTCTGCTGGTGTGTTTGGTGTGTTGTTGGGGTTGTTGTTGTTGTTTCTAAAAATTTGCATAAAAAGCAGACAAACTTAGCATAAAGCGCCGCGGGGAATGAAAGAGAACTAGGCGAACCAAGAAGGGGAAGGTGAAAGACTGAGAGAGAACGAGAAGTCAGAGAACGTGGCACAACGTGCCGGCTACAACTGAAACTGTGTTAGTTTTGTTGGTAATACAAATACAAAAACAAAAACATTAAAAAAAGAACAAGTCGAAAAAAATTAAGAAAAAAAAAAAACATAGCCCCTGGGCCTGAGATCCAAAATAGAACCAGTTTTGTCCAGAGCAGAGTTTTGAAAGCACCAGAGCTCCCCAAGTCACATGCTGCAGTTGCTCCGCTGTACGCCTGGACCTGGCTTGATTTATCTCTTTTTTTGGCCCGCTTAATAATTTGGCCGACAGTAATTGAAAATCGGGCCAGAAGTTCTGGGCCAACAGCATAAACAGTCTTTAGTTCCGTAATTGTTTTGCCTTCGCAATGAACTTTCACATTTTCTTTGACACTTTTCCAACTGCGAAAATGTGCCGTCAATTTTCCTTTTTTTTTCTATACACTGAGAAAAATAGTGGTATTGAAAGAAGGATATTATATAATTTATAGAAAATATTTTAATACACATTTTGAATAATTTTTAAAATTTCTTTAATTTTATTTCCGGTTCTTATTTCTTATTTTTTGTACTGTGCAGTAAATTTTGATTCTTGGGTGTCGCTGGGAATTGCTACCAAAAGTATGAAAATATTCACAATTTTAAAGATCTTTTGCACCAAAAATAGCCGCAGACGCAGTAACAGCATTATCGAAATCAGCGTCAGACAGAAATTCATTTTATAATTGACACGTACTTGAGGTGGTCTTTTGGATATTTTTTTTTAAACTTTTTTACCTTTTAACTTGGCCACGGGCGCCAACAGGAACAACAATATTATGCGACGGAATGGAGCAGAAACTGATGACGAAATTCTCAACGCAAGTGGAGTCGAAAATTTTCCACTGCACGTCTCAGTCTCAGAAACTGCTGCTCAATGATTAGCATAAAGGGTTTGACGATCTCTGGCCTCTTCCTTATTTTTATTTGTTTTTCGATTTTTTATTTAGCTGTTTATTTATTTATTTTTGTTTTTGTTTTTTTTTTCAGTATCGCGGGGGTGACAACAAACAAATCGACCACAGGGCGGATGGCGCAACACAAACACACGCACACAGAATGGAAGCAGAACGGACGAAAGCTTCGATAAAAACAACAGCGAAAAACGCGAATTGGCAGGAAAGGAACCACACAACAACAACAAACAATGTGTGAGCCAAGTGGGGGGGTATTTCGACCTTTTTTTTTATGTATTACTTTTTTATGTTCTTTTTTTTTGACTTTTTATGACTTTCGTCGTGGACTATTCGGTATAGTCCGCGAAACTTGAACTTGAGTTCTATCCGGCAGCACGTTTCCAAGTGATTTACAGTTTTTTTGTGCAGCACGTTTTAAGCGATCGGAAACAGCAGGCCGAACGAGAGAGAGAGCCGGAGAGCGGTTGGCGCCTTAACAGCTGTTGGTGGCGACTCTCCACTCTCCACCCCGATCGTTCTCTTCTCCGTGAACTCTCATCTCTCGCGCCGCGCGAGGCTGATTTTAACCCTTGCCGGCCACGACCCCCAACCCCTGTCCCTTATCTAAATATAAACACTGCCTTTGATTTTTTATCTAAAAATAAACAGCACACTGTCCGCAATAATGTCAATGTTTGCCCAGCAATTCACGCAACGCAAATTAAGTGGCTCCGACGCTCTAATTGATTGATTTGCATTGAATTACTAAGAGAGGAGAAGGACTAAGAGGAGAGCGATGTTGGCCAAGAGGGCTGTACAAAGTATCAGACTGGCTGGGCCATAATTTTAACACACGTCTACATTTCGAATAATTTTGATTGCGGGAACTATACTTCAATATTTATGACGAACAATTGCGCCGAATAATGATTAAACGCAGCCATCAAATGGATGGGTGTGTGCCATTCTTATTTTTGGGGTGAGGTGGTGGGGTAACTGATAACGGTATACCTTAACATTGGTTAGTATTCATGTGTGAGTGTCAAAGCTTTCCGATCACAGAGGCTGGACTTTCCAAATGTGGGCATTTTCCGAAGTACCTACGTCAGAGTTCGATGGATGTGAAAATAACCTTTTTTTTTTGTTCCATTTATTGACTTTTCAATTCACTAGATAGTGCTAATTAAATGCATAAACCCGATTGAAAAGTGGTGCGAAATTTTTGTCATTTCTACAAATTAATTATGGCTATTTGACAGCTATTTTGATCGAGTGCGATAATTTGCGGCTGGGCTCGCTGTTCTGCGAGGAAAATTTATGGAAAGAGCCCTAGGCTTATTTCCTAAGGAGGGGTATAAATAAAGTGTCAAGTTTAAGGCCAAAGGCCCGTCCTCCTCCTATTCGCACTATTAAAAAGTCATTAGATGATAAGAACACAATGTGCGTATGAGTAACATTCGCTATAGAACGAATATCACACATACGCCCAGTAAGGGTTAAGCCAGCCCAAAAGTATGCAGCGATAATGTTAAGAGAGCCAAGACCAAAAGTATACAAAAGCTGAACGATAACACAAGGTAACGTAACCTTCAGCGAAAAAAAGGTAAACAAACCGGAAAAACACTCAAAGGTGAGTGAGAAATTAAGCGCAGGCGTCGCGTTCGAGGTGAAAAGCTCCACTGTCCCAAAACTGTTGCTTTCCTATCCTTGTTGTCCTTGTTGTTGTTGTTCTTCCTCTTGTTTGCCGCTTGTAGTGGACTAGGAGCTATAACTTCATTTTATCATTTGATTTACCTGCAGAACTTTAACAATGCTCACTTCCGTCGCCGAAAGAAGCCCAGCGGAATGCTCAAGTTGTAAGCTTTGTGTTTGTATTTGTGCTAGTATTTGTGTTGCCACCATGGAGGCGGGTGGCACCAGACTAGTGGCGAATGGCGTGTGACGGGTGGCGGATGGCGGATGGCCGTTTGGCTAAGGGTTTATGTGAAACTATCTTTTTTCAATTTCCCCGCATGGCTGCTACTTCTACAGCCCCGTCTCCGTCTCCATCTTGGTTTTCCACTGCCCCGCATAAAACGGAAATGGAAGTTTTGTAAATGTTTTCTTTTGTATTTCTTTGCAGCCACCCATATGCCGCAATAACAGTAAAAGGCAACACCAATACGAGCACACACACACAGACACACACGCACTAATACAGACTAGGTAGCGCCTTTGAAAGATGAGCGAAAATGGATATATGTAGTGGTGGTAGCAAGAGAGGGATGAAGAGCAAGTGCAACACTTGGGGTGGGGTGGGGGGTATGTTGCAAATGGAGTGGCACGATGCGGTATTGGAGGTGTGTGAAGGACCACATGGCCGAGAAGACCTGCCAGAGGCTTAACAATGAAATAGTTTAGTTTTTTGGGGAGGAAATCAAATAAAAATCTACAAGTTTTTCAATGAAACTCTAGCCATTTATTATTAAAAGTTTTAAACTAACAGAAATCATACGTTTAAATATTTTATTCTTGAGTAGAAGCCCCCTTTATAGCCACCCATGTAACCTGCACTTTGGATTTTGGCTTGCAAGAGTTGTTCCTATTCTTTTTTATGACACTTGACGCTTAGCCAAGCCATTCGAAGTCTCCTGTATGGGGCGTATGGCTCTCCTCTTTGTTGATGTTTTTGGGGCGGCGAGGCGATGGAGGTTAAGATGAGCTGGTTGGCAACGTTTTCCGTCATTGTTCGGTTTCCTTCCTTTTTTTTTCTACATATATTTTGCACCTGGAATGCATGGGGGGCTTCATTCGGTTTGCCTTTTCCTGCATTGATAAGAAAGTGCTTTTTAATAGCCCTTACACCCGGATATATGTACACGGAGAAAAAGGAAACAGGAAAAAAAGGACATTAGGAAATGGTTCGAAATGAAGGATATGATTGATTTCAATTATGAATTATAATTGAGTTAAGGGATAAGACTATGAAAAAAAATGTGAATCGTTTAAATGAACCCCCCAATTCTTCTCTCTGTATGCATCCATATGCATCTACTTTTCCCAGTCACTGTAACCTGCTGCACGCAGTCCCCCCTCAAAGCTAGACTATCTTTTGTGACTCACCAGGCCCCACTCTTTTCTTCCGAATTCTTCTCTTTATGAAGCCAAAAGCCCCATCTAACATGAAAAGCCAGAGCGAGAGCGAGCTTTACGATCGCAGCTTTGTAGACCCAGAGACTCGTAGAGTCGTAGAATTCTTGGGTGCTCGGGTCTGATGCGTAGACCTCCGTCAGTTGCTTTCGACGCTTTTGGCCATTAATAATAAACGCTAATAGGAATATGACGCGACTCTCTTGCCTGCAAAAAAAAAAACTAACTACAAACTGATCGCATAATTCAAGGTCGCTCTGTGAAGTAATAACTGCTTTGAAACAAAAAAAAAAAGACCAACAAGTGAAAATTGAAATAAAAAACATACCTTCGTGCTAATGTGACAAATCTAGAGGCCCCCAAAAATACAACAGGCACTCGAGAAATTCAAATTAATTACGCCCGACATGGGGCACAAGCGAATTTGCACACGCTGATAAGATAAGAGCCCAAAGGTGAGTGTTATAATGGAGCAGATGAAAAAAATAAAGTGGAAATCGCTTGGCGAGACAAATCTCTGTGGCTGTAACTGAAACCAGAACTAACCCAAAAAGTCAAAGCAACCACAAAGTGTCGCTGTTGTGGTTAGTATTAGTACAGAGAGAAAAACTCCTAGTACTCCTTGATCTATTAAAATTAAAGCGACAAAGTGATGGAAATGCAAGTAAAGATTTCTCCCACTTTAGTTACAAATCACTTGACGCATGAAGGTACTTTCGTTTCCCCGAAGTGCTATGCATATTAGATATCGGGGACAGGTTTTGGGAGCAACTTCCCCTCGCATCAGGGCCCTCCAAGTACGTAGTACCCCTGCCTGAGGCTTTAGCTTTGGCCTGGGCCAAAGTCAATGAGCTGGGTAATTGTTTAAACAAGAACAACTGCCAACAAGAACGTGCTGCCGGGCATACAAATCGATTGCCATGGCAAATATCACCCATACGCACTGGTGTACCCGCTCTCTCGAGTCACTTCTCCTCCTCCGAGTGCTAATGCCAAAATGTGTGCAAAACGAATATAATGTATAATTAAAACTAATTTGATGACACACTCTGGCGTAAGACGAACTCCAGGAGTCCCTGCCAATTGCGTAATTATTATGTGCACAACACATATGGCTCGTTACACTGACGAAGAGTTGTGTGTGCGTTGTGCGTGGTGGTTTGTACAATGTACTTTTATGTAAAGAATTTTTTAAGTACGCAAATTGACAAACAAACGCAGGCGAAGACGATGGCAACAATTTGCAATTACGCGGCGGCCGAAAGCGGGCCTCGAAATAATTCCTCCCCGGGCTGGCAGCCCCTTTTGCAGCAACGCGACTGCACGCTCCGTTGATGGCTTTAAACGAGAGTGAGAGGAGGCACTGACAAAAATAATTAATAAAAAAAATAATACTTAATTCAGAGAGCTTCATAGTATGATTCAAGTCAAGTTATAACCATTTTAAATAATATTTTTTTAATATTTTCTACAAATTATGGCCCTTATTTCTTACAGTGCCTTCAATACTGGTAGTTGAAGCGAATGCTGTAAGCCATGTTAATAAAGACTAAGTAATAATTAAGTAGTAGGCATTGTGGTTGCCTTGGATTCGGGACTGGCCTGAAACGGCCCGAAAATCCCTCTGACAAATGCATTTACTATACAAGCCATTCCGTCCAAATTAGCCATTCAGTTCAAGTTGGCTTTATCTCCGTTAGAGAACAGTAAGCTCCCAGCATTATAATCCCTGCACCATTGGCTACCAATTAATGCTGCAGCTAGTATGTATGAACTATAGTACCATAGGTCCCTGCCCTGACCAATTCACTTAAAGGCTTAACTTTTCATTCTTTGGCCATTTTATTCGGTTCACGTCCTGCAAAGGACTCCGTTGGCCTCGGGCCTGGCACAGAATGTGCTTAAATAATTTTCGGTAAATATTGAACAAAATTGGATAGCTGCAAATTTGGTTAATCAAGACAAAAACATGTGCACATTTTCATGACAAGCTAATAACTATTGTTTTGCCTGGAATTTCAAGTAAAGTGTCCAGGCTTCAGGCTATGAGAGAGGAATTTAAGAAAATTTAAGCCAAAACTGCATCAGAAAATAAGAAAGTAAAGGATGAGAGGCTATCCTTTCATTAATTAAAAATAAAATTGCCTTCAAGCCGGCATAATTGAGGCAACTTTTGTCATTAGACTGGATTGTATCACAGGGCCCATCAAAGTCACTTCCCTGCTCTGTCATCGCTCCAAAAAGGACTCCCATAAATGCACTCATCTATGCAAACAATCTTTTGAATTGAATTCAGCTGCCGCCAAAGCCAGGTCGAATCATTCAGCCGCTTTCAAAGGCCGGGCCAACCCGACCCGAACCCCGGCTAAGGGGCGGAAAAGTCAAAATCCGAAAACTGAAGCTTCAGCTGAAAGCGGCATGAAGGCACTGTAATTCATTCATATGCATTCACTAGATGGCACTCATCAACATTCGGTTCACACATGCTGGGGAATATGGGCTTCCGGTGGGGCCAGCTGTTGCCTTTGATTCTCTTCTTTTTTTTTTTAGTTTTTTTTTTCGCCCAAATCACAACCTGAGCCTGAAGCCTGAAACCTGGAGCAACTAACTGCATTGCGCATACGCCGCGTGTTCTGCAGTGAGTTTTTCAAAAAAAAAACACGTCCCCAAGGATATGAACAACGGATGGAGAGGTTCGGAGAGACCTCCTCAACCTCTATTAATGTGCTCATTTCCCCATTTTGTCGTACTATGGATTCAGCATCTTTTTCGCAAGTTTTGAATTGAAAACACTTCCGTTCCAGCTTCAGCTTCAGCCTCAGCTCCAGCTCCAAGGACAAGCTTCCCAGGCCCAAGTCCTGTTGCGTTCGGTAGGAAAATAATATTAAAATTTATGATGACAAACTTTCAACGCCAGCTGCAAAGATTTGCAAAAGCAAAGCCAGAACCCAGAAAACGACGACAGATAGCATATATAACCAAAAAAAAATAAGAAGAATAATACTAAAAATGCTAGGATGCCCAAAAAATGCTAGGGCAAAACATACATTTTTTATTAACATATATGTTATGGTAGATATATGTTTCATAAAGATATGTATGCATGCATGCATATATTTTGCACATTGATGTACGAGAATTCATGGAAGAGTATCGGTTTATTTCGAGGCAAGCGGACGCTTTCAATATTCGACCGGCTTTGAGCTTACTTTTTCCATTTCCCAGTGTCATTTTTGAAAAATTGATTTATGGCCAATAGTGTGGATGTGTGTGTATAGGAGACTGGGGTATTGGGTAGTGGGTATGGGCCGCAAAAAACCTATCAAGTGTCCCACTGCGTTGCTATCTTTTTGGGGTGTATGTGGAGGTGGGGGTGTTTGGTTTGGGGCTGCCCATACATTTTTCCGCTGAAGGCTTTGAGCCATCGACAGCCACAGCCAAAGTTGCTCAATAACCAAGCATATAGATCAGTTTTTAACAATCCTCTGGCCCCCTCACATGCCATCCAATCGGGTGACTGCTATTGCTTTAAGCCTTTTTTCATTGTGGATGATTTTTTTCCAAGAGTCCCGAGTCCCGAATCCCGATTCCCTGGAGGGGGACTTAGCAGAATGCTTCACTTTAACCGATAAACTGCTGAATTGTTGTATGAATTGTTCTCCCTGAGTATGAATTTTCAGACACAAGACCAAATGAGCCGTCAATTAAAACGTATGTATGTATATCTGGGCCACCAAAAGGTCGGCATCCCGGGCATCCAAGAGAAATTGCTCATTTTTGCGCATTTCAAATGGAAATTATTTCGCATCTGCCCGCTACATTTCCATTTTTATTTCCATTCCCATTTCCAACTGAATCCCGCAGACAGTTATGGTGTTTTAACTGTAGTGAGTTGTAATTAAGCGTTGACTTGTTCAATTACCAAAATGCAATTGCTTTCGGCGGAACAACAGCCGCAAACGTCCGCGTCAATTGGCGAAAACTTTTTGGCCCGAAACTCCGACAGGAACCGAGTCCGTAGAACTTGGCATGGCACCTGTAGCAGTGCGACTTGTGTATCTCCCTCAATTTGCATTAATGGGCCGGGAAGGTTTACCAAAAAAAAGGGTGGAGACTGTTATGCCAGAGGGAGGTTTCAGTCAGAATAAGCCAGAAATGGCAAAAAGCGGCGCCTGTGACTACAACTTGGCCGTGTTCTTGGCTGGGAAGAGTTGGCTGGGAAGCTGGAGCTGTCAGTGCTGCGAGGAATAAAAGTTTTTGTTTGTATTAAAATTGTCAGGCGCTGCTCGGCGGCTCGGTTGAAGTTTGGTGAGGTTTCGTTTTAATCATGCCACAAAAGTTTGCACCGCGGAACCTGCGGAGGAACTTGCTCGACAGCTCCGTTGCAGCGGTGGCCTTCGGTGACCCGATTCTGATGCATGTCCTGGAATTTTATTCACGCCCATACTCACACCGAACGAAATTTTTTTATTAATAATCCTGTAAAGCTTTAGGGATTTAAATCTTTTAAAATTATAGGAATTATTAAATAGAAATAGGTGGACATATTTCAAAGCAATTTATGTTCGTTTCTAGGCTTTCAAAACATAGTTTATGCCTTGTGGCACACTTCCTTCGTGTGCATCCATTTGGGGGAAAAAACTACCAATCCTTTTTTGTGTGTTTTTTGGGAAAAGAAAACACAATTAAAATGCATGAGGCGCCACAGACATGGATGGCAATTGGAAGTGTTGTAAGCGAGCAGCTGTTGCATGCCGCATCGAATCGAAATGGGCAAATGGGTTATGCTTATGCATGAGGCATGCCATTTCAGGGAAAGCCCGAAAACCGATGTGCCGCTGCCACTGACACAGCCACATCCGTATCGGAGGCATATCGGACTTAACCATGGTCTAAAGACGGAGTAGCACTTGGAGTTATTTATGCGCATAATTACCTGAACGGGCGCGAGTCCTTCCACCATTTACATATGCGTCCGGCATACCGGCAGCAGGAGGATCTTTAGCCGGGATTTATCCTGAGCGCATACAAAGCGATGAATTAGGACTCGAAACTACGCACCGCGTTACAACCGTAAGCACCTGCCATTACCTGTTCCCTTTGGCTTATTAAATGCAAGAGTAACAAGTGAAAACTCGGGCAAAACAAACTGCAAAATTGCCTCATTATGTGAAAAGGCAGCAAATAAAAGTTGGCAGTTAGCACAAAAGAGCCACGTAGTAGCTGCTCCAGCTTTGGCTTTTACCAAGCTACATACAACTGCAGCTGCGTGGGCCAGAGTAAGGTATAGGATAGGAGGCGTGGCACTGAGAAATTTATGCAGCACAAAGCCGCAGCAAATGTAAGTAAGCCAAACGACATAAGCAGCCATAAACAGAGTTGGCTCAAAAGTATCTGTCCAACATGGCGGCAGGAGAGATACTCTGCAGGCTAACAGATACAGATACCGGAATGGTGAGATGGATTTTATTGCTATTTTTTATTAACTCTTACATTTTTTAATGGCGGCTTTATTAAAAAGACTTAAAAGACTAGGATAATATGAAGGTTTATTAAACAATTTGTAAAGGTTTAATGCAGGTTTGTAGTATATCTTGAAGGTTGTGCAGTTTAAACTTTAAACCTGACTCCCTTCCTTTAGTGGCCAAAATAAGCCCGGTCACAGAGACCCAGGTTGACGCAAAATTCACTTCCAGCTTAAATTCATTATTGGGGGAACACTATTATCGAGTGGCGGCGAAGCCCCCGACCTAGTGGATATGGCCTCGATCCGCGGCTTGCAACGGCAACTGCGAATGCCACGGGCACAAAGGGCACGGCACAACTCCGGCCCATTGAGTGCACCGACGCGTCCTCGTCTCCCGGTGGGTGTAAATTTTGTTATGCGGCAAATGCGCCATAAAGCTACACGAAGCCAGATCCAAGGACGAGGGGATGATAGCGTAGGAGGAGCATGGTGGCTGGGATGCAGGTCTTCAGCTTCTCCCAAAGGCTGCTTACATTTGCGTGAATATATATTCCCTTTTTCCTCTGTTAGCTGCCCCTCTCAGGGTTTTTTTTTCACTTTTTCCTCCTCCACCGCCGACTGAAAGAAGTTTGGACTGGGGTGCTCTTTTTTTTCCAGCAGCCGTGTTGTGTGCATGTGCGGCACTCTAATAAAATTTAATAAAAAACGTGCAGCTCGGCATAATGCAATGGCAATGGACTCGCTTCGCAGGTTTGGGGTTGCGAGAGGGTTCGAAGAGGGCTTAGGGGGTAGTCTGGTTAGGTGTATCATTACCTGCACGCTAACCGCAAGCTAACCGACCTCCCAGCATATCGATATGCCAGTCGGATCTCATGTCCAAGCCACTCATTTGCTTCTTCAAATGAATTCCAATCTTCCATTCCATTTTCTAAAGAAAAGGCTTAAGTATTATACACTTTTTTTCAGGATAACCCACTGTTAAGTATGCCATGGGCAAGTGCGTCTCCCGGCAGTCGCCCATCGAACTCCACCACCAACTGGAGTCCCCAGCCGGGGAGCATCATCAATCTGTATTGACAATCGCCCTGTCCCACCAAGATCTGGCCCAGGCGCACAAAATCTGGCAACAGTTGACAGCGAGTAATGAATACATAGCAGCCACAAAGTCATCATCCTCGCCGGAAGAGGAGCCAGCGCCATTTTATTATACCATAAGCCGAAGGAAACAGCCGGATGAGGTGGTGGACTCCGGGTCTCTTTACAATGATGCCCCCAAGGATACGGCATTGACGACGTTGGACGACTTGGAGTACTCCACTTGCCAAGAGTTTCTGTTCCAGGAGCTCCTCTTTCAGGCCATCAGCTCAGAAAGGGGTACAGAAGAAGAGTCAGAGGAGGAGGAGGAGGATGAGGAGCAGCACATTCTGAATCAGGCCAGAGTCTGGCCAGAACCAATATTACAAATTCAGAACCACAGCTATCTGGCGGTGAGTAATATTGATAAATGTTTACAACTCAATTGGGACTCCAGAGGGATAAAACTGCAAAACAAACATTGCATTCTCGGTTGCGAATTTCAATTGAAATGTGAAGTGATTTTGGGTCAACACAGCCCAGGCTCAGATTCAGACTCAGACCCAAACCCAAACCCAGGCCCAGTGCCAGTATCTTTTGTCTACATGAATACTCATTGTTTACCGATTTTGCTGATGAAAGTGAATAGCAAAATGTTTGCCAAGAGGGGGGACAAATCAGGAGGGGTTTATCTTCAAGATTACTCACTTTTTGTTCACATAATATTATGTGACAAAAGCTGTATAATAGCCCAAATATTTACATCGTCCTTGAGCCACCTTTTGGGAGTCACTTTCCCCGCATGTCCTTAAACATTTAAGGCCCACATATGCATCTTCTTATTCTCCAAAGGCTTATTACTTGGTAATTTTTGCATAAACAAACTCAACTCATCTCAAAGGTGCCCTAAATACCACAATATCATCTTTCATGCTTTACTGAAGCACTTTCCCTTTCTCCCTTCCCTTGCCCAGCAATTGACCTTAACCGAATTATATTTTACCTGAATGGAGCCTCCCAGAGGGCTTATTACACCTGCATTTTACATGAAAGCTAAAATCCTCACAAGGTTCACACTTTAAGGTCCTTGATTAATAATTTGTACAGGTCTTTTAAGGGGAAGGAGTTATGGAAGGAGATAAAAGCCAACTTAAAATAGTTTTAGTTTTGGGTCATTTTTAGTCACTTACTGACTAATAAAAAATGATTTTGTTTTAAATAAAAATATAAAAAATTAAATGTTTCTTAATGTTATTAAATTTTATAATTTTTATTAATTTATTAAACATTTAAAAGACTTTTTTTAAACTTCCTTTAAAATTCCACATCATTATCCCACATATTTCCCTTTTTGGTTTGTGCCTTCGCTATTTGTACCGCCACCTGTCGCCGGATAGAAACACTACAAGACACCCCTGAATTTTGAAATATTTTCACTGGCAGCCACTTGTTTTCATCGCTGGGCGCATGTCTAAAGACCAAAAAGAGATTCTCTCCCCTTTCTCGGCTGTGGTCAAGCGGGGGAGAGAGAAAGTGAGAGAAAATAGAGCCCAAGACCCACCACAATAAACCCATTTGCTCTGTGAGAATTTTCTCAGCTCGCCATTCAATTTTCCGTATGCCGTGCTTTCAGAAGTGAAAAACCGTCGCCACTCTGCCGCAAGTTGGAAAAAATTTAACAAAACTCTAATTTAAATACAATAAACTGAAAAATATTAACAAATAAACTTAAGGATAAGCAAATATTAAAGAATAAAACAAGGAAACCCCAAAATGTTTGCATAACTTGTGGCGTGAAAATTGCCAGCAATCTGCAAAAGATTTTTCCAGCAATCTAAGCATTTTCAAGGACCTCCCCGTGTGGGTGTACCCAGTATCTGTGTGTGTATCCTGTACCTGTTCGCCTGTGTGTGTTAGTGCGAGTGCGAGGCTCAAGTGCAATTATAAATGGCGTAATTTTGTACTCGGCGGCCGTGTCATGAACATAGCTGAAAGGCATCCTACGAAGGATATTTTGTTGTTAAAAAATAAAAATTCCAAGACGCAGTCCCGGGTGGTAAGAAGCGAACGGACGGAGGAGACTCGCCGGAGCAGCGAGTACCTCTGCCGACAACTTGCAACATGGATGAATGCGACAACCCCGTCGACGTTGTCTCAATAGGGAAATTCGGGGAGGTCGCCGAGTCACCGAGTAGCGTACAGGATAATCGGCAGCCTCTGGCAACACAAAGCGTTTTGGTTAACAAAGAGCCGAGCACACGCTCCACGGAATTCAATGATAACGAATCTCAGCTAGAGAGGGACACTCCGATATCAGCACAGGACTCGAGCTCAGTCGAGGCAGTCGAGGAGGACGCAGCAATTGACGCGGAAGTCGAGGCAGCCATCATGGTATTACAATAATTATCCTATCTTGAAAATAGTATATCCTTGCTTCTGTAGATAGCAATCATCGTTTCGCAGAGTAGTATCCTTTTTTTCCGAGTGACTCATGTTGTTTAGTTTGCGTCTATTGTCTAAAGCTGCCTGAGGACCGAGGGAGGTCCTTATTGTTCATCTGTGTTGACCCGATTTTCATCCCAAGTTTCGCTTTCATCCTAATCGCCACTCAACCTCCTTTTTTTTTGTGTGTGTCCTTAGGGCCAGGCGGAGAGCAAGAAGCACGGCAGCAAGTCAAGTCGCCGACATCACAATGGCAACGGAAATGGAAATGGAAACGGAAACGGTAGCGGATCGGAGGCACAGGATCAGACGGTGCATACCAAAGGCACCGCCATGTCCTTTGGCTTCCGCAAAAAGCTCAACGGTACCCCGAAGAAGTTCAAGAAACTCCTGGACTCCGGCGACAAAGGCAACGCTCAGGCAGACACAAAGGACGACAATGGCAATGCAGGTGAGGTGGGAAGCGGGCTCCTTCAAAGGATCAGGGTAGGAAAAGTGACAGGTTGGCAGGATAACAAAGTTTTATTTGACATTCGTCAATTTCAATTAATTTTTAACAAGTTAGAAGCATTAGGTTTGTCCTTTTTCCTTCGGACTAGAACCTGAGGACTCCAAGCTCCCTAACCCATCCCCCTTTAAGGCCTTTTAAAAATGATTTTAGCCCAGCAAGTGTTATGGCTTTTTAATTTGGCGACAATTTGGCGAAAAACCTAACAATGAATTGACATGCCAACGCATTCCTTTTACTTTCTGCCCCAAAAAAAACAGCTGCCACGCCGATTCACTTTGAGAAAGTAGGCGCCGCCGCCCAGAAGACCGGCCCGGGCACCGCCACAGGTGCGGCAGCGGCACGTTTCGGCTATCGAGGGGCAGTGCCACGCCCCGCTTCCACAGGCCTGACAGGCCGCAATGAAGAGTCCGATACGGATACTTCCCAGAACAACAACAACATAAATAATAATGGGAATGGCGGAACGGGAAGTGGGCCGGTGCTGGTGAGCAATCGTAAGTATTACTCCGTAGAGTTCTCTGAGAACTTCCCTGAACACTTTCTCATCTCCCGGTCGCTCCGCCAGTGAAACGCCGCTCCAAGAGCGCACATGCCGGACGTTCCGGCGACGGAGATGGTCCCAAAATAACCCAACCGAAGACACTGACGTTCAACCTGAACCAGAACACCACCATCGAGTACCAGAGGCGGCAGTTCTTCGGCGAGATAGCGGACGAATCGTCCGGAATTGCACCCGGATCCGGGTCGAGAGCCATGCAGCCGCGTCACTACAACTACAACAACCTGGCCAGCATGCACGCCAATGTCATGTGAGTTTAAAAATAGTAACTAATTATTGAGATAATAACCAAAACCACATCCTTACAGAGTACGCCCCACACCGCGTCCCACTCCGGCCAGCTATGCCAAGTTCACCCTGCAGACGGTGAGCCTGCCCAGGCCGGAGTATCCGGTGGCCATCAGCCTGACAGCCACCACGCCTACTACGCCCAGCAGCAGTGTCCAGTCACCGGTGCCCGCACACTCCACGGGAGCCAGAGCCAAGGACACGGCCACCTCCTCTCGACAGCATCCCCTCACCTCGGTGCACGTCCAGCCCCAGTCCCAGCCGCGGCATCTCGACCAGAAGAGCGTCAAGCAGCTGACGAACAACTCGACGCGCAGGGGCTTCTCGGGAAGCCGGGAGATCAGTGCCGACTCCGGAATAGCCAGCATGGACATGGCCCTGGACAGCAGCTCTGGCAGCTCGGTGGGCTCCAAGAGGAGTCGCAGCCGCCCCCGGAACCTTAAGATGGTGATGAGCGGCAGGCACACGTTCGAGGTGCGCGACGTGGACGATCCGCCCTCGAGTGAGTCGAACTCGTTTGTGGAGCCACTGGCTCTGCCCAAGCTGCCCACGGATGGCAGTCAGAGCACTCCGTTGCCACTGCTGGGATTAGTGCGTTCGAATACCGTGCTCAGTCGGGAGACCTTCGAGAGACGCCAGGCGGAGGCCACGGATGGTGCCTCGCAGGATGTTCTGCAGGTGGCGGTGAAGCCGAAGCCCAGTGGCTCTGATGAGAGCGAGAGCGTGGATGAGGAGAAGCTGTACCTGGACTCCTCCACCTCGGAGAAGAGTGCCAAACAGCTGAGCCAGTCCTCGGTGGCTTCCACCTGGCGGCATCAGGGAGGCGAGTCCCTGGCCGCCCGCGACTGCAGCAGCATGAGCATGAGCATCAGCAGCGACGGCATCCAGGAGCCGGAGCGTCCTGCCAGGGACAACGACAAGGAGGAGGACATGTCGCTCGGCTTGGATGACATTAGCATGATCAACACGGACATGCAGTTTAGCACAATTTGTAAGCCAATCCTTTAGCTATGATTATCCTTTATGATCCTTATTTCCCTTCAATGCAGCTTCAATGACGGAGACTCCACCCAGGGCAGGTCAGGAGCCGCTGCTCAAGATGCATCTGGTGGATAACCGCGAGGTGGGTGTCCCCGATCGCCCCCGATCCTTCAACAATGCCCTGAACGAGTCCAAGTTTGCGGAGCTGGCACTGGCCAGTAGCAGCTGCCTTCTCCTGGATGACGAGACTTCGCCCACGGATAGTCTGGTCAGCAGCACGGAGGACTCCGAGGAGGCAGCCGGCGGAAAGATGCAGAAGCACAAGCTGAATGAGGAGCTTCAGCAGAAGGACATCGACTTGGATGATATCTCGCCAGTCTTGGAACTGGATATGGATCCGCCAGGAGAATCTGGCACTCGCAGTCCCATCTCCCCCGGCACGCCCACTCACGCCTCCCATTCCCTGTCCCTCGGCTCGGATTGTGGTAACCTGATCGATGATGAGATCGCCGATCAGCCGGCCTTGTTGTGCAACAGCGAGGCCCAGGAGATGGCCACCGACACCCCCACTCTGATGGAAACGCTCACACACACCCACACCCATACAGGATCCCTGCGATCCTTGAAGAGTCAGTCCAAGGCGCGTACAGCCCTCCAGCAGGCCATCGAGCTGAGCCTCAGGACCCCGGCTTCGATTCGCAAGGCAGTGATGGACCGAGCCGAGTCCTTGGATACCCTCTCGCCCTGCGAGTCCATTTGCTCCGACGACCTGATGATGGACTTTGACGTGAACAGCAGCCTGGACTCTATCGATCACATGGCCAATGCCAATGGCAGGAGCCGAAGTGGCTCGGATCTGCACAGGATTGGTCAGGGTGGTGGACACGATATGGACGCTATTCAGGCGGAGACCGAGGCGGAGCTTCTTTCTGAGCTGGAACGCCGAGGCAGTGATGTGATGAAGGAGCTAAACACTTTGTTGAGGGGCAGGAAGCAGCGAGGAGGTCCTCGGGAAAGGATAAGGTGAGTTGGGAGATAAATAATTCTTAAATTTAAAATATCTGCAAAGATTTTAAAGCTATTTTTATGGCTACTTCGGGGTCATTTCAATTAATCTCTGCTGTAAGGTTTCACTAGTTTTTATTAATTTAAAAAGTGATTGGTATTTTTTATTATTTTCCTCTGAAGTCTTTCCCCCCCAACCCCCTGAATCTAATTGAATTGGATGCACCGGGTCAGAAATGCGGTGGCGGTTGCTCTTTGAGTTCGCCTTTGATTCAGTTTTATTATCTCGGCACTTGGCAGCCGGCCAGCGCGCTGGTGGAATATTATTAAGTGGCTTCCACCCTGCCACCCACACACAGCACCTTGCCACCACTTGTGGCACTGCAAATCAATCAGCAGCCGCCTCTAGCTCTCCGGCTTCTGGTTGTAAAGATAAATTTTCTTTACAGCCGGCAGGGAAATGGATTACTCAAGTTGGTGCTAGAAAGACTAGAAAGTTTCTGGGATTATTTATTATACAGGATATTATAGAGTTATACTATATATATGTATACATCAATCATCTCTATTTAACTATAGTATCCTTGAATTGAAGCATATATATAAACCATAAATATATATGTATAATATATTGTTTCTTTTCTCTTAGACTAGCTCTAATACAATATAAAGTATAAGTATTACTAATAGTACAACCAAATTTAGTATTCCCTTTATAGAGCCTAGTACTAAATAATATAGCCCCGTCACATCTTGAATTATTTAGCTCTCAAAACAAACACTGAGTATATCTCACGTGTTCCCCGGCCTGTTTGTTTGATTGTATTTTTGTTTGCCTAAGGGCACTCTGGGGTTAATCAAATGCAATTTGCTTCAGCCAGCTCAGAGCTTTGGCATGTCCCCTCCAATACTCTGCACCCCTGCCATGGGCTTTCTGGCCAAATGGGAATGGAAATGGAAATTGAAATTAGCCCAAAATTAGACAGACAGATCATTGGGACAGGTTGGGCCGCAAGGAACCTGCAACGGCCTGCAAGTACACAATTTTTGTTTGTGCAGTTGCCAAAGGTTACTCCATTCGAAATTCCCGTTGTCGGTCTCAATTGCCGGCTACCAGCAAGACAGGGGCTTTGGGCCATTGGGTGGGGGAAGGGGTAGAGACATTCGTGCCCCAAAATGTTGCAGCAAAAAAAACTTTGTGTGGCGGCTCTTCTGCATTCTGGGTGAAGCCAAAGCCAAAGACGCGACCAAAGGCAACGGCACTTGGCATTTTCCAATTGTCTATGCCTGCCCCATTGTGGCAGAGAAAGAAAATTAATTAAGAATTTAATATATTAAAAAAATATTTAACAATATTATAAATTGAATAATTATAGTACAGTTATAGTACTGGAGTTATAGTGGAGTTAAAGTACTTACGGTCATTGCTTTTCAGTCATTCTTTTATGGAAAGGAACTGGTAGATTCTCTACATTTTAAGAAGCTCTAAAAATGTGGAACCCCTATTTTTTAGTTTAGATTCTTTAAAATATATATTCCATAAATCCATAAATCCTCACAAAATGTATCTTGCAGTGTATTACTGTCTCTAACTATCTGTGAGACCTCCAGACTGAGTCTGGCTTTTTGGCCAAATCGTGGTCGTAGTTAAGATAACATTTTGACTTTGGCCAGAGACTTGATGGCTGGTGCCGCATTCTTTTGTCATGGCAACTAAAAGCAATAAAAACAACAAAAATAACAACAACAACAACCGGCAACGGCACGACATCCACATAAAGTGGTTTTCTTGCTCTAACCAAAAGTTGGGAAAACTTTTTATTGCAAAGGAAAAATCAATTGTCTGCCAATACAGAAATATATACCTCGTAAGTTATATATGTATGTGAACCTGTTCCGATGCCAATAGCCAAATAACTGCAAAATGCCGCAGGCCAAAATGGGATATTATTGTTGTTGTTGTTGTGGCTTAACCTGCCACACACCATGGGGTAGATGCGCCTGCGTGGGGACCGGGACATTGGCTTTCCTTTCGCCACAAACCAACAAAACTGGCAACAAAAAAGGTAGTGGCGTTAGAAGGCCAACAGCTGTGTAAGCCAACTAGTTGATAAACCACCGGTCACATGCAAAACCGCACTTGTGGCTTAAGACCTTGAGGCCAAGCCATCCAGCCAGCCAACCAGCCAGCATGAGTCATGGAAACCCCGTCAGAAAGTGCTGAATAAGCCCACTCAATCTTGGCCATTATTGGCTCTCTTGATGCTGTGGCCTGAAGTCGTATTGTGATCTCTAGATTTCAACATTCTCGGTTGCACCAAAATTCCTGTATTTGTTGGTCAGAAGAAGGAGAGGGCTTTCTTTCTTTAAGCCAGGTATCTTAACGGCAGTGCCATACACTCTTCTGGGCCGGCTGAGAACTTTTGTTAACAGACCCCCACACACACTCACAGATTTTCAAGCCCAACAATCTCTTTCGACCCACGAGTCACATTCTTGCCACTCTTGGCTGTTAACAGCCTTTGTTGGGCTGAAACAGTGGGAAAAGCGAAACATTGGTAACAACAGCAACCAAAATACAGTGGGGTCTATAGGGTAAAAAATGTACATACATTCTTCTGAAAAAATGTTTAGGAAATATTTTAATAAGTTCTATGTGGTTCTTTTAGAATTACTTGGTTATAAATATATCCCATAGCTATTATAAATATTTCCAACTCAATTATTTTAACAAAAAGTGATAAAAAGTAGTCGCCTTTTTAAAAATAAAATAAAAGTTATGAAAGAGTCCTAAGACTATCTTCCACTTCTCTAAAATCTAAAAGGCTTTATGATGACAACATCAAGACTCCACCCATTAAATTTTTATATTTTAACCCCCGAGAAACCCCCATTAACCCACTGTAATGTTCCATTACCACTCTATGGCTCCAACTTCGATTTTAGCTCCAACTCTCTGAGAGCGGTTCTCCGGTACCAATGGAACCGGGTAAAAAAAACCAGACTCGAACCCAACCATGTCGAAGAGTTACTCCAAAGATCTCAAAGCGCGCGGTTCGGTTTCGAAGTTGAGCGGCAAACAGCCAGTCGGTGAAACAATAAATCATATTCGTAAACCAATATCATATATTGGCTATCTACAATATTTGTTTCCTTAAAAACCCAACCATAAAAAGACAAAAGAAATATTAATTGTGCAAGAGCTGTTTATTGTTTGAAGAACGCGTGGGAGGTGTTGCCTAATCCAAAGACCAATTAAATTGCGTTGTTAATAACCGAAAAAACAAAATAACCAAAAGCCAGAATCAGTGACCGACCGCAGACAGTCTTCAGCGCCTCCAGTGATACGCACTGGTGCCTCTTCCATGCCACAGATACAGATACATCGACTGCTCGCACTGCCGCAGATACAGATACGCGCTCCAACGCCGACGCTGACGAACGCTGGCCAGTATTCATAACAAAAGACACGCCGCGGGCACAAGTGTCAATGAAACGAGCGTTTTGGCCAAGAGGCAAGTCTTTTACGCTTTTGGCCTAGACCTGCAATTTAAAGTGAGTTTCAAAAACTACAAGAGAGGTGGGAGTTGGGAAACCTGGGCTTTTTGGCAAGTCATATTAATTATAGAGTGGTTTGAAGTATTTATTAAATTTCAAAAAAATTGTATACACTATTTTAATCAATATGTGCTTAGGAACTTAGATCCACTATTTTATTTTGGTTTCCAAAAAGTACCAACATCCATTAGAAACCCCTCCAAAGTTTCCTAATTGAAGTTCTCCCAATACCTTTGATTGAGAACTCAATAGCCAATCTCTTCTGGCCAACAAACAGAAGCTACCGAATGCCCTGAAACCCTATCCGAGTGGTAGCCAAAGTGGGTGATGATTTCCGCTGTTAGCCTTGCGTAATTTGATATGCAACCGGGGGGCAGAAACGGCAGCAAAAAAAGCCTTAAATGGGAGTTGGGGGCTGAGAAGACCCAACACAATGGGCTGAAAGTGTGTCACATGCAAATGTGCAGGCAACGTTTGGAAAATCTTTTGGAATTTGATGCCATAAACGTAACAATTACAGATATCAGGCTCACACAAACCCATACCTGAATAAAAAGTAAGATCAGTGTGTGTGTGTGTGGTTGTGCCGGGTTAGGTTGGCTGGTGGTGCCCCCTTTTATGGCTTGCCAGCCACTTCAAGTTCAGTTGCATTTGCGACGCGTTCAGGTTTTGGTTACGGATACGAGAGTACGAGATAGGGGCTCCCATTGCTCCATTGCCATGCATAATTCAACAGAATGTTTGCCACACAACACTGGCAACAACAACAACAAAATACCATCGAGTGCAAATACAGATACAGATAACGCCACTGTTGCTACTACCTACCTTCGAAGTTCGAAGCAACCTGGCTATCTACTACCTGTCTGGCTGAGAAGCTCTCCGCCAGCTCCAGAACTCCAAAACACCCCAACCCCCATCCAGAGTCTCTGGGTATATCCCCATCTTAACCATCGTTGATCATCATCCGCAGTTCAAAGTGCACTGGAAATATTTTAAAGATACTTTTGATTGACTTTTGATGGAATATCTATATGGCTATAACTCTTTCCTAGACATATAACTCTATTCCAAAACTATTTTGGAATATTATTCAAAATCTTTAATATTTAATAGTATTTTGTTTGTTACTGTGTAGCAAGAACTCTCAGCTCTGTGGCATGCAAGATACACACCGGATTCTCATCAGATGCGGCCGTGTGAGAATGTTGGTTATTTCTTTATTTTTTATGGCCATTACCATTACCATTACCATTACTTGCGTGGCTTGCAACTCTCTTCTCGCCCCTTTCACGGAGGCCCCTTAATGAAGCTGCTATTGCTGTCTTTCCTTTTACACTTCCCTTTCCTATATGGAAGATACTATATCTATGAATATATGTATATATCTAGTACATGTGTGTGGAACCAAAAAGATAGCTCTGACAAATGACGTTTTGCTGCACAAATTGATAAGTACCGTTGGGAAGTGACGTTCGAGTGCATGCCACGGATGGCCATCTGATTGTGATTGCTTGTCATTGTCGTTGTTGCAGACTAACTGTTGCCGTTAACCATTCAAGACAAGTTAGTAAGCCAAGCTGGCGACAGTTGCCGTTGGCAGTGTGGCGCGTGTTTTACCACAAATGAGACACATTTGTACTAATCAGTTACCAAAAGTAGTACCTGCCACAGCCACAGGTGTGTAGCCCAAAGGGGGATACCTTATAAAGAGGGCTCTGACCCAAAATGTAGAGGAAAACCTTATCAGCGGTCGAGATTTTGAATTCTTGAGTTCCTCACGTAAAAAACATAAATTTTGGTGGAAAAACGTAGGGTTTATCTAGATTTTATTTCCAAATTTCTCGGTATTTCTTTCAAAAGAGAAATATGTGTTTTTTATAGGGAAATAATAGTTGTATTTAAAAAAATATATTGTGCTTAAATGGTACCTAATAGATCATTCTAATAAGCCTGCTTAGAAAGGTAAAGTTTTTCGAAAAGATCTCTTTTTTTAAAAACCTTTCTACCTTGTTTTTTGGATAAGCCCCTGTGTCATAAAGTTTTGAATATATTTTGCTGCAAATTCCATTTTCTGCAACTGTTGCAATGACAGGCATTTTGTCGTCCGACAATGGTTTTCTAATTTTTTGTTGTCGAGTACGAAATATCCGGCGTTGCACCCTGTTGAGTTTTTTCCACATAAAGTCGACTAGAGTTGTGCAAAGTTTTTGCATTGTTTTGATTTCAGCGAATCTCTGGGAGGCCCGACTTCTGCATTCATATTCATAAAACAAAATAGCCTAAAGTTGGCGTGCGAAACTCACAGATATGTTGTGTTATGTTAGTGGTATGTGATTTGGGAAAGTGTATTTTGTTTGGACATAATGTAAAATTTAATTGCTTTTTTGTTTGGTAACAGTCGAGTGAATAGACCTGGCTCTACGATAAAAGAATCATGACAATCTTAACTGGAAATCATCAAGAAAAAGAAGGCTCTTAAGAGGCACTTTCAAGTGTTAAATTAGAAGGGGAATCTAGACAATAAAATGATCTCTTCTGTGTCGACTCCCGGTACTTTCATCTCGGCTCGAGATGATCTTAAAATTTTGCACAGTCTTCGTGCAGGCCCGCCATAAAATCCAAGATCGCAAAAATATTCAAATTACAGCTGTGCCGGTTCCCAAGTGGCAATTACTTTTGCTTTCTGCTGGGCTTTAACCGCCTGAACTTGGCTAATTAAGTCCATTGTTGTACCAACAGCCCCGAAAGAAAGTCCCCTACGAATCTCTTCAATCCCATCCGTGAGATGCCTGAATTAATTTGGTTTTCGTAATGGAAATTGAAGATGAATAGCCGAACCAAACCATACCAAAGTATCGTTATAATTAAGGGTATTAAAACCAAAACCCATTAGCCATTAACCTTTGGGGTCGCTTGTGGATGGATACCCTAGCCGTAAATAATCGAATGAGCTAACCACCTAACCGACTATTGAATTTGTTTTGTTTCTCTTTTGTCTGGCTTGGCTTTTGATACGTTTTTCAACAGTTTGTTTAAATTATGCCGTAAAAATTTTTGAACATTGCGCGCATGTGTAAGCGCCCTCCTCCCCCTGTTGTGTCCTCTGATTGTGGCAACTGCAACACGCAACAGTTGACTTTCACCAGCCAGCTGAGAGCTTGCTAGCTGAGGGGGTCTGTGGCGGGCGCCATGTCTCTGTGGATTTATTTCCAGCATTCATGTCGTGCAGGTTACCCCCATCTACCACCTCCCTTTCTCCCGCCAATGAATCAGGTGGTCCCCACACCTGAATCATCTTAATTGCTCATTGACAACTGCCGGCTGGGTCTCCTCCTCCTCCTCCCTCCGTCCTCCTGCCCTAATCAATGCCATTTTTTTTTTTACTTTCCTGGCAAGAGCGTTAATTGAAGTTGGCCAAATAAATGGAAAACTAACCCCGATATCAGGCTGCACTTGACAAACTTCAATGATATCTTTTTATAATTTTAATAAATATTTTATTTTCGAAATCATTTTTACATTTCTATTTTTATTTGAAGTGAAAACTCCACCCAATACCCTCTTTCATCAAATAGCCCACAAACAACTCTTTTAAAGTAGCCCCTTATTTGGTTCAGTGTCTTGGGGGTCGGCACTATATACGAGTATTTCTACAAAGTCTCCACCCAGCTCAGCTGTTGGTGGTCTGCGCATGTCGCGATTGTGTCATTGCCGCATCGCAGAGCCACAACATGGAGCCCCATTAAAGTCCGAGTCAAGACCAAAGAAATTCGATTAGTTGGCACTCGACCGGACGATGTCGGAGGCGAGCAGTGCCTCGTCCAGTGGAGTGCGAAGGGTTCGCACTGATCTCAAGACCTCGGAGAACCGATTCCTGGGCAGTAGCCAGCGGACCAGCTCACCCATGGCCATTAAACAGAGACCCCTGCTCCACCACTACCAGCATTATGCCCCCTTTTTGGCCACCAGTGCCCCGCAGACCAGGGAAACATATCACAGGCATACTGAATCATATCCTTCAAGGACCATCGCATTAATTCTTACTCTTTATTTTAATTTCAGCGCCCAATTGCCAGCCCGAGCCACCAGATTGCTGAACCGCTCCCGTCTTCAGGATCCCCAGCTCGGAGGCAACGACTCGGACAACAGCCTGAGGTCCTCCCACAGCGGCGGAGCTTCGGCGGCCGCTGCCGCCCGCAAAAGGAGCACGGCCAACTCACGGGCCTCCACCGCCTCCACGGCCAGTTTGCCGCGCCAGCGTCCCCTGCACCTGGGTGCCGGAGCCGGAGGGGCAGGAGGATCCGCTGGCCAGAGGTGCAGTGGCGAGCTACACAGCTCATCGGACGATCTGATGTTGTATGACAAGTCCTTCCGGAATGCCATGATCCAGGATGTGCTGCAGTTCAAGAAGCAGTTGTTGCGACTGCGACACATCCTCCAGGAGGTAAGTAGTCAGGACTCTTTATCAAATAGAAAGTATGCTTATGGTTTTGTCTAATATTTTGAGTTGAAATTACTTTTCTTAACGTCATCGTTATTTTTTCCTTTCGAATGCACCTTTCCTTGGCACACCCATCTCTACACTCACCAACCATTCACTTGCACACCACTTAGGAGCCAGATTTTGATTTAAAACGGGTACGTTGCCTTTGGTTCCTTTTCTTTGTATTTTTGATTTATTTATTATTTTACGGTCTATTGTGATTAATGGCTAGCAACTTTATGGTTTATGTCCATTCATTGCAGACGGAAACGCTCAATCCATTCGAGAACGACAACGTCCAGTTGTTCGCCGCCTGTGGGCTGGACAGCAAGCAGCTGAATGACATCGATCTGGCCAGCCTGACCTCGTCGACGACGGAGGATCCGCTCCAGGAGCTATCCGATCTACGTAGACAGGTGGTTTACCTTCAGGTATTGCACGTTTTTTGCATTTCGTTTGCTCGTTAACCTGGGAAAACAAAAACTGGGCCATAAAACCAATGGCCGATGGATTCGGTCAAGCAGGACAAGACTTTCCAATTCCAATGCATTTTTACTCTCGCTGTTGTTCTTTAATGTTTATTAGATACATGGAAACTAAACTATATTATATACCTATGTAGCATGTACTATATTCCATGAAAAAGGCATTTTATATATTTATGCTTTTATGTAACATATCTCTATCTATGGATAATACTTCTCTATAGTTTTGTGTTGAAATGCCAAGAGTTACATTTTTGCACTTTGACTTGCCACAGAACACAGATCATACAAGAACAAAAAAATATATATGAAATTATAGCTGTTGTACATTAGATGGGCTTTGATTAAGGCTTTAACAATTGGCTTCTAATTTTGATAAAAATATTCAAAAATAAAAGAAGCTTTTATGTTGAAAAACCTTAATCATGGCATGATTACTAAGCCACATACTTGGATATGATTTTCACACTCTCTGGCTTAGATAGCTTAGATATACCATATAACCACTAGTGACCTTTTATGGGTCGCTCCACAAGAGTGAACTGACATTTACTGATCTCGGATCTACCCTCCTCCTCCTCCTCTCCCCCGCACACAGGGTGAAGTGGACGATCGTGATCGCACCATACGCCTGCAGCGGAATCTCATCGAGCAGCTGGAGGCCGAGAAGCGAATGCATACGGTCGCCAATGGAAACGGTGGCGATCCACCCAAGGAGCTCATCAGCATGGCCACCCAAACGGAGCGGGTAAGTGTCGGCCTCCGGGCCATGTACATACATACATACTGGTCGGATATACTTTATATCCATGATATAGTATATCGTTAATGATATGTGTTTGCACAGCATTGACTAACCGAAAACTATCGACCATTTCTATTTCAATTCCGATTCCACTTTCACAGACACGACCACTTGCCATTGGTGCGGAGGGTTTGTCCAGGTAGGCAGACTTTCATGTTCGATTCGATATTTTGGCCAAATACTTATGGCCAAAAGTCTCTTATTTTTTTTTTTTTGTTTTTTTAACCTGCATTGTAATTGTGATTTTTTGTTTGGTGGGTTGTGGGGGTACTGGTGATCTTTTCATCAACCGCAGCTGCGCGGAGTCGGAAACTAAACAAAACTAATACAAAACGATGCCGCCTGTTGTTGTTGCAAGTTGCAAGTTGCTGGTGATGGTGATGGTGCTGCGGGCTAGTGCTGCTGGAATCGGTTGCAGCTGGCTGACTTCACGCTCCGCTGGCATGCAAATCAGTTGGCCACTTTTTGCCGGCGTTTGACGTTAATGGTAGCAAATTGCAATTGGAGCAGTCTAATTAGGGCCGATTCTGCAGTAGCCAGAGCTGAAAGCAGGAGCAACAGCAGCAACACCTCAGCAATATCTCAGCAACACTTCAACAGTAACCTTAAAAAAAAAAAAATGTGAAACTTTAATAATAAATATATTCTTTTGATAATTTCTTAAAGTAATAATGATTTCTTATAAGTGCTTTTAAACCTATAACTACTAGTACTTTTTTTCCTGTGCAACAGGTGGCATTAGCATTTTGACTAACAATAGACCTTAATCATTGCTTTCTGCTTCCCTCCTATATTAACCCGTGTACATTTCTTTCTTCCACACACACACTCTCTTTTGAAATGCTACCATGGAACTTATATATAATACACACGCCCTATCTTGTATCTTGACTAAATAACTGCCATTTAGACTACAATTTGGGGAGCAACAGGTACTATTTTGTGATTTCATCCTAGCCATCATTGTGCTCTGTGCCATCAATCTTATATGTATACTACACCTAAGCTATAATTGTTTGGATAATTGTAACTCCTGTACATGATCGACCCCAAGTTCCAGTCGCATTCACTAACTAATTCTTAGCTTTAATAAAATCATTTAAGCTTTAATATACGTATTACGTAAGATAACTAAGTAACTAGATCGAGCTTTAAGTACTTTACTAATTTGTCACTGAAAATTTAACACTGTTTGTGAAACATTTTAATTGCATGCGGCAATTAAATAGAGTCCCAAGGTAATGCAAATAAAAAAATAAAAACCCAAAGACTTGGAGAAGATGGATTAAATTAATTTATAGCTCATGGGAGTTCCAGATCCATCTTCTCCTCGCCAAGTAGCTAATTTATGTTGCATCTTTGACTTTAAACCCTGTTACTAAAACACATAAAAATAAACTCTATGAAAAAAAACTAACAATACTCCTTTGTGTTCACAGAAGTAAGCCCGAATATACCAGTTATACCACGCACTTTCCGACGCTCCACTTGCACGACTCTACGCTGGCCGCCACCACAATAATCCGGCACCACCAGAGCAATCCGGGCAAGCAATTGGCTCCGGGAAATGGCAACTGTCCGGCCTTGAACCAGACCCGCCGGCACACCATCATATCCACAACGCTGACCAATTACAACCAACAGTTGGCCGCCACTTTTCCGGATACCCCGCGTCGCTCCTCCATCGGCTGGGACACAACAACGACAACACCCTTAGTCCCGGCCCCCACACCCTATAGGCCCGTGAGGATCACCTTAATAGGTGATCCGCTGCCCCTGCAAAATAAGTCAGCCACAGGATCACTCTCATCCGGATCAACGTCCGCGTCCTCGTCCACATCGTCCTTGACCGGCAACCAGGTGGGTGGCCAGGGGGTTAAGATGCGATATCCCAACGGGTGTCAGAGTGTCAAAAACGGGCCAAGTGCGCATTATCAGCCGTTATACAACAGCAACAAGATGACAAACCCAACCGTAACTATAGTCTGATTTCTAAACCAGATATCCAGGATCGCCTAAAACTCCGTTTCTTTTAAAAAAAAAACAAATCAATATTGTTAATTTTGCCGTCGCAAGTCTTCTGAGATCGCTCCAAAAACTAAAAAGAAACAACCGGAACCGGAAACCATTAGCCGGGCATTGTGAAAATAGGCCTAGTACAAGTTCTACATAAAACTAATATAAGCTGATATCCATATATATTTGCTCTGGAACAGTTTAGTAAAATATTTGCATGTAAGGATTGTACTTTATATACAATATTCGTAACCGTAACGTATATCCAATGCTTCAATATAAAGATAATCTAAATTTAACCAAATCTTCTGCTGGCTTCGATTTTGGCTTCCAAGTACATTTTGTTAGCCAAAGCATTTTCGAGAGCCTCCAAATAAATGCTAAGCACAAAGATCTAATAATCGTGCAGTTAGTGTAATAATCTATTAAATATTTTATAATCATAGAGTTGTTAATTGTTTTTTCCACCTAAGTTCTTAGTCTAAGTTAGTGAGTTTTACTTGGTTTAGTTTTCCTGTAGTCTGTATTTTATGAGCTATGATGATGCGAGTATATGCCACTTGCCGCAGAAGAAAGATAGAATACTTTTACTTCTCGAAGAGCACAATAATCGTCGATTAATTAACCAATATTATATAACGCATGCTGTATGTAAACCACTATTAAAGAATTATAAAAAGTACCTATCGATAGAGAAAGATAAACAAGACTGTGTTTTTGTTTGATTTGGACTCATCCCACTCAGCCGGCTCATGTCAGCTGTGGAGTGGCTATTTCCCAGCCCCTGCATCCCAGTCAAGAGCCCCTTCCAGACCGAAAACCGGCTCTATCTTTTCAAACTGGATTTCGTTGCATTTTCGCTTCCCGTTTAGTGAGAATCCTCAGTTGTTGCCGATCTCTGGACCAAGAATGTTGTTGACAGTCAAATGGATTCTGTTCCCTGGCTTTTTGTGGCTCTTCTCGACGGGGCTTTTTCCCTGGACAAGAGCTCAAGATCTTTGCCAGCCCCGGGGTTGGCGCAATTTCGAGTGCCTTGAAGTGGCCTCTCTGGAGGATCTAGTGGATCTGGGGGCCGAGAACTGGCACACACTCAGCATCCGGAACGAGAATACAGAGCTGGAGGTGGGGTCAGGTGAGGATTTTCCCAAAAGAAGATCAAGTGTCCTAAAGACTTATCCTCTCAGGGGAATTCCTCGATCACTTGGCCAACCTGGTCGAGCTGGATTTAACCAAGGCAGCTCCATTTAACCTAAACGGTAGCGGTTTCTCGATTCTGCCCAATCTGCGATATCTGAACCTCAGCGGGTGTGGGCTTGACAACCTCCAGGGAAACCACTTTGCGGCTGAGTCAGCACTCCAACGACTCGATGCCAGCCACAATCAGATAGTGATTTTGGATCGGGACTTTTTCATAAATCTTCGCAAGCTGATTTATGCAAATTTCTCATACAACAGTCTCACCGACTGCGATCTGCCACACATGCCGTTGCTCAATCGCCTGGAACTGGGGCACAATCGATTGGTGGGCGCCACATTCGGTGTGTGCCCCCAGTTGCAGCAGCTGATCCTCAACGACAACCAACTAGCTCAGGTAAGTCAACATAATAAATTAGATGATGTATCTCTTAGATACTTAGATACATTTTGTCATTGCAATGTTTGTTTAGATCCGATCAGCTATAGGTTGATATTGCCAGTAAACCGAAACGATCTTTATGGCTTGTTGTTTGCCAATCGCGTCAATATTCATTTTAGAAATTATATTGACCGTGATGCTCTTAAACTATTAGGAAAGTTTTAAAAATAACTCTTCATTATCTCAACAGCTAGACGTCAACGCATTCCGTGGGTTGCATGGTCTCCTGGAACTGCAACTCAGCGGCAACAGGCTATCCTCCATTGGACAGGAAACCTTTCAGCCCCTCAACCAGCTGAGGGTACTCAACCTCTCCCGCAATGCCCTGGATGCACTGCGTCCCAATGTGTTCGGAGCAGCCCAGAATTTCATGCTGCATCTGCAACAGCTGGATCTATCAGGGAATCGGATTAGGCTGCTGTTTGATAACCAATTTCGGGCCCTGGCCAGACTCCAACTGTTGGATGTGTCCAGGAACAGCATCGCCAGCCTGAGTGCCGGACACTTTGTGGGCTTGGGAGCACTGCGAAAGCTGTATCTGCAGTCCAACGACATTCTGGAGATCAAGCCCGACACCTTTGCAGCACTCATGAACCTGGACACCCTTGACTTGTCGTACAACAGCCTGGAGTTTCTGGAGGAGCAGATCTTCGGGTCCAACACTCTGCTTCGTATGCGAAAGCTCAACCTGAATGGCAATCACCTGAAGCGTCTCCATCCGCTGGCCTTATCGTCGCTGCCTTTCCTGGAATATCTGTCCTTGGGACACAACGAACTAAAATCCCTCGATGTGCGCATGTTTGCGCCCATGCGACGCCTACAGAAGCTCCATCTGGGTCACAACCAGCTGGAAGAGATCACCATCGATGTGCTGGAGAGCTTGAGCAGCGTGTCCGAAGTCTTGGTGGACAACAACCGCCTGACATTTCTGGCCAAGGTAAACGTCAGCTTTCCCAACCTGAAACGGGTGGCCATCGAGGGCAATCCTTGGCAGTGTCCGTGCTTTGTAAAGCTACAGCACTGGCTGGCCACCAGGGAGGTGGTTTATCTGCGGGACAACACGGCCTACTACAAAGGTGAACGACCCCTCTGCATTGTGACATCGGTGGACCACTGCATCCAGAATCTGCAGGCAGTCCGGAAACTAAACATCCTTGGCGTTTATCAGGGGGAGCAGGTAGAGGCCGATGCCTTCGAGGAAGATATCAGTGCTGCCGAAGACTGAAGGATTTAAATAAAACCTACGACCAGGAACAATATAAAACCGCCTAAAAGATACTAAGGTTTCTGAACATTTACATTTTGGCCCTAGGTTATACCATAACCATTAATGTAATTTATAAATATCCAGCATAACCGCAAAACTATAGCTTAAGTTAATAAAATAAACAAATTTAAATTGAACGCAAAATTTCACAAAATAATGTTTTCAGACACAGATTGTTCAAAGATATATTGGATCGATTTATCATCTTGCGGGCATATTCCATATGGTTGCTGCGTCTCGAATGGGTTTTAATTTACAATTTAACAACTAAAACTCGAGTCGTTTAAGCGGACTTGACACGCAGGGCCAGAGCACTCAGGTCAGCAATGCACTTGTTGAGGGTCTCCTTCTCCTGCTGGGGCGAGATGCTGGCCAGCACGTTGCTGGTGATCCAGTTGACCATGTGCTTCTGGTTCAAACGGCGCTCGACGTGACGGCACTCCACCTGGTAGTCCAGGCGGCGCTTCACCTCAGAGTAGACGTTCATGGCACGCTCACGGAAAGCGGCCTCCAGCTGCAAGGCAATGTTCTCCTTCTTGGCCTCCATCAGCAGCAGGGCACCATCAGCACGCCACTGCTCCTTCTTCTCGGCCTCAATGGCGTCGGACAGCACCTTGAGTTCGGCTTCGCGTCCCTCCTTCCACTCAGCCTCGATTTTCTGCAAATTGGAGATGATATTAGCATCTTGAACTTATTGGAAACATAAATAGCATCAAACCACTATGGGAAGAGGGTTTTGGAGGGGGTCCTCGGTTTAATCTATTACTTACATCGATTTCGCCATCAGCCCACTTGGCAATCACTGGGCCGAGTTTCTTGACGGCGATAACGGCCATGATGCCAAGGGACAGACCGCTGTAGTACTCGTGCTCCATGACGTAGATTTCCTTGGAGCACAAGTAGGTGATCAGACCCACGCCGAAAGTGTAGGGTCCGGTGACACCGGTCTTGTTGTAGAAGAACTGGAACCACTCCTCAGGAATGAAGCCCAGGCGAACCTTGCCAGGGTGCTCTGGACGCTGGCGGCGTTCGACGGCACCACCGGCGGGCGAAGCGGCGGCAGCAGCAGCCGACCGGGTGGCGGCCACGGTCAAGGGGCGCTGGGCTGAAAATGCAAAAATCTCGATTAGTATTATTCCATTTTTGGCACTGCTTGATGACGTATAGGAATATCTTTGACGCGGTTGGATAAATCCATGATTCTCCACTTCAAAAACTACCACATAAAGATGTCCTTTAACTGTTTTGTTTGGATTTGCAAAAATTCAGCCGTTTTGACGTATACGGTGGGTGATTACATAAACCACGATGTCCCACGACTTTGCAATGCCGTAACAATTTTTACGGGCGTCGCGAACCGCAGTTTTAAGCACCAGCCGGGAACTTGTTGTAAGCAGCAGTCGATTTGCAGTTTTTTCACCAGTTTTTAAGCTTACCTGTGAGAAGAGCGGCTCTCGAGAACATTTTTGCAGGCAGTTGCGACGAATTTATGCTACTAAATTGCCCCCGAATCGACAGTTCACAATAGTAATCTACGAATGACAAGTGATACCAGGGCTACCAGATCGACTGAATGTGACAGATAAAAAGCCGTGTTTTACAACACTATTGTGTGTGGCGCCGAAATTTAAGCTTATTTTCAAACTTAACAAGATGGTCCTTTTCGTACTTAATTTCATAACCATCCATCTATTTATAAAAACCAATTTTTTAACTTTACAAGTTTTTATTAAAAAATATTACAATTTGCTAGATAAATTGTGCCTAACATAATCAATTTTAGCTGTGAAACAATATGCATTAAAATACTTTTACAAAATACTATAGAAACAGCGAACAGAGGTGTTTTAAAAAGGTTTTATGCTTTAGGTCGGGGTTTTCATTAACTGGCTTTCATATAACATTATTTTGTTCTCAGTTCAAAGCTATTTGCGTGAAGATTTCATAAATTAGGTATTAAAGCATGAGCATCTTTGTTGTAGGTTGTCGCTAAACTAAATGACTGTCTTGTGCGTGGAACTTAAAACGTACATAAAAAAGGATAAACACGCATTCAATAGAAAATCAAAATTAAAAAAATTCAAAATCACTCGGCATTTTAAAACAAAACATATGACTATTTACAGCAGTGAACAGATAGATATCATTTTAAACGTAATAATACACTTATCGAATTATTTTACAACTTTAAACTTATGGTTCTGTTGTTGTTCTTTGCTAGATCTTTTCTCTCTCCGCACTTTGTATAAAAACGTAATGGTTCTGCGGATGTTGCCTAACATTCATAATGAAGGTGTGTCTGAGTGGGTGCGTGTACATATGCATATATATAGATGTGTGTAACAGAATGACATAATGCTAACACTGCTATCGTTATAGACTCGAAAGGAAGTGAAGGATTACCGGTTGTGCAACGGTCCCAGGCTCAATCGATGAAATTAAAACGCGTCAACAGCTTATGGTAGAACCAGCGTACAACCTGCTGAACCCGACCGGCCACCCACGCGCACAGGCTGCTCGTGTGCCGCACCTTGGAAGCGTAGTGCTTGATGTGATCTGTGCAGTAGAGAGTTAAGAAGGCAACCAAAAGTATAGGGAAATCAGAAAAATAAAAATGAACAAAGCAACCCATGATAGGTATTTTTGAAAAGGATATAATAGTGTCCAGGGCGGGTGGCCGCCGTTAATATAGTTCACATAGGTGAAACCGTCCTTGCCCTTGCCCCGAATATTGTAGTAGTAGGGCAGGAAAGAGTGAAGCGTAAATCTGGAAAGTAAAACGGAGCGGAAGTTAATAGATTCGGCACACGCAACTTTGTTAAGGATAGACAAAACGATTAAAGAAAGAGCTATGCTAGTTCATCCCCGCAGGGTCAGCAGATACCTTCTCTTCTCGTAGAAAAATATGGCAGGTTGGTTGGTGGTCAGCGTGTGGAGGAAGATGGCCTTTACCGAATGCCGCTCAGCCGTCGTCAGGTGGTTCATTAGCGCGTCCAGCAACAGCGACCCGATCCCGTTCCTCCGATGCGAGCGATGCACACCCAGCGACAGAATATAGCCAACGTCAGCGGTGCGACCCATCGAGTCCGGCAGGATGCCCTTGTCCTGCATGGGAAAACCGCTCAGCCTGGTGTACAACTCATCACTATCACTCATATTGGCTATTACCTCCTTATTAACATTTCGATACGGTTTGATTTCGGCAACGATTAAACCAATTATGGCCAGATTATAAACAGCCGCCAGCGCAAAGAAGCGCGTGCTAGAGGTAATATCCTCGTACCATGAGAGTGGATAGTCGATTGGAAACCATTCTTGGCACAGCTGCCGCACCTGAAACGAGTGTCGGTAGATAGAGAGTGCAATCTGTGACGATCAGCCGTGCTCTGGCGATCAAATAACTTTAAGGTTTCTTCATTAATACAGAACAGAGCACGGCTGTATCTTTCCGGCTGATCGAGAGCCCACTCACCTCTGTCAGGTCATCGGGTACCAGAAAGCGTAGCTGGACATCATTTATGGAGCACAGAGGTACGTGATCGCAGTCCACACGCGTACTGTCGCTGGGCGGCGCACTGTGTTTATTGTAGCTAATTGAGACGCCATTACAAAGTGCCGAAAACGAATGGTAATGTTCATGATCATTGTGTTAGTGGTTTACCGATTTCACTTGCATAATCCGAAGCGTCGCGCCAATAGATAAACAAAGCTCCATTGACGCCAGACTCAACATTATGCCAGGCCGCTCCACTTTGCGACGTGGTGCAGCGATAACAAACAGATACTCACAGCGTGAATTGTGCCATCCTATTGTCCCACTGCTGCGGCTGCTGCTTCTCTGTCCAATTAGACCAATTATGTCCATTTATTGCACCACCGTCTCCTTTGCCGCTGACGCTGCCGTAGCCACCGCCACCGCCCGAACAGGTTAAGTGCGGAATCTTGTCAAGCGGAGCCCTCCGGGTGTATAGTTGAGTTTGGTGCGTGTTTTCGGGTGTGCTCTCAATTGGTTTTAATTAAAATTTACATTCGTCTCCGAGGGCGAAGTGTTTGGATTCGAAGGGAAGCGAGGGGAACGGAACCACTTGCTCTGGATCTGATCTGAAGTGATGTCGTGATGGTCTAGTGCCTGTGGGAAAGCATCCGGGTATCCGTTACAACTCTGCTCCGCTCGTCTTGCATGCCGTTGCTGCTGTCCGCTGGTCAGAAAACGCATCGCCCCACGAAATCATCCTGGCTCATAAACTCAAGTCACTATGCTTTCCCTCTTTATTGTGTGTGGGACTCGAGGGGTCCCCGGCTTTCCAGGTATCCTTGTCAATGGCGGTGCTAGTTTCCACCCAAGCCAGTATAGAATATCCCCGTATCTGATGTTATTATGTACGAGCAATTAAAACAAATTCCAATATTATTAAAAAAAAAATTAAACTAGTGATGTGGTGGAAACAGTGTTGCTAACGTATGCACAAGCCCATAAGAATTTTTCAACACAGGAAAAATATCTCAACCGTATTGCACGACCCATAGCTTATATCGACAATGAGCGCCAAAGTTTAAAATAAGAATTTAGATTTTTAAATATTTTAATGAGTTTAATCTTTTATTACAAATATTTCGAACTAGCCTATGTACATGGTTTAAAACCTCCTCGTCTGACCAACCGCTTGCGAGGTACTCGGGGCAGGAGCCGTTTGCTTGGCGGGATCCTCCAAAACCCGTACCATCATCGAAGACTTGGGTCCAGTGCACCAGGTTATTCCGTTCTCATCCACCACAAAAGTCTCCAGGGTAACCTGGAAGTGCCCGCCACTGGAAATGGGTAGCAGGAAGCTGCCGGAAAGGAAATCGCGCTGCGGCTTTACAATCTGGTTGAGCGTCACGGTATCGTTAGCTCCAGACTTCGGTAGCTCTTGGACTGATCTTGGCGGGGGAGTAATAAGTTGGGAGGTAAGACTTAGTTGCACCGACTCAACGCGTCGGAAGTGCTTTTTCTGTTTGCTGAAATGTTGGAGGACTCCTTCTACCTTGATCACGAGATTACTGCCAGATTGCACGTTTACGGGCTCGGTGGCGCTTCTAGGCTGCGGACTTACGGATAACTTAATCTGTGTCGATTGCAGGATCTGGAAGAAGTAACGAGGCAGACACAGAGGTGTCTTGGTAATTATCTCAATCTGTGCTATAATGACGTCGAGGTGGCGGTTGCTTATTGTTTTAGCGTTGGCTGGTTCCTGCGGCAAGTTCTTTTGCATTTGCTCCATTCGCTGACAACTGGCTGCAAAATAGCGAGTTTCCGGATGATCTCCAGTGGTCAGAAACACAGGAGGTTCCGGGGGTGTGGCATAGCAAATTGATTCAATAATGTGGGCGAACAAAGCGCATTGAAACTCGGCAACCTCTAAGAATTCCAAAGTCACATGATCGGCATCAAATGAAGATTTGTAGAGCCTGGCGTAGGTTTCCTCGCAGGCTTTCAGTGCTTTGACCAACTTGCGCAATTGGTTTGTGACATGGCCAAACTTTTGCAGGTAATCCCTGGAGTTCTGAGCCAAGCTTCCAGCGATGGCCGGTGGTGGGACAATCACTTGGGCATTCTTCACAGTAACCGCTAGGTGAAGGGTCTGCAGAAACTGAGCACGGATCTTCAGATACTCCAGCTGAAAGGTGCACGGGTGCTGGGGCGACGAGCATGCTCGCAAGCTAGCCAATGCCTGTTGGTAAAGATTGCTGGCAGCCTCCAATCGCTTCATCAGCGGCATTACTGGTTCTGGTGCAGCTTTTGGTGCATAATTTTCCCTCATTTGAGCATAATCGACTCCGTAGTTTAGAATGCACTCCGCCTGGGAAATCTGCGAGAGGGCTAGCAAAAAATAGTGCATGTGATCGCTGATTACGATCTGGGAAACCTTAGTGTAAATATGGGCAGCCACATAGTGGTGACCATAGCGACTAGCAGTGCGTGCGATCCTGTATAGCGTCCAGCAGTTTAGTCTGCCCAAGCACTTTTCAAAGCACTGAACAATCTTTTGCGGGAGATAGCAGCCCATGGTGGTTTGAAGAACCAGAGCACTAAGAATCTCCACAGTTCGCAGCTGATCGCAGTTTTCCTGGTCAATAATGGTGTTTAGTTTGTGCAAAATGAGCGGTAGACGGGCCAACATGGGATTAACCTATAAAATAATGGATTATAAGAATATTTTGAAAGATTTTTAATAATTTGTTTACCTTTGGCGGCGGCAACTCGTCAATATCCATAGCATTTTCATCAACCATTAAACCTTCTGTTGTGGAAAAGGCATACTTCCTCAACTGAAAGTGTTCACAAAGACCCACCAAAGCCTCGCAAATAAGCTCGGCGTTGGCTGGCGGGTAGACTACCTTGTCGCCCAAGGTATTTGTCACGATTTCGATGAAGGACGTTCCAAATTCAGCATTCGCTTGAGTGATTCTGATGCCGTATGTGAGGACCCTTCGCAGATCACGCGTGCACTCGGCCCGACGAGCTGTACTTAACAGCAATCCCTCCATGTGAAGGTTGACTATGTGAAGGATATCCTCAATTTCATTGGTATTCTCGCGTTTTTTTATTCCATAAGCTACTAGCACCGATAGAACAGCCATGGCCTGCGTGGCTGTGGTGTAATCATCTAACTTGCTAATGCACTGAATGCACAGCCGAAGAAGCGCCCCTCGATGCTCGCGAAGCAGCTGCTGGCAAGTCAAGGGACACTCGCTTAGCTTCAGCAAAATGGAGAGGAAGAGAAACTGCTCCTGGGAATTGGTGCAGGCCCCAAATCTTCCGATAAGCGCTTCAATAGCCGGCTTGGGCCAGGCGTGCACACTTTGCTTTCCGGCTAGTTCGTTAAAGGATCTCAGAACTTGAATTCGCACTGGCGTCCTTAGATCCTGCATAAAATCCAGCAGAACCTCCAGTTGCCCTGGGACTCCTACCAGCGTTCGAGAAGATAACTGTGTTAAGGTATCTATAATGGCCACCACAAAGCTCTGAGCCGGATATTTGGGCAAAAGGTCCATGCATAACCTGCTGACTAAAGCAGCTGTGTTGGCATCGTGATGCATGTGCCGCAGAACCGGGATTAGAAGTAGCTTCATCGGAACGGGCACCTGCAGGGACTCGATCATGTCGGAGATCTTGGCGCACATACTAATAGCGAATGAGCTTGATTGAGCAGCGAAGCAACTGCTGGCGTAAATCGCAGCCTCTACTTCGACGGTATCGTGGCTATCTAGGGCTCTTCGAATGGCATGGTGGACCTGTTGCTTCTCGGGAATAACTCGTGAAACTGCGCCCAAAGTCCGCAGGAGTAAGGCTCGAGCCACAGGATCGTTCGAGTGCATTACCATGAAGATGCGCCTTACAAAGTTGTCAATGTTAAGGATCTTGTCCAGATGATTCTCACTCTGCTGGCAGACTCTCAAAACCCAGAAGCGTAGAAGATTCGATCCACTCACAAAGAACTCGGCGAGCTTGATGAACGAAGAGTTGATTAGAATGGGAAACGGGTACTTCTCGAATAGACGTGGAAAGCGGACGATCGCCTCACACTGGATACCCTGCTTGGCGCTCCGTAATCCTTTGTCCAGTTCCATGAGCACCGCATTGGAATCGTGCTCATTTTCATTGAGGAAACTCTCGTTAAAGGTGCTAACTCTTGTGCCGGTTAGGTGTGCCATCATGGAAGGTGTTTCCACTCACAATAATTGAAATAATTGTGTTATTTTTTAATTTTATCCACAACAATAATTGTAAACAAACCGGCTGACAGAAATCTTCTTCTTTTCTTCAATCTTCTTTAGCTATCGATATTCTACTGCCATTTAAACTATCGATAACCAAATCGATGAAAGCTGGTATTTTAATGTATGGTATGTGCCCGCCTAGTCTACGGTCTTCTTGAACAATTTATCTATGTTTGTAATTTCGTGATTTTATTTAAATTATGTTCGTCCTAACAAAAGGCAAGTTTTAATAACATTATTATTGGACATTTTCATCATTGAACTACTCTCCATGTCCCTCAGATAATGAAAAGTTCGTGTTGTTGCCCAACAAACCTGTTTACACCGTTGGCCGTCAAGCCACAGATTTGATTATCAAGGAGGACCTCAGTGTCAGTCGCACTCATGTCAAGTTCCACCTGCCAGATGAAGAAGATGCTAGCCTCAAAATTGAGGATCTTGGCTCCAGATATGGCACCTTTATTTTCTCCGGAAGCACTAATGAAGCGAAAAAAGTGGCTCCAAAACAATTGACTCCTATTCCTGTGGGAATAAGAGTGCGATTTGGCGGCACGACGAGTATTTGGAAAGTGACGCAGTTGAAAATATTAACCACTACTTCCTCATTGGGTCAAGAGGAGGTTCAGGATCTGGTGGCACTGCTGAGACCTTTGGGGGGCGCTGTAACATCTGCCTGGACCGAGGGGTGCTCACACCTCACCATGAACGGAGCTTCAGTTACTGTGAAGCTGTTGCACGCAATGTTGGAGAACAAACCCATTGTGACGGTTGCCTACTGGCGAGATATGCTAAAGACGGCGCAACGTATTCACGTAAAGGAAGGATGGCCCCAGCCAGAGGACTACCAGCCCCCCAATTTGGATGTTAAGTGGAGGCCCGAGCGCACCCGACTCTTTGCTGGAAAAACGTTCATATTTATGCACCGCAAACACATCGACATGTATGGATCAGTCGTGCAAAAAGCTGGAGCCGCCTGCAAGGATCTAAATAATGGCGTGCGCAAGACATTCTTAACCAGAAAGAATGTTATAGTGGTCCAGTACGTGCCTTCAACACAGTCCCAGTCCACAGAATCTGTTAATTTTGTTATAGGTGGGTAACCATAACTGAAATTGGAACTTTTTTAAATCTATTTTTTTATATAGACACTCTGGAGCAGGCTGGACTGCGGATTATCCAGGAGTATGAGATTGGAATGGCTTTGATCAACTGCTCCATCGCCGAGTTCTGTAATCCGCTTCACAAGTTAAGCAATGACTCAATGCCCACCACTGAGTCTATGACATCCTCGATCGCGCTTAACTCCTCTATCCTGGCACCCAACACGGAACGAAGCGAACGTCAATCGATTCCTGCATTTACATCGGAACTAACAGTTCCAGAATCCGATGCCTATGAAATGGATGAATCAGAAGATCAAAGTGCAAAAAAGGTAATGGCAAAACGATGTCATGCCTCAATTTCCAAGTCTTCGGATGATGAGGTGGTAAATAATGTCAAACGAGCCAGGTCGAGTATTCAAGAAGAACCAAAGATTCGAAACAAAAATCCAATAATGATCGAGTCCTCTGATGAGGAGGAATCCCCGAAACCCCCACCGCCAGTTCAAAAAAGGGAATTGGCGAAGAAAAACAAACCAGTATATGTAGACTCTTCCGATGAAGAAAACTCTCCTGCTGCAGAGAAAGAAAAAGAAATTGAGAAGAAGAAGGAGGTGACCCGGTCACCAGCCACCCGGTCGTCATCTCGCTTGAATGCCGACAACAAAACTACAAATATAACGAAAACATTGCCGGCAAAAACACCCGCAGTACTTGAAAGAAAGAATATAACTAACGAACCGCCTAAAAATCCAACAATTAAACCCAAATCCAGTACAGTTCTCACAGTAGCTTCAGATGATTATGATGATGAAGAGCTATTCCAATTCAGTAAACCTTCCGAAGAGCCAACAGAATCCAGCAATGTGGCGAAACCTGTTTCCAGGACCAACACCAGGACCAAAAATCCAACAACTAAACCCAAATCCAGTACAGTTCTCACAGTAGCTTCAGATGATGATGATGAAGAGCTATTTCAATTTAGTACACCTTCCGAAGAGCCAAAAGAATCCAGAAATCAGGCTAAATCAGGCCAGGTTTCCAGGTCCAATACCAGCTCTAGGATAAGTGTTGCAAACTTTTTGGAAAAATCCCAACCACAAGAACCCCGGCCTTCAAATTCGCAATCCCAGCTCCAGTCGCAAACTCAACCTCGTAAGCGTCTACGACTGGAACCCTTGAATGAAAGCGACAGCGATGATGGCGAAAATCTCTTTAATTTTGCTGGCAGTAAAAAGAAAAAGAGAAATCATGAGGAGGAGGCCAAAAACGATTCCAACGAAGGCTTTTTCAACTTTAACTCGAATACTGAAGTAGATCAGGATTTCATACCCACTGAACCCTTTCCATCGAAAGTTGAAAACAAGTCGATGTCAAAGTATGTGGTGCCGCAGCGAAAGGAGGTGCCTAAAAAGGTGGACGTGAGTGGATGGTTGTCGGGCAGCAGGCTGCACCAGACCATCAAATCGGAGGCGAATGTCAGCTTGGATGGAGGCGAGAATCTCGAAGTGAAACTTGAAAAATCCATCAAAGAAGATCCAGATGAGGAAAATGACAACAAAGCCAACTTGAAGTGGGAAATGTCCATGAAGGATAGCATTCAGGTGAAAATGTGTAGCCTTAATATTTCCAATCGCTCACAGGACGAGCTAGATGCTCCACTCGAGACTTATGAAAGCAAATATGCCGACCACAAGAACTTTAAAAAGTTTGTCAAGGTATGTAGGTGGTTCTGATGTTCCTTAGGAGATTATACAAATTTTAACTTATTTTTAGACTTCCAATTTACACCTCCGCGCCCCGATTGCTCCTCTGAAACGCCTCCAGCTGGCAGATGGATTTGTGACCTGTATTTAAGTACTTGACCTTCACATATTTATTTAATTTTGCTAACAACAAATTTACTAAATAAACTCAAAGCTTTAGCCGGATCCTTGGGCAGTTTTTGGTGGAAAAGTTTTTGGGCTGCGAGCCACTCGTGCTTGGGGATCTTTTTCGTGAAGCAGTCTTCCGGCAGTGGATTCTGCTTCCTTGCCTTCGATTCACGGGCAATAAATCTTTGGGCATCCTCCACAGTGGCCAGCGCATCCTCGTTGAAAATGATCTTGGGGGTCTCTTTCCGAGCAATAACCACACCAACGTCGGATTTGGACTTTTGCACGCGGGTTATCACTTCTTTGGGATTCAGAAGCACAGTCTGGGGTTTTTCATCCTTAGCTTCGTTTTGTGGTGTTCCTATAGGATCCAGATTGTCTGGCAATTCTTGATTTCCTCCCAAGAACTTGTGATTTTTCACCTTCGGAAAGCTTTCCCTGTGTAACCTTAAGTTGTTATACAGGAGCGCACTCTGAGTAGCCTGGTGAGCACTCAGTTTTTTTATTTTTGCGATCGCAGCAATCAGCAGCACGGTAAAGTCCATGAAGAAGTTGCTCCTTAGCAGTTTGGTGAAATAGGCGGCTGCCGTGAGGCAACACTCTCCAATGCGTTTATGCAAATAATAAAATCCCAATAGTCGGACAAGGATAAACTCAAAGCTACTTTGGGTTGGCAGTGCGCCCTCCACATCATCAGCGTAGACATCCGGCAAGGATCCTCGAAACTGTTCCAGATCTCGGTACAAATCCAAACGTAGTAGACGGCACAGAGCGGAGTTTAGTTTACAGATGGCTCTGAATCCAGGCATGTTCCGGAAGGAGTTCTTTCGGCGAGTCATTAGGCGACCTATCAATGCTGCTGTTTCATCAAAGTCTTTGGAATCCTGGCCACCCATCTGTTGCAGGAACTTGTTGATAGCCGCAAACACATTTTTGGCTGTGCATCAGAAAAAATGTTATTAAAAGGTTTGTTTTAATTCAATGTATTCAAACCTACCAAAAGCTGTATTCTCCACTTCAATAGTCACTAGGGGCGGTTTTTTTAATTCAAAATCATTCCAAAAACATTGATCCTGGGCCATGCTGAATAAAAATGTAAATAATAATAGGACTGTCCACTTGTTGAAGGCAGATTTTCCAGCTGTTGATTTTGTTGGGATTAATGTCTTGAGAAGTTATGGTCTCACTAGCGGTACACGTGCGAAGAAGAATTTAAAACATTGAGGCATTGTAATTATAAATTATGAAGAAAAAGCAAGTTGAAAGCGATTCAGAGGAGGACCAGCTGCAGGCTGAGGACTCAGATGCATCTGGGGTGGAGGCGGAGGAGGAGGAGGACCTTCAGGAAGAAGACACTGAGGACGAGTTGGATTTGGGAGCCAGTTCTACGGAGTCCGACGAAGATTCCGACGAGGAATCACCGGAAGATGAAGCTCCCAAGAGCAAGGAAGAGCAGATTAACGAAAAGATTCATGCCAAATACGAACAGCTAAAAGGCACCCGTCTATATGTTTGTTTTCCCCAAAAATTACCGCTGGATGTGGAGGAATTCAATGCGAAGGTTAAGGCCCTTCATCCGTTGGTGGTGAAATCCACAAAACCGCGTCAGAAACATGCCCGTTTCTGTTTGGTTAACTTCGGATCCCCCGAAAACCGTGACAAAGCCTACGAGGATATCAAATCGTCCATCCAAAATGATCCAAAGTTCAAGGGATTATTCGTTTCGCTGCCAAAAACCGAGTCCGATGATTTTGTCAATGAACTTGTAACGAAGAAGCAACTGTCGCAGGAGAAAAAGCGCACAAAGTCGCGTATGAAGCGGGCTACGAAACTGCTGAAGAAGAAGGGAACCTTCACCACGTCCATTGTTATTACAAACCTACCGAAAACAAGCTCGGTGGCGCAAGTGCGCCAATTGTTCGCCGACGCAGTTGACATTCAAATACGACCCGGTAAGGGCAAGTTCAGGGAGTTCAGTGCGGCGACCGTAACCTTGCCAACCTCACACGATGCACGCTTGGCCATCAAAAAGAAGTTGAGCCTTTCGGGCACGGAACTAATACTTCGCTTCAACACTGCAAACAAGCGGAAACCGAAAGATAAACTCAAACAAAAAGCGGATAAGGGTAAATCCCCGCAAAAGAAACAAAAGCAAAAGGAAAAAGATACCAAGAAAGCAGAAACAGAAAAAGGGGATTCCCCTAAAAAGAAGAAAGCCAATCCGAAACGCAAGGCCGATGGAGGAGATATCAAAAAAATCAACACACCGAAAAAGATGAAAAAACTAACCGCAGAATAGCAATAATTAATGTTCCCTAATTTTAATAAAGACTCCTACGTTTAAAAACAAATATGGTACTTCTTCTCCACCTGTTAAGATATGCTTAGATCACTTAATTTTTAAAATATTTATTATCGTACACGATATACAGACATAGATATATTTATATATATATATATATATATTTAGCAAGCCGGCTGAGTGATTTTTTCTGGATATACATAGACTGGTTATTTTTTAGCTTATATATTTATGAGATTTTCATGTGCACCGAGTTCATGTTCGTAAACTTGAGGGGGTGTTGTTTCTTGTGTTCTCGATTTGTAGCTTCAAAGGTGTATTTTGTATCCAACAGTAAGCGGGTAGGGTAGATAAGGGTTATTCATATGTTTAGTTTTTCAATCCTAGTACAAAATATTCAACATTTGCGTATTAGCAAGTATTTAACGTGGGCACGAGGGCTAGCTAGCACAGCTCTCCATCTATATTTAAATTTCATACAATCGAATAGCTTATCCTGTTGCTGTGCATCGTGTCTCGCTTTATTGATTTTTTTTGTTTTGTTTGTTTGCAATACCACAAGCCCCGTGCGGGTCAAAGGAGAATCGATAAGTGGGCGACGCAAATATGGGGGGAAACGTAATATTATAAAAATGCATACAATGATGAAGAAAAAAATATATAGAAACGCGTTTCCGTTTGTTTAGCTCGTTTAGGTAGTAATTATCCTTATTTCCTATAATGAATTGAGTTTTTTTTTTTGTTTTAGTTTTTCAAAATAGTGTAAATACAATAAAAATTTATATATTTCTCCATTCGTAGCTCTCAATGAATTTCAGAAACAGCAATCATTCAACCACATTACTATATTATTATTCATATGCTGTTTCCACTTCTGTTCCATTCACATCTCGCTATCAAGCAGTCTCACATATTTGCTGTTATTTGTTCGGTCTCCTCCTCATCCTCGTCCTCATCCTCGCCCATCGGTTCTCCGGTCTCTTGGATAATGTCACATTCCTCCGTCCTCTGCCGCCCTTGGATCATTTTTAAAAGCTATAAGGCGTTTACATCCGCTCAAGTTTCTGATAAACTGGTGTTTGCGATTTACATAAAAAAAAAGAAAGATATATCCTCGCATATTTTGTTCATAAAAGACATACAAGTTCATTTAATGTGCAGCTGATAAGAAATGTAAGATGAATCATGAGCCTGCTCCTATATTTTTAGCTGTCAGGGTTATCGGGAAGTTATTTAGAAAGATTGGGGGCTCTTTGGATAGTAATAATATTGTAATAATAGTGTGTAAATTACGTGTGCAGCAGCCGATCCCGGGCGCCGCCATCATTGCCACTACCCGATTTGGAGTTTGATTTCGAGCTGGAGATGCTGTAGTTGGCGGATGATGGCGGCGGCGGAGGCGGCTGTGCCGGCGGTGAGCGCAACGGAATGGACGGCTGCACAAACCGTACTCGTTCCGCATCCCCATCTACATCTGGATCCGTTCCACCGGTACTGTTGCCGGCCGCTGCAGCCGCCGCCGCTCCGGCTGCCGCGTTGAAGGCCGATGTGAACGCGGTGGCGGCTCAAAGGGTGTGGTAATTTCGCTCGTTGTGAGCCTTGTAGAACTTGTAGGCCACCAATCCAATGGCCAGCAGACCAAGGGTCAGCACAATGCCACCAACAAATGAAGATCCATCGAATCTGCGGCACGGCTGCGGCTCTGGCGCCGGTGTGGTGGATGTGTGCGGCGGTGGTGTGGTGGTCGTTGTGTTTGGAGCTGCAGTTGTAGTTGTTGTTGTTGTGGTGGTGGCTGGAGTTGTTGTGGTCGTCTTCTCCGTGGTAGTCGTAGCCGGCGTAGTCGTAGTCGTTGTAGTGGGAGTGGTTGTAGTTGGTTTTGTGGTGGTAGGCGTTGTCGTTGGAACCGTGGTAGCCGGAGTGGTTGAGGATGTTGTGGTGGTAGCCGGTGTCGTGGTGTTCTTATCATCGGGAACCGTTACCGGAATAGTTGTACCTTCGGTTGTTGTTGTTGTTGTTGGGGTGGTGACTACAAAAATTGTGATAAACAGAAATTATGTCAGCCAAGTAATCAATTTTCAAAGCAATAGTACGGCAAAAAAAAAGGATCCAAAAAGAAGGACACCCCGAGCGGATTGATGAGCCTGTCGGTTTGTTGAATTACCTTTCAGTCTTATGCTGACAATATTTTTAGAGCTTTACATTGGTTGATTTACTCTGCCATGACATCACCCAAACAAATAGAGAGTTTCAAGATAAATATATTTGATTACATGTATGGATAGCCTCATTTTAAAGTGCATACAAAGGGTATGAACTCAAGGGAGCACTTTTTTCAGGATTGCAATTCTCACACTTCTTTTTCTTTACCTAGGGTATTACCCCAAAATAAAAATTGAATAAATTGGGCAGGTATTGATATTCGATTTGATTATTTACCCCACGGGTTTGGCATTTAAAAAAAAAAAAAGCCCCAAACCCATACAGCGATAATGTTTTGCCACACGGACACCACATACGGTCGTGTGTGAGTGGACATAATTGAGTATTCTTTTGCAAATTAATGTAATTCTTACCTTCATCGCACAAATTGGCGGAGAAGAGGCCCACAAACAGACACAAGATAAGGAATTTCGCCTGCCGATTCATGGTGTTAAGAATATATATATATATATTTATGTATATATATTGTTTATTTTCCAAAGATGAAGTATCTGCGCGATTCGGTTGCGACGTGTTATGGCTGCTGTTGCTGCGTAAAAAAAAATATGGTTCCAATATGAAGATTATGATTTTGCGGCAAATTCTATTGACCTGCAGTATTGCACAATTGACTCTATAGCAGAGCTCTGTTTTTGCTCACCCACAATTAAAGCAACGCGCAATTGAAGAATGAATAATCTTCGACACGACAGATTTTTTTTATGCACTTTGCAGGGCCCTGCCAACTCGACTATATCGACGAATCCCGATACATCGGCTGACAGCTGGTGTTTTCATTCCGTTATGGATTCGTCAGCCCTGGCTTATAAATCAATTGTTTTAGAAGGACAAATAAAAAAAAGTAAATAAACAATAATGATTTTAGATTTATTTTGCACTCTTTTTAGTCGTATTTTATCAACGCGAGAGTTTAGGAAGGTATTACATTTATAGGGGAATCCCCGTGGCAAAATTGTTTATCCTTTTTTTTTTAGTTAAAAAAAAAACAATAAAACAATACAAATTATTAAATTTTGAAGAAAAATACCAATTTCTATTAGAAGAATCGAATAAATCCCTGTAAAGAAATTTTAATAAACATTAAACAGCTGAAAGCACCGGATTAAATCCAGAGTAGAAATCTGGCTAACGCCTATTTGATAACAGTTGGCCACACTACACCCAATTGGTGATTCAGATTTTGAGGGCAGACTTATTTTCCACTTCATTTTTATGGCCCCTTTGTATAAGGGTTTCGAAATTTCGTAAAGGAGCTAAGCAGAGCAGTACAGGAAGTGGAAAACCAGCTAGAAAGATGACCTCGTACGTACGGGCTATGTACGACTTCAGCGGCGAGCCGGGCTCCTCTGAGTTGTCGATCGTCACGGGCGAGGTTCTCTCGGTGACGCGCAGTGACGTTGGCGAGGGATGGTGGGAGGGTAAAAATGTCCGCGGTCAGGTCGGGCTTTTTCCCGCTGCCTACGTCGAGGTCCTGTCCGCCGCAGAGGCCCAGAAGCTGAACTCCAGTGGAGCTGCAGCAGTGCCCCAAGTTCCTGATCCTTTTGCCACCTCCCCACCGCCACGCTATGATCAGACGGCTGAAGATTGGGACGATGACGACGACTGGAGTGATGACAATGACACATACTCGGAGATTGGACAGGGAGCGCAAAAGGTACAAGCTACCGGGGCGACATCAGCCCGAATTGGAGACTATGACCACAAAACGCTGCCAGGACCGCCCAACGATGACACGCAATCATTGGCTTCGGCTGCAGGCACAGGAGCTGGTGCCTCCGGGACCGTGAAGAAGGGCATGTTCGCCAAGAGCTCTGACTCATATATACTCGGCCTGTCCAACACCACAGAGAAGATTCCAGAAAGCGAATTGGCGTACATCACCCAGGTGGAAGATACCATCTACCAGTGGACGAAAAACCAATCTCCCTACTCTGTTGTGGTGGCTAGCCCGAAGAAGGAGTCCAAATTCAAGGGGATGAAGACGTTTATTGCCTACCAGCTGACGCCTAGTTTCAACAACATATCCGTAAGTTCACTCCGCTATCGCTGTGATTAACAACACAATACGATAAAGCTCCCCCTCATATTTCGCTGTTGTGTTGATAATTTGTGGCTTGTTTTTCGCTACCCTCTGTCAAGGGTAATTTGGGCTTAGGCCTCATTCTGCCCCAAAATGGGTAACCAACGTAGAATATTTCTCTCTTTGTTGAACTATTCTTTGGCACCTTTGTTCTTTGTTGAGAAATGGCCTACGTCGTGATTGCTTCTGCTACTGTATTGGAAGTTGACCGCAGCCCCCCTGTTTTCGTGACACATTTCATAATTAATTACTCATATCTAATCTGGTTTTCCCTTTCGTTAGGTGTCGCGTCGCTATAAACACTTTGACTGGTTGCACGAGCGGCTGGTGGACAAGTTCGCCCTGATCCCGGTACCACCGCTGCCCGACAAGCAGATCTCCGGTCGATATGAGGAACAGTTTGTGGAGCATCGGCGTGTCCAGTTGCAGGAGTTCGTCGACTGGGTGTGCCGTCACCCGGTTATGTCGAAGTGCGAGGTGTGGTACCATTTCCTAACGTGTCGAGACGAAAAGATATGGAAATCGGGCAAGCGCAAGGCGGAAAGGGATCCCTATATGGGAGTCAACTACTGCCTGGCCATCTTCCCGCCGGACAGGCATATATTGCCCTCCGTAATCGAGACACCGCTGGAGACCGGCATACAGTTCATCCACAGCATGGATGCGGCTGTACGCAATCTAAACAACATTTCCAATGACATGGCCAAGCGGTCGTTGGTGCAGAGCAAAAAAGAATTCCAGCGCATCGGTGATGGGCTATCGGACTTGGCGAAGGCATTGGGCATCGACGAGCGGCGTGCACCCACCCGTAACGCCATGCCACTCTCCGAAAGCGTTGGTCGCATCGGAGGCATCTTTATCGGTATTGGCCAGACTTTTGGCGAGCAGGCGAAATACGACTGGATCCCACTCTCCGATCGGCTTCACATTTACAGGTAAGCTTCTATTATTTAATTAAGCTACTAGTTTGATTTTACGATATTGTTTGGCTTTTAGGGGCGTTCTCAACTGCTTTCCGGACATCTTCTCCACGCACAAGGGCGCTATTCAGAAGCGCAAGGACTGCCAGCGCTCCCACGACGAGGGCAAGATGAGCAATCCCCAGCTGCAAGATGTCAACCGGCGCACAGACGTCGTCACCTACACGGTGATGGCAGAGCTAACTCATTTTAAAAGCGAACGCGACACCCATCTGAAGCAGACCCTGAAGACCTTTATTAACGAGCAGATTAAGTTCTACCAGGGCGTGGTGGCGCGCCTGCAAGAGGCGGCCCGTCAGATTGAGTAGCTTGACCTACGAGAGACCTGGAGATCGTCAGGGATCCGGCAGCACAAAGAAGGGAGAAACAAAGAAATCAACCACACAGGCACACACTTCCACAGATACAGATGGTACCACTGATGATACTAAATAGCTGAAAACATTCGCACGCGTGCATTTCAAATGCTTTAGGAGGAACTCTTATTTTAAGCGTGGTTTTAACTGACCGTTTCAAAAACCCTAAAAACCCTAAACAAAAAAAATATTCAATAATGTTGTTTGTAAGTAAAAAAAGTTGCGTATTTATACAGAAATTAACGTTTATATGCCTATTATACACTGAACTTGAAAATCAAATATAATTATATTTATACAAAAGCACTTGAAGATCTCCATACTTACATGTATTACTCTCCACGCACACTGACGCACTGACTCATCGTCGGAAGAGCCATCTACAAGCTCTGGAATTCTTCTGGAAGAACAAAGAAAGGAAGACGATCGTTTGGTTTTGCTATTCTGTTGCCATTATCAGCGAAATTCTCTAAAAGGGTTCTCTTTATTTTTGTTTCCATGCTTTTTTTTTGCTTTGCCATTTTCGCCATTTTCGCGTAATAAGTTTTGTGATTCTTTGTATTTTTTGTATCTAGAACATAGGGGTTAGATTGCACAAGTTACGGGGTCTCCATGTCGAGTTTATAAATAATCAGCGTAATAACTAGTAAAAACAAAAAAAGAAAACACATTTCGGAATGAATACAAAATTGGTTGTTTGCCTTTTAGCGCTGCGGTTCGATTTTTTTTTTTGGGTTAGGATTAGGATTAGGATTAGGAGGAGTTAGGATTGTCCTGGCGATTAAGGATTAGGGAGAGCGTGACCTGGGATCTGGGTTAGGGTTTTCACGGGGGCTCACTAAGTGGTAATACATCTAGATAAAAACGCTATATACAGACACACGAGTTAATAATAATAATATAACGCAGCATGAGATAATAATAATAATAATAATAATAGATTTTGGTTAACAATAATACAATAATTAGGTTTTTTTTTTCGCCTTCTGCTTTTTGTCGCTCTACTACTTTTTTTTTTTAGTTTTCGTTTTTCTTATGCCGTTTTTTTTTTTTTTTTAACAAACTACCAATAACAAATTTTTACTAATTCAATTTAAGTTTTTTTCCCTTTTTTTATGGTTTTGTTTATAAATTATTGTTGTTGCTTTCGGGTTACCTTGTTGTTACTATTCCTGTGTATTAAATTAAAGGAAAATCATCATAATTATCCTTTACCAATTCCTGGCGGTAAAACGGCCAATACGATGCCTCTATATATATATATATATGTATATATATACTTGTAGTTAATATTACACACAAGTGCTATATATGCCTTATACGTTTATGTTAATATGCAATGTGTCGGGCTATCCACGATCTCTAGCCGTAGTCGCCGCCAAAGCGTCCATGCTTGCTACTCCCGGTGCTGTTCTGCAGCTTCTCCGCCAACAGTGCCGCCTTTTGTTGCATGTAGGGATTGAAATGTTGCATGTACATTGATGCAGCGGCTGCAGCAGCATAGTTGTTGGCGTAGTTACTTCCCCGTTGGTTGTTGCTGCCTCCCCATTGCTGCTGCTGTTGTTGTTGTTGCTGCTGTTGAAGATGTTTCTGTTGCTGGTGCTGCTGTTGTTGATGTTGTTGATGTTGCTGCTGATTCTGTTGCTGTTGCTGCTGCTGCTGCTGGTGATGCTGCTGCTGTTGCTGTTGTTGATGCTGATGCTGCTGCCAGTAGCCCTGCTCCGACATATAATCGCCATCCTTCTGATACAGATACGAATTAAGCAGCGATTCGCGAGCGGCAGCGGCCGCCATCTGATTGCTCTGGAACATGTTCTCCATGGCCGCCGCCGCCGTGGGATAACAATACTTGTTGCTACTACTGTTGCTATGGTTTTGATTGTTGGCTGCTGGAAGTTGTGGTTGCTGTTGCTGAGTCTGCTGCTGCTGCTGCTGCTGTTGCTGTTGCTGCTTGGCGGCATGGTAGTTATAGTCCTGCTGCTGTTGCTGCTCCTCGAAGCTGGCCGTTCTGGATCCGGATACCGGTCCCGCTGCAGGTGCTGGCTCCTTTTGAGCCCGGCTTGACTGTCATTCGCCGGTGGCCGTCACTGTGGTCCACTGCCAGGGGCTGTTGTATCCTTGCTTCGGATTGCTGCACCAAAAGGATAGAATCTTGAGGATCACCGATTTTGGAATGAAAGTATGATACCAACCTGCCGAAAAGAGGATGCCACAACGCCGAATTGGCGTCCATTCCGCCAGCTCCGGCTGCTGCTGCTGCCGCCGCCGCCGCCTCGGCCAGGTGCTGCTGCTGGACATCCTGGGGCAGCATGTTGCCGCGCTTCCGCTGATGCTGCGATCCGGCCGAGGTGTGCATCTGCTGCTGCTTGGCCTGCTCCAGGGGGTTGTAGGTAACACTGGCTTTGCTGGATCGCAGGGTGCGCCCGGTTCCAGACTCCTTGGCCGGGTCTGGAACCGATTTGTGCATGGAGGGCCGGTTCCGCATCCCGTCGAAGGGCACGTTGAGCAAGGGCACCACGTTTGCCTCCGGCTCCAAAAGATTCGAAAGTGATTTGATGGTCAGTCGGGGTTTGTGCTCTGCTGGCGCAGGGGCTGCAGGTGCCGCGGCTGCCGGGACAGCTGAAGGCGGAGCAGTGGTACTGGCATTTGCAACTGGGATCTGCTTGGACTTGCTGAAGTCCGCTTCGGGTTCCCGCCTGGGACGTTTGTGCTCCTGGTGGTGATGCGATGTGCTAGACGACGAGGAAGACATCTCTTTGTTGGCCTCCCAGTTGAGGAACTGCGGCAACTGGGGCTGCAACAGCTTTTGCATGAGTGCCATCTCCACAGGATTGGTGAACCCATTAAAGGGATTGGCTCCAGCAGCCGTTGTGGATGGCGTGGCAGGAACAGGAGCAGGAGCGGGAGCTGTCGCTGGGGGTGGTGCCGGTGTGGGCACCTTGGGCTGTTGTTCCTCCGCGGGTTTCTGTTTCATGCAATGCTTGTACAGCTCGTCCAAGTGCTGCAGTCCGAACTGGCTGTTGTACAGCGGAAGGAGATTGCTCATAAACTTTCGTTGGAGTCCCAGAGGATCCTTCATGGTCTTGAAGAACTCCTGCGACAGCTGCCCGAAGTAGGGCATCCACAGCATCTGCTGGAGCAGCGCCAGGGTGGTGGCATTCAGATCCGTCGAAAGACTCGAATCCGCTGGAGATGGAGGAGTGGGAGCCACGGGAGGCACTGCCACTGCTGGAGGCTTTGGCTGGATAGGCACGGATTTTGGTTGTGATTGCTTTGGACTGGGACTTCTGGCTTTGCTGGGCACCACCACCACTGGATCGGGATCCTTGGGTAGCTTCGCCGTCTGCTCCGCCTCCGTTTTGAGTATAGCCTCCAGCTGCTCCATGGTTACCACCAGGATATTCGGATTCTGGATGATCTCCGGGTAGGCGAACGCCTCCGGTAGTCTTAGCTCTGGTCTGGTGGTTAGCAGCAGGGGAATCTCGCGGGCTGGAGAGGCCAGCACAGCACCAAGCCGATCCTTTGGCACGAGTATGGGATCCGGCACCTTCCACTGCGGATTGCTGATGAGCATCTTCAGCTGGGTCAGCGCGTCCGGATCCTTGTCCATCTTAATGCTGGCCTTCGGGCGTTTCTTCAGCGGCTGACTGGAGTCCTCCCCCTCCTCATCATCGATAACAACGGTCTCCAGTTTGCCCTCTCGTCCCACCTTGCCCAGATCCATGGGCTCCGCCTGCTGGGGATTGCTGTTCAGCTTGAGGAACTGCTCCAGGATGAGGTTTTTGATAGTCTCCGACGTGGTCTCCACTTCTGCCGGTATGGAGTTGGCTGGCAGTTGAAGTTCCCGCTCCGGAGACTTCAGAATGTCCGAACTGGAGGTCACAGCACACTGGCTGCGAGACTCCGAGGGTGGACACACCTCCTCGCGCTTCTTGTAGCTCAGATCCTTGGGCGTCTCCTCCGGATTCACTTCGCCCGCTGGCTGGTCCTTTTCCTTTTCCGGTGTGGGAGTCGGCGTGGGCGTTTGGGTCAGCTCCACCGTGGCCGGAGTAGGCGGATGGGGTTCCCGGTCCGCTGCATCCTGTTGCTTCTCGAAGGCTTCAATACCCAGGAAGAGCTCCCCGTTCAGACCCTCGATCTCGCCCGCCTCGTTAAAGGACAGACACTTCGGGGCATCGTCGCTGTCCATGTTGAGAATGCTGGGCAGGTCCTTGCCGAGATCGGGCACGCAGAAGGAGCTCAGTTCGTCGGACGTGGATGAGGAGTTCTGCTGGTTGTTCTCGGCCCCTGTGCTGCTCTCCTGGACGAGATTGTCCTCGCAGCTGCGCTTCACCAGCGAGTCCAGCAAGTCGGCACCGCTGCTCCCGTTGTCGCTGCTGCAGTTCTGAAGCAGATCGTCGGCGTCGTCCAGAAGATCCTTCAAGTTCTTGGTATTCGCATCGAGGCTCTCCACCGAATCGTGTCCCCCTCCAGCCAGCGGCTTGTCCGGCTCCGCTTCGACGGGTGACGCCTCCTCGGTGGCTGGCACCAAGGCGATATCCCCCTTGGGCAGGAAGAGGCCAGTCTTGGGGCATAGCTGCAGCTCCATCGGCGATGGAGTGGAGCTCTGATATGTGGGCGTGTTGGTCTTTGTGGCCTTGGTGGAGGCGTTGGTCTCCTCGCTGTCAAGCAATCCGTCGAAGCAGGGCGTGGGCTCTGGTGTATTCGATTCTGGTTGCTGGGTCGGTGGCAGCACCACCACATCCTCGATAACCGTGGGCAGATGGCCGTTCTCGAACTGTTCCGGTTCCTGATCCTCCTCCTCTACCTCATCCGGCAGTTGGGTGGCACTGTCCTCCCAGTCGTGCAGCAGATTTTGGGCAATACCCGGCAGCTGCGGCTCTGGCAGCTGCGCCTCCTCTTCGTGCTGCTCCAACTCCTCCTGCGTCTCGTGGTGCTCCTCTTCCTCCTCCTCCGCTTCCTGGGCCTGGAGCTGGTGGTGCTCTCGCTTCACCTTCATCAGGGGGGCGGTGGAGCCGTGGAAGAACTTCACTATCCTAGTGGAGGAAGCATCTGTGCGCGGCATGGACCGCCAGCCGTTGGTAGTCTTCGTCAAACGTATCCGGTTTCGCTTATCGTAGTCCTCGCAGCGCACCTCCACGATCCGGGTATCGTCCTGCTTGACCCACAGGAAGATGGGGTTGACGCTGGGAGTTGCGGGCGAGGCTTCGTGGGACGTGGGAGCGTTGACAGGAGGATTTGGAAGTGCTGCAGGTGTGGGAGTGACAGCAGGCGGCTCCGGCACAGTCGCCACCTCCTGGGCTTTGGATTGGGCCCTGAGCTTTGGGCTGATTCTTCTTGGGGCTGGAGCTGTTGTTTTGGTTTCAAGTTTTACGGCAGCAGTCTGCGGCAAGGATTTGGCTGGTTCTGTATTCTGGACAGGAGGGATTACAGGGGTAGGATTCACTGAAGGAAGAGGAGCGGGAGCTGGAACTGGAGCAGGAGCAGGAGTGGAGGTAAGGATAGGAGTTGGAGGAACGGCGAGGGGTGGCAGCTCCACGGCCGTACTGCACTTTGGTTCTGTTTTGATCTCGCGTAGCACATTCTTGTTGATCCGTGGCGTGTTGGCCACCTTCAAGTGTCCAAACTTTTGCTTGGCCCGGTTATTCTTGCCCTTCGCACCCTTCCCCCGCCGCCGGCTGGACTGCTCCTCGAAGACCAGGAAGATGTCGCGGGCCACTCTTCGGCGCTCCGATTTCCGGTGGCAAACTGGAGGAGCTGCTTCCAGCTCCTGCTTGACAACAGGCACTCCACCTCCATTGGTAGTGGTGCTGTTGTTGTTATTGTTGGCATTTGCAGTTGCCTCCGGGTTAGCTTCATCCTGACCTCCGTTAGCTGCGCATTCACTTGGCCTGCAAGTGGTCCGGGGCATTTTACGGCCGGATGCGTCTCCGTTAGTCCGTGATCAGTGGCACAACGCTGGTCATTTTCCGATTGGCCCCACTGCCTATTGCATATTCCGCTTTCCTGTTGCTATTCTGCACTCGTTTGCTGCGCCTTTGCTTTCCTTTCCTTTCGTTTCGTTTCGTTTTGTATCGCTCCCACCCCCCTTGTATACCGTATCCGTATTTTTCTGATTGGGAGCAGCGTTCGTTCTGATTGGCAACGCAGGTACGACTTCAACGCGGCCCCTTTTCGACCGTTCACACCGTTTGCATTGCAATTGCAGTTGCAGATGCCCCACCAGCGTTTCTAATTCAGTTAATTTCGATCCGCACTCCGCTATTTTGCTATGTGCTGCTATGCACTACGCTATGTGTTTTACGTTGACAAAATCAATGAATTTTGTATATATGCGCTGCTCGGAGGTTGCCACCCTTTCGAAACTGCGTGAAAGAGACGGTGGAGCGGGCCCATGGTCGGTGGCGGAAAAGCTTATTGTGGGGTAGATTTTTGGGGTAACTATAATATTGTTGGTACTTAACTTATTTATTTTGGAGGACTTTAGGGGCTGCCATTTAATAATAACAAACATTTGTCATTGATTTTTTTAAAGTTTAAAAGTATAAATAGTTTTCATAAAATAAAACCTATAATTTAATGGCCTAAATTCTAATATTCTATTCTATTATTATTAATGGTTGTAGTATCAAAATAAAAGTATAAAATATACAATAATAAATATCAGTTTTCAAAAAGTATAAATGATTTAAAAGCTTCCAGATTTTTCAAATAAATTTAGTTATTTAAGAGACTTTATTCTTACTAAATAAATATACATATAAACCTATTTATTTATCTTTGTTTTTATTTTAGAAAAGCTTGGCAACTCAGAACGATCATCGATAAGAAGCAAGTAGCAAGGCCACACTGCGTGTAGAAACTCATGTAGAATCAGTCATACAGAGAAATATTAAGTATCCGCAGCGTGGCCACACTGATCTAGAATCTAAATCACTCGACCAATCGTTTGTTGTTGTGCTGTACGGTGTGCTTTTCGATCTCGCGGCCGCTACTAATGAGAAATCTCTAATTATTTTGCAACGTATATATGCATGTGTACATATATCCATAAGTGACAAACGGGCAACGGGCAAGAGAAAAGCGAAGCCAACTGCATATGCGATTATCGGGTGTTCCTTGGTGTACATACGTGTGCGTGGGTGTGCGAATAAATAATAATACGAAATGAACGAGCAGCAGCAACAACAACTGCCCATCGAGCAGCACTACTACCAGCGCAGCTGCCATACCAGCAATTCCTTATCAGATAGCCGGGATTACGATACGAACTCGTCGCGTACCTCGCTCACCGGATCTCCGCCAGCCCCCTCTTCCGCCGGATCCATTTCCCTAGACTTTGATGGAGGGTTCGGCACGATGGGCGGTGGAGCCCTGTCTCAGCTACTTGTTCCGAAACTGGAGGCGGAGAGCGGCCTGGGTATCATCCACTCGGACAGCTACAGCCTCTACAGAGCACCAGGCTCCATCGAATCCACCAGCGGCGAGCAACAGGTGCTGGATCTCGGGCTAACGCTCGAGCAGGACGATGTCCAACTCTCAGAAGCCACCTACAATGCACTATTCAGCTACGAGAATCAGTCCAGCACATCCATCACACAATCGCTACAAAGTCACATACAGTCCAAGTCAGAGGAAGGAGGGGAGGATGAGGAAATGCACCAGCTCCTCACCCTACCCGCCACTCAACTAACACCCATGCCCATTACGGTCATACCCATCACATACCATCACACCGAGTCATTGACCCCCAGTCTGGGCGAGGTGCCCCTGATAGCCACACTGAGCGAGGACACTGGCCAGGTGCTCAACCTGGACGACATCTGCTTCACCCTGGAGTACCAGTTCGAGAACCAGAAACTCGTCCAGGTCCAGCCGCCCACCGTCGTCTCGCTGAGCATGCTGCCCCCAGCCTCCGAAGGGGTGTCCCCAATTCTACCCAACTGTGATAATGGCCAGGGAATCGTCGTCAACTCCAACAGCAACTCGATGGAGGCCACATCTCCGTCGTATTTCACCGTTGAGACGAGGTATCTCCTTGGCATGCCCCCTCTCTTCTGCATGAATTCCTGAAGATTTGCTTGCATTTTCTAATTGGCTACGATTCTTGCCCACCTGTTTCAGTTTCTTCGCAATTTTTTCAATTTTATTTTTAATGATTTTAATCGAACGAAATCCATAATTAATTATTTTGAAAAATGTCACCCTGAAGGGGGGATTATGATTCGAATTTCGAACCAATTATAAAGATCATCGCCTTTCCAAAAAAATTCAAATTTAATAAAATCATAATTTTATTTGCTTTTTTATGATTTATAGTTTAGATTTTTAAGACCTTGAAATCAAATGTTAAAATAAAAATGGCTTAATCGTTAAAAAATTTATGAAATTTAGATTCAGAGCCCCGCTGGGAGCTCGAGTCTGTAATCGTGCTTGGCCAATTATAGTGGGCCGTCAGGTGTGCCCTCCGCTTTCGGTGACCCCCGCCCAGGGACAGTCCCACCAGGGATGCCCCCCCTCCTCCTCGTCGCGATTCCCCTTGATCTGCTAATTTTCCACTGCCCACACACTGAAAATATCTAGAAGAGGAAAATATTTTTCTAGCGTCTGTCGTGACGTGTCAGACTTTTTTTTTTGATTTTATTTCACTTTTTGTTTCGGTTCCAACCCCCCCAAAAGAAGAGGAAATTTCTTCCTTGTCGAGATATTTGGGGGTTTGGGGTTTTTTGGCAAATATCGACCATTCCAATGTCCACTTATTACAACGCGGTGTCCGAATCGTTTGCATGTTGTTGCTAATTGCCTGATTTGTGTTCTCAGGCTGCTGCTGGCTCTTCAAATATTATTTTTTTTTTTTAAATATTGAATCTCAAGACCCATTCGACTTTCTCGTACCCTCTTCTATAGTTTCGTATATGCCCGTGTCGCGATGGGAATCATAAAGTTGCATGCCGCGGCCTTCTCTTCGGCCGATGATTGTTTGTTTGGTCTAAAAATAGTTGCACCGATGAACGCATTTAGATTGTATCTCCCTGCCCCCCCCAGTCCCAGTCTCCGCCCATCGGATACATATATATCCATCCATGTAGGTGTATATCTGTACAACAGTCGGTTTTTTTCCCAAAACTCATTCACACTTGGTACTAAAGTGCCGGTTCACAGAATGGACTCTGTAAATGATGGCGTTGTGATTGTGAAATTCTCCCCCCAAAATCCGAAATTCCCACAAAAAAAGTTCAATTTGGCACTAAAAACAGACTTTTCTAGATTTCTTTTATTTCCCAAAAGGGCAGAGTTTCTATCTGTGTCACAGGGTTCTATTCTATCAGTCTATAGGGTGATAAGAGTGGGTAATTCTACAAAATAGAAAACAATTTCAATAGATAACTAAGGTTGGAAAATTTTAATTTTATTTTAAAAACATATTTTTTAGAAAAAAATAAATTCTCTATTTTTCTATTCTTCTATAAGGTTCTTAACTCTTGAGCCCTCGATAGGGTGATAAGGGAGTCGATAATTCTACTAAAAATAGGAAACAATTTCAATAGATAACTGCAGCCCTTAGCTTGGAAAATTTTTATATTTTTAAACTATGGAATTTTTGTATTTAATTACAGCATTTTAGAATTAAGAAAATCACGATAAGGTAACTAACTCTTATGTCCCTGATTGTGTTAGAAGAAAGTTAATAACTCTACGAAATGTAACCCAATTTAATACTGGTCCTAAACAAATTATTTAAAAACTGGAAAAATTTTAGAAAAATATTTATTAGAAAAAAAAGGCAATCTCTTTTTTTGGAAATCAACATTCTTTAGGTACATATACAGGGTTTCTAACACTCGAGCCCTCAAAATAAGGGGTAATAAGAGAGTCAATAATTCCGCAAAATATAAACCCATTTCATACACCAAGCTTCGAGATTTTTATTTATAAACTATTGAAATATATTTTTATGATGTTTAATTAAATAAATGTTTAATGTTTAAACAAAATTAAGATGTTTTTCAAATATACCTATTGGAAAAAATCTCATTCTCTATTTTCGAATAGCAATATTCTTTAGGTATCTAGGATGCCTAACTTTTTAACCCTCGATAGGATGATATAAGACTCAATAATTCTACGAAATATAACCTAATTTCAATAAATAACTGAACAATTTAAAAAAGATTAAAAACCCTGTAAGTCATGTTTTTGAGAAATATATTTTTTGTTTGGAAAATATCTCAGTCTCTATTTTCGAACAGCAACATTCTTTAGGTATCTAGGGTCCTTAACTCATGCGTCACCCTCTAAATCATTTTATTTATAAACTTATTAAACATATTTTTAATAATTTTCACTCGATAGGTATTAAAATAGTCATAAAATAATTTTCCCTGCTCCTAAGTCTTAAATGATCTGTTTTGATGGGGTTGGTCCGCACTTTTAGATACATAGTTGTTGTTGTTGTTGTTGCCTTTGGTATTTTCATTATTCTGCGGTACAATAATTTTTCAATTTTTCATCTATGCCTTGATGTTTTTTTTTTTCTCAGCCTTTGGGCGACGACGCCTTTTTGGCTATTTTTACCGCCATGAGTAGTGTTCCCTCAATCATATTTCTCATTTTTCAGCACTCCTGCGATTAGAAGGGGCCTGGGATGGGCGGTAGGGATACGAAAAGGGGAGGGTCTGGGGGTGCCAGGCGGGGCACGCTGCCCGTCACTCAGCCAGCCAGCCGTCGCAACGCCCACGCACTTGTTGGCGGTACTACAATACTAGATTTTCCTATTTTTCTCTCTGGGGTTCGCCATAGTTTCGGTGGCCGTTTGTTATTTTCCTTTGGCATTTGTTATGTTTTGGCCATGACAACATTAAATATTAATTAATCTGATTAATAAGAACCGAAAAGCCTCCAGAGAGCCTTCTTTGTGTTTTTCCCTTTAAATTTTCTTTTGTCAAAAATGTTGTATATTTTTCTCAATTTTTTAAAGAATACATTTTCTAGCTGATTTAAAAACTTTTTTTATATATAAGCTTTATTTGTTGTTATTTCTAGGGATTCTAGGGAGAACCCTAGGTTTTAAATTTTTCCATTTTTTTTAAGTGTTTTTTTGTTGACGCTCTAACTCGACTAATCACAATCTGTGCAGTTTTTATATATTCATGTCTATATGCTCATATATACTTGTTGCGTTTATTATATATACAAAGATCTTAACGGCCCACTGACACACAAATCGGGAGGAAAAAAGCCCCACCCGATGCGATGCGATTTTCTGTTTGTTTCCAACTGCCGATCCGATAAATTCTTGTGGCCTCCGGCCTTCCCCTTTTCTTTTTTTTTTCTTGAAACGATCTTCCAGCTATGTGGACGATTACGATCAGAATGAGCTGGACGAGGATGAGCAGCTGGCGCACTGCATCCAGCCGGGCGTCTTGCACAAAGATGACCAGGAGTATGAGGAGGACGAGGTCGGGCATCAGGATGAGAATGATCAGCTCATGGCACTGGCCTACGAGGTATCACACCCAATCAGCAATCCAATTCAGCATCCTAGCCAAGCTAGTGCCAAGTGTTTAACTAACGCTTCTTGTAGCGATTCGCCATCCTAATCCTAGTGTTAGCGGAGATTCCGATTCCTGCGATTCCGATTCCGATTCCGATTCTGTAGGCGTGTAACCAAGTTTTGTTAACCAAAGAAAGCGGTGCGTAGTGCGTAGCTTGATTCGAACTCGTGCTGCCCCATCTGCCCCATTTCTCACCCAATAATCCCGCATGCCCCCATTTGATCGAACTGTCCCATCAACCCACAAGTGCCTCGAATTCACTTGATAATGCTATCTCTGCTCTCCCCACTATAGAGCTCCGACGAGGCTCTTAGTCGCTATAGATGCAACTACGAGAACTGTTACCGCAGCTACAGCACGATTGGAAATCTGCGAACGCATTTAAAGACACACACAGGTGAGTAGGGCTCCTAAAACTACTTTATTAAGTCTTTTAAAAGAGTCTTTTATAAAACTTATACAATATTTTTGAATTTAATCGTTCCACAAATCGGTTAAGGTAATCCTCTCAAGAATCCGATAATTATTGACGAAGAAATAGCTTTCAAAGTGGACCAAAATGCCCTTCCTTGCGTTTTCCCCAGATTTTGAAGGGGACCCCATAGAAAATTTTGAAAAAAATCTAAAAAATATTTGATTCCTAAATTTTGGTGAAATTTCATGGAGAATCGATCCACAAATCGATTAAGGTAATCCTCTCAAGAATCCGATAATTATTGGCGAAGATACAGCGTTCCAGGTGGACCATAATGCCCTTCCTTGCGTTTTCCCCAGATTTTGAAGGGGACCCCATAGAAATTTTTGAAAAAAATCTAAAAAATATTTGATTGCTAGATTTTGATGTAATTTCATGGAGAATCGATCCACAAATCGATTAAGGTAATCCTCTCAAGAATCCGATAATTATTGGCGAAGATACAGGCTTCCAAGGGGACCATAATGCCCTTCCTTGCGTTTCCCGCAGATTTTGAAGGGGACCCCATAGAAAATGTTGAAAAAATCTAAAAAATATTTGATTCCTAGATTTTGATGTAATTTCATGGAGAATCGATCCACAAATCGATTAGGGTAATTCTCTCAAGAATCCGATAAAAATTGGCAAAGATACAGCGTTCCAGGTGGACCATAATGCCCCTCCTTGCGTTTTCCCCAGATTTTGAGGGGACCCCATAGAAAATTTTGAAAAAAATCTAAAAAATATTTGATTCCTAGATTTTGATGCAATTTCATGGAGAATCGATCCACAAATCGATTAAGGTAATCCTCTCAAGAATCCGATAATAATTGGCAAAGATACAGCGTTCCAGGTGGACCATAATGCCCTTCCTTGCGTTTTCCCCAGATTTTGAAGGGGACCCCATAGAAAATTTTGAAAAAAATCTAAAAAATATTTGATTCCTAGATTTTGATGCAATTTCATGGAGAATCGATCCACAAATCGATTAAGGTAATCCTCTCAAGAATCCGATACGTATTGGCGAAGATACAGCGTTCCAGGTGGACCATAATGCCCCTCCTTGCGTTTTCCCCAGATTTTGAAGGGGACCCCATAGAAAATTTAGGAAAACATCTAAAAAATATTTGATTGCTAGATTTTGATGTAATTTCATGGAGAATCGATCCACAAATCGATTAAGGTAATCCTCACAAGAATCCGATAATTATTGGCGAAGATACATCGTTCCAAGTGGACCATAATGCCCTTCCTTGCGTTTTCCCCAGATTTTGAAGGGGACCCCATAGAAAATATTGAAAAAAATCTAAAAAATATTTTGTTTTTAGATTTTGATGCAATTTTGTGGAGAATCGATCCACAAATCGATTAAGGTAATCCTCTCAAGAATCCGATAATTATTGGCGAAGATACAGCCTTCCAAGTGGACCATAAGGCCCTTCCTTGCGTTTTCCCCAGATTTTGAAGGGGACCCCATAGAAAATTTTGAAAAAAAATCTAAAAAATATTTGATTTCTAGATTTATCGCAAATTTGTATAGAATTGAAGAATAGGAAGTTTATGAACAGAAATATAGAACTCGAGACGTCATATCATATTATTCAATTGCCTTTGTCGCTGTTACACTGGAAAAACTCGTTGTTTTCGTAAAGAAATACATAAATGGGCATTTAATTGATAAGAGGCACTCTAATGAGTTTGTTTCCTGTGTGGATGATAACCATAAAATGACTCATAGCTATAGATGCCTGATTTCACAATATCTTTATCTTTTTCTTTAAAACCCTACGCCCTATATCGACTAGGAACTAGTGATTACCGATTTATAATATTATCCCAATTATTTAAATGTTATTTGAATTTTTTAGGCGATTACAGCTTCAAGTGCCCCGAGGATGGATGCAACAAAGCGTTCCTGACATCGTACAGCCTGAAGATCCACGTCCGTGTCCACACGAAGGTGAAGCCCTACGAATGCGAAGTGACTGGCTGCGATAAGGCCTTCAACACCCGATACAGGTGAGTCGGAGCTCATTCAAAAATCGATGGGGTGATAACTCAGAATAGACCAATGGCTGCAGTGGGCTAATCACTCTCTATCTGACAGATTGCACGCTCACTTGCGGCTACACAATGGGGAGACGTTCAACTGCGAGCTGTGCCAGAAGTGCTTCACCACCCTGAGCGACCTGAAGAAGCATATGCGCACCCACACCCAGGAGCGACCGTACAAGTGCCCGGAGGACGACTGCGGCAAGGCCTTTACCGCCTCGCATCACCTGAAGACGCACAGGAGGACGCACACCGGCGAGAAACCGTATCCCTGTCAGGAGGACAGTTGCCAGAAGTCGTTCAGCACATCACACAGCCTCAAGTCGCACAAAAAGACCCATCAGCGCCAGCTGACCAACAAGGGCCGGAAGAAGAGGCCGCTGAAGCCGCAGCAGGGGAAGCTCACGGACCTCGAGCAGGATCAGGAGAACCTTCAGGACCAAAGCCAGCTGGAGGAACAGGAGGAGGGAGAGGAAAGGTCGGAGATGATGGCCCTAAATCCAGGAAGTCAGTGCTCCGAGACCACCAGCACAGATAGTGGAGTGGTTCTGCACACTCTGACGGGACAGGATCAGTTACAGAGCGTGTTTATCCTTCCGGAGGATCAGCCACTGACCCTACCCGAAACATCACAAGCCTATCAATTGTCCTATGCAGCTGAGGAGGAGATACCCAGTCCCTGGTCGGATGCGGGGGTGCTCCTTTCCAAGCCCATCATTCCCATGGCACCGGTTACAGATGCCTGTGTGGCTCTGCCCACGGAGATGCCCAGCTTCGTCGACTTGAAACCCACCTTTGGTAATGGTGTCAGCGGAAATATGGAACAACCCCAAGCCGAGATCATGGAGGTGGAAACTGTGGCACCGCCACTACCAACTCCTACCCTGGAACTCAATCTACAGAACATTGAGGAGCTGCTGAAGCAGGACTCCAGCTTCGACAACGAGGAGGACATGGAGACCGATTCCCTGCTGAACGACATCCTCATGACCATCGACAACAACAGTGCTCTGCTGCAGGAAACCCTCCACCAGGCCTCTCAGGTGCCAACGGACGCTTCTGGCTTGGTGGAACTGGACATTCGGGACAATAAACCAACTCTGAAACAGATAACAGCCGATGCGGGCATCTGCAATTGCACCAACTGCAAGTGCGATCAGACCAAGAGCTGCCATGGCGGAGACTGTGGAGCATCTAGTCAGAAACCGACGAGGACCACCACCACGACCTTGGCCACTCCGAAGCCGAGTGGCGGGAAGCGCATCTGTGGCAGCAAAAAAGTGAGTAAACGCGAGGCCGAAATGAACCAGAACATCGAGGATGTTGCTTTGCTGCTGCAAAACCTGGCTTCCATGGGCAACGCCAGCTCCTCCGGCGGCGGTTGCTGTGGCGGTGGTGCGGCCAAGCCAGCCCCTACCACTGGCGGCTGCTGCGGAGAACCCAAGATTCAGCCCGAGCCGGCCAAGAGTTGCGGCAGTTCATCATCCGGTGGTGGTGGCTGTTGTGGTGGGGGAGGAGCACCTGCTGCACCACCATCGCAATCTTCGGGCGGCTGCTGCTCCAGTAACAAACCAGCTCCAGCACCGGCGCCGCCCTCCGCTTCAGGGTGCTGCTCGGGCAAGGCCAAGGCCCAGGAGCCACCGGTCATCACCAACGCCCCCGCAACCGCCGTCAAGGGGGCGTCCTGCACCTGCAAGAGTCCGGCGGAGGGGGTGGCCAACGGCTGTTGTGTGGTGATCTGCATTAAAACGCTGCAAGCGCTCCGCAAAGTTCTGACGCGCCGGAATCTGAACCTAATGCTTTGTCCACAACAGAACTAAACTGAGAAGCCAACAACTACTTATGTACACTAATCCCCAACAGTTTAATCCCAATGTTTCACGTAGGCCCAGACCATGTAATCGATTAAGTATTGTTGTGCCTGTAAAAAGTATTTTCCAATTATTTGTTAACAAAAAAAAACAAAAAATAACAAAAGATCAAATAGGAACCAAAACCAAAATTGTTGAAACAGTTTGTGTTGCATTTAAAGTGAAAATGATTCATCAAGAAATTGTGATCCCAGCGGAGGCTGGCCGCGCTACAACCATCCAATGATGACTACATTTTTATACCCCAAAGTACATATCTAGTAATCCAAAGCAGCTTCCGCCAAGCCTTTTGCCAATTGTCGCCATAAATCCATTATAGGGCGATATCGAGAGCTTATCTAAAGTTATAGCTCCCCTTAATGATTAATCTAAAGCTCTTGTTTTTGTACTTTTATATATATTACACACATGTTTATATATTTAACTTGTTTATCTAGAACTAACCATTATAATTTAATATTTACCCCCGATCCAAGGCAAATCATGGAATATTTATGAGGAGGGGTTCAAATAATATTATATGTAAAATATATCAGATTACTTTCATGTTTCTTTTTTTTTTTTATCGGGTTTATGACGCTTTATAACATGCCAAATATGAACAGATAATTAGTTGTTACTGTTGTCTTTTATGTCCAAAAACAAATCATCTGTATAAAGTCGAATAAAACATAAAACTAAACTTGTTGTAAGGATTATTATTGCTCCAATATTGCTGCTCCAGCTGTAGATGTTGCTTGTTGCCCATGCTGTTGCTGCTCCTGCTCCTGCTGCTGTTGCTGTTGCTTTTGTTGGCTCCGGAATGTGGACTGCAGATGCTGAGATGCGGCTTTTAATTCTACAGAATGTGCTTCTTGACCCCTTAAATGTGTATACTCCTAGTACTCGCTCTGATCCACACTTGTTTTCTAATCCTCGCCAGCTGGTATGACCTCCTCTAGACGCCGCACGAACTTAACGCGCAGCTCCGTCACATTATCGCCCTTCAGCTGATCCTGCGACCACACACAAAGCACACTAGATTAGAGACAAAGCGAACCAAGTATTCCACATGAACATGACTTGCCTGCACGAACCAGCACTGCACCTCCAACTGTACCATCTCCAGAGCACCGCGGATGCAGCCGCTCAGGATGGCACTATAGCGTAGATTGGTCAAGTCCGGCGGCAGCTCGACGAACTCCGTCAGCGGATTGCTGTCGAACAAGAGCGAGAACTCGTCGGACGACGGCGACCAGTTTGAGATGGTGGGCTGGATGTTGAGGTAGATGCGGAACGCCTGCTGTACCCTGTCCGCTGTTTCTCGCAACTCCAAACACCGGGGCGCCGAGGTGCGGGCCAGAAAATCCTCAATCAGGCGCATGCCCATATTGTAGCCGATCCGCTCCAGCTGCTTGTTCACATCCTCGACGTTCTCGAAGTCGCGCAACATCTGGGTGACCAGTGCCCCGTAGGTGAGTGTCAGGAACTCCGAGTTCTGGGTTTTTTTCGTACAAATGGAAATGAAATAGAAAGTAAAGAAAAGCAGACAGCGAATAAAAATCAATCCACAACAACCACAAATCAAACATGTTCTTAAGTTTAAAAACAATTCTTGGTATTTATTGAGTGGAATTTCTGATTGCATTTGTATCTGCCCCTCATAAGTATCTTATTTTGTCGGTAATTGTTTGGGTTTAAGGTTAAGTATTTAATTTCCATAATGCGGTGACTATATTCGTTTCTTTTCAACCTCCTTTCACCATTCCAAAAATCGCTACAAGCACATATGCCTATTTTCTTCAAAACAAATTAAAAAAATTGTAAATTTTAACTAAAAAAAATTGTAAATTTAAACTAAAAACAATTTTAAAAAATTAAAGACTTTTAAAAGTAAACTTTCCTTAAATATTGCATTGTTGTAAATGGTATAATTGGTGTATAAATAATAATATAAATAATGCTGAATAGATTTTTGGAAAAGTGACTGGAAAATGGCTTCGAAAACGAATTAAAGAAAAAATTACAACACCCTTGCTGGCTCCTGAAGTACAATAGTACCAGGATTTAAAACCAAAACTCGGATGGATTTAAGGTTGGACACAGGTGGGTGACACAGAGTGTGGCGTTAGCACGACTTAGGACTATGAACTATCATCTAGTTGTGTGTGTGTGTATCTACAGCGACGACTCCGTTTTTATTGCCGTGATGGTGATGCTGGGTGTTTGGTGCGGCGCGATCAGCTTCGGTGGTGCTCTGGCTGTGCCTCTGCTCAGGGTCACGCTACTGCTTTGCGACATCGGTAGACTACCGCCATCCGAGCCCGACTGATCGCCCTTCTCCTGGGCCGAATGGAACCGTCCACCCTCGCCTCGGGCCCTGTTCATGGCATGCCGGTGTCGAGATTCATGCAAATACTTGCAGCGCTCCTTGGGTATACGGGACTCCAGCTTCGCCCTGGCTTGCCGCCGAATTAGAATCCTTTTGTACTGCTTGGCATTCACGTAGAGCGGCTCCTCGTCCGCCTCCCCCTTGGAGCTCTCGTCCTCGCTGTTTGTATTTGTTCCTGTGGTACTGGTGCTGACATCGGCGTTAATATTGTTGGCGGAAGAGTTAGCAGCGGCTGATGTGGACTGCGGTTGTTGCTGTGGCTGCGGTTGCGATTGGGCCTGTTGCTGCTGCGGTTGCTGGGCTACCACAACGCCTGTGGCTCCGGCGGCCGCTGCTGCGGGATTGACTGCAGCCATGGCTGTCTGTGGCACCATGATGATCTGCTGACCACCAGTGGCTGTCGCCTGGCTAGCATTAGCCGCTGGAGTTATTTGCACCAGCTGTCCATTGATATTGAGGTAATGGGAAGAGGGCTGGGGCGTCAAACCAGCTGCCGCTGCTGCAGCCGCATTGGGATCCAGGGCGGCAATAGTGGGCGTCTGATAGAAGATTGTTTGGCCATCCGGCAGTTGCATCACCTGCATCTGTGGCTGCTGCTGCGCCTGAAGCATAATCTGGTTGGCTTGCAGAGGGATTAGTTGAGGTTGCAGACCTGCCGTTGCGGCCTGCGCCTGGGGTTGTTGGCCAATTATAATTTGAGCCGCTCCAGCCGGTAGTAGGCCCATGCCGGCGGGCATGGGTATCACTTGAATCGGCTGAGCATTGGCTGATCCGGCTGCCACATTGTTTCCATGGCTGTTGGCATTGACACCACTGTTGTTGTGGCTATTGCTGTTGGCGGTGGCGGCGGCGGTGCTCATTCTAGACGTGGCTGTGGGGCGTGTAGCGCTAAAATGGTTTTCCATAGCCCGGATTTGTGTCCCTCAAGCCCTCAACACACTTACTGGAAAAGCGAATGAAGCCGATTTTGAGGGTGGGTGGCACTTCAATAGATTCTAGCAAAAGCTAACCTTACAACTATTGCACGGATTTTTCCCGGTTCCAAGACTCCTTGCAGTTTATCCCCCATCTCAATCAACTCACCACTTTCTTAGCGTCCAGTCTGGAAGCTTGCCGGGACATTTTCGTGGATTTTCGTAGTAAATAGGTGTCCAATTGAAAATATTATGGCAGATTTCCCAGATTTTTACAGAGTTGTCAGGGTACAGTGCTGGTTTGCAGCATTTCCGCGCTGTCCAACACTAAAAATGCAACGCAGCCTCTATCCTGTAATCGATATCTATCGATTAGAGCCAAAGTTAACTGTATCGATAGATACGTTATGGAAAAACAGCTCTATTTACAAGTGCAGATGTAAACGCATAAACAATTGCTCCAGCGGAAAATAAAAGTAAGGCAGAGCAGAATCAGACACAATTAGTTGCAGACAGAGACAAGTGCTCAAAAAATGGCTTCATTCTTCAACGTTGGCGCCCTGGGCAATGTTTTCTCCACACCCGTTGGCCAGCGCATAGGTGAGTAACCCCCACCTCCCACGGGATCCACTATATGCAGCACCCCACCCCTCGCACCTTACCGCCGGATGTGGGGGTGTGTATATGAATAAATCGTGAATCGTAATATTTTTTTTTTTTTTTGGTCATATATGCGTGCATTTTTGCGCATTTGCATTGGCCCCCATCATTGTCTGATTGGAGCACTTTTAAACGAATGCCTCACCCAGGCATTGAGGCATTGGAAAATTGAATTTTCCCAACTTTCTTTTGGGGCCTCACCACAACTGGCACATTCATCGCTAACGTGATTTGTTGTTGCGCCAGTACTATTAACTATGGCAAAAACAGTTATCACTTTAACACACTGGCGAAATTCCTGATAAGATTAACCCTTATGCCAGTATGGGGGTGCCATGAAAGCAGGGCCATTCACAGGTGTGACACCAAACTGATAGCTTGTACACTGTATGTACTTGTGTACATGCATATGTATATACAGAAAAATAAAAACAAACACCTGCTCGTAGATACATGTATGCTTGTATAGCCGGTTTAAAACAACAGCAGAGTTCAATGTTTTGATTATTTTATTGCCCTGTTAGTTTCCAAAATGTTCAGTTCTGAATACGTAGGAAGTAATGACTAATTTGGGGGGTAATGTATTATTTTTCGCAATATTTTCAAGGTATTTGTAATTGGTCACCTTTGGCACACAATCGTATTGGAAGTTATTATTGGCATAGGGAACGCATTTTGGTTTTGTTATTGATGCGCTCTTGTTAGGTTTTTAGATTGCTTTTATGTAGTTTCCCCCCCTCCAACGGTAGTAATGCCAATTAGTCATCGCTGGTTACATAAAAAATGTGTTAATTTATTTCATTTTTTCCTTTTCCTCGTCATTTTGCCGTCATTTTCATTTGCCTCTATTCGTGAACATATGTATGTACATGCACCTGTTTGTATTTGTGCCTTACTAATTCATATTTTGTATAGTTTGTATTTTATAGTTGCCTTGTGGTTAGTTTTCCATTTAGGTTGTCTGATATCTGAGAGATGCGTTTCGTCTGAATCTCTCTATATATTTTTTCAAATCGGGTTGCATTCTCATTTTGCGTGTTATTGCACTGGAAAAGCTTAAGGGGGGCACTATATACGACACCCACCTGTTCTTAGACTGAAAAATAGCTGGCAATAAAAATAAACAAAGGGTAACATCATACAGATATTCGCTGGCTAAGTAAATAAAATTGTATATTTCACATAAACATACTTATTGTTAAACAAACAAATGCAAACCGCTTTTAACATCTATTTTTTTTTTTTCGTTCCTTTAGAGGCGGCAACTGACGCCAATTTGGCGTCGGAGAACTGGGCCGCCAACATGGAGATCTGCGACATGATCAACGAATCATCAGACACCGCCCGCGACGCCATGCGAGCCATCCGCAAGAGGCTCTCCCAGAATGCAGGCAAGAACAACCAGGTGGTGATGTATACTCTGACCGTCCTGGAGACGTGTGTGAAGAACTGTGGCAAGGCCTTCCATGTCCTGGTGGCCCAGAAGGACTTCATTAACGAGCTGGTGAAACTTATTGGCCCAAAGAACGATCCTCCAGCTGCCATGCAGGAAAAAGTCCTAAGCCTGATACAAATTTGGGCAGATGCTTTCAAGAACCAGCCGGATTTAAACGGAGTTACACAGATGTACATGGAGCTGAAGAACAAGGGAATAGAATTCCCAGCAAACGACTTGGATGCCATGGCTCCCATCTACACGCCACAGAGGGTAATATTAGTAACTAATACTAGTTAGTCTATATCTCACATTTGATTCTTTTAGAGTGTTCCCGAAGTGCATCCTCAACTGGTAGCCGCCCAGCAACACACAATATCGCCCCAGCACATGGCTGCAGCCGCTGCTGCAGCTCCAACAAGCTCAGGTCCGCTGCACTTGACCCCCGAGCAGGCGGCCAAGCTCCGCTCGGAGCTGGAGATCGTTAGCAACAACATGGGCATCCTCAGCGAGATGCTGAGTGTTTTGAAGCCAGGTCAGGAGTCGCCCGATGACTATGCTCTCCTCAACGAGCTCACCTCCACCTGCAAGGAGATGCAGTCGCGTATTGTGGACTTGATTGGTCGCGTCCAAGACGATGAGCTAACCGCAGAGTTCCTGCGCATCAACGATGAGCTAAACAATGTGTTCCTGCGTCACCAGCGATACGAAAAGAACCGCTCTCAGGCTCCGGGAGCCGTCACTTCACCGTCAGCGGTGCTGGGTGCCGCTATGGGTTTGCCAGGAGTCGGTGCTCCAGGACCAGGAGCAGTTGTGGCTTCTCTTCCCCCGCCACCTACCACCGCTGCAAGCAATGCGCCGAAAAGTGACCAGCTCCTGATCGACCTAATTGAAACCAGCGAAGAGGCGCAACTTCCCCAAGGATTGGCAAATCTTAGCCTAGGCAGTGGAGCAGCGGCTGCTACATCGGAACGAGGAGGTGCAGGCGCCGCCGATGAGTTCGACATGTTAGCCCAGTCACGCACCGACGGAAACCAGTAAGGCTTATAGTTTACCAAAAAAAAAACAGAGAAAATTAATAATTTATCCGATTTTCTTAGTAAATCGGACCTACTTCGGGACATTCCTTCGGTGGACGCTGCTGCCGGCAGTGTGGCCTCTTCCTCGCCTTACAAACAGCAGCAGCAGCGCTCAGCCGGCGATCCGCCGGTGGTAAGTAAAGTGAGTAACGATCCGCCAGCATCTGGTCTAACTAATGGCGTTCAATCCGTTCCCCTTACTTTTGACCTTATTTTGGCTATTTGGCATTATGAATTTGAAATTTTATATTTAAAACTTGTTTGGTTCTTTTGTTCTATGCAAATTACGTTCGGTTTTCGTTTATTTGATTGTTTCGATCGATTGGTTTCTTCTGTGACGCCCACACAGTCGACGAAAGAGAATGAGATCGATGAGATGGAGGCGTGGTTGGGCAGCTCAGTAAGTAGCCATATAGCTATAGCATTTTGTCTTTCTATGCTCATCTCATGCACAATCACTCGGTTTTGGTTTTCTTCAAATTACATAAACTTGTTTGGCTTTTTTGCTTTGTTGCACAGTAGAATATATATTTCATTAAAACTAATAAAAGATTTTTCGTATTAAGCACAAGGATATCGATGGCATTGAGGAACTAACCAGCTCGGAGTTTGACAAATTCCTCGAGGAGCGTGCTGCTGCTGCAGAAAATCTTCCAACGATCCATGCATCGAACTCAGCCGCCAGTGCCACGACAGGACAAGGATCCACCGGAGCTGACAGCTTACGAAAAACACCAAAGAAACCCGGCGCCGACGAGGATCTGCTTGCCCTTTGAGTGATCTCTCGCAGCTCCGCAGCACCATCAGCTCTAATTGTTTACTCTTCAAATGTTACACACCCTAACATACTTATGCATAACGTCTATATGGTAGCAACTACATACATATTAACACTTTATGTAAAAGGATTTTTCATTTTGAATCAGCGATCATGTTTTCTTTTTCGACACATGATTATGCCGACACTTGCAACGATAACTATTGATTATTCCAAAAACGATCTTCTGTTTGTCTAATTGTAATTTTATTCATATTGATGGTAATTTTATGTATTACGTTGTAATGTCTATTTGTTGTTTATTTATACATATATACATACTTTATAAAGATAATTTATTTTACAACAATCGAACGATCGTAAAAAAGAAACTAAAAACAAATACATTTCAAGCACATACCGGAAATGAGTGGTTTTAATAGAATACAAGCATAAAGTTAATATTATTTTGTTTATTTTGTGAAGGTGTCTAGATCCATGGCCTGTGTGGCAGCTCCATAGACCTCTTCCTCGTCATCGTCTGAACTTTTTTCTTCGTTTTTCGTTGACTTCTCCAGTTGGCTCTCTAGATCCCTGATGTATGCCTTCTTGCTGTTGAGAAGCACCAGAAATTTGTTCATCATCTCAAGCTCCTTGGCTTTAGAATCTTTCACATATTGCTCGTACTCTAAATAACCAGGGCCCTTTTTTTGGGTGTCACTGCTTTGAGAGGCAGGTGCTTCATGAACTTGCTGCTGGCTTATTTCTATTGCTGAATCCAGTAGTTGAAAGCAGTTGGAAACCTTTCGGAGGTTAATATCTAAATACAGAGTCTCAAATCCTTCGCACTTGAACATCTTGAAAGACAGTTGATTTTCGTTTTCCTCGTCAATCTCATAGTCAAATCCCTGCAGGCCCATGTTGGTGGTCAGTGCCTTCTTGCACTCGTCAAAGAATTCATTGTATGGTTGCTCCAAATCGATAGCTGCATTTTTAATCTCCTCATATTTGAGAACTCCTCGGTAGTTTTGGCTGTTAATCGTGGAAAGGAAGTCGAACTCGGCCTCGTCATCCAACCAACAGCTCCGCGCATAAATAAAGGGTTTTACGTCCTTCTGACTGTGGGACAGTTGAGTTCGCTGAATTAACTTAACGACGAAAGTTCCCATTTTTTAAATGTTTTTTAAGTTTCACAATATTTTGTAAACAAATCTTTTGCCGCTTTGGAGAACAGCTGATCGCAACTTGAAAGGGTTACCACGAATCGAATTACCTTAAAAATAAATGCATTTAATAAAAGTTTAATAGCATTTCTAAGTTTAATACGTACGCTATTGTGTCCTTCCTGATTACAAATCTCAAACCCTTTTGAATTTAATTTATATTCAAAGGAGTGACAGTCCTAATCAGAACTTATCCAACACTGGCTTGACAAGTTTTCCAACCCTGGTCAAATTAATATAAAGCTAGTGGGAGAATTAAAAAGGAAGCTAAGTTAATTTAGCCATTTTCGCTCCTTATTTGTTTGGCTCTGGTTTGCTATAATAAACTGCTAATAATGCTGGATAACCTTGTGGAATTTGCCAGTTACTGGTGGTTTCGCTACCTCATGGTACGTTGCGACCATAAAATTATGCGTATTGCAGAAGCCATGCTCCGAATTGGAATTTAACCGAACCCAATTAACTTTTTTTTTTTATTACAGGTCACTGAGCTGTATATGTGCGAAAAGTGGGAGCGCGTAACGATACGTAAGTGTTATTCATATGTTGGCCAATAAAAAAACCTAACCCTTGAATGCAGGGAATATCCGAATTTGTCATGTGAACTTCGTGCGAATTCTCACGCTTATCAACCGCCTATTATTGCTCTCGTTTTTTTTCCAGACGTCATCTTCATGGTACTGTTTTGCGTGTTCTGGTACTTCAACTACTCCATCCTGCTTTCAATAACGGGATTGATTACCCCCGGTGCGTCCATTGCGGATATAATGCCAAATGTACAAGGCCAGACTCTCAAGGTCACCTAATTGGCCGCAACCGTTGTTTTCGTTCTTAATATTCAAATATGTATCTTTGTATCTGCAATTGTGCCTGCCTCTACACAAGCTTTATCTAATCCACATGCATACCAATCGCCGGAACATCGGTTCAGAAGGCGGTATGACATACCTATGTATGTCAAAAATTCCCAGTAATCGCCAGCTGATCCGAACTAGAATCTGAAGTGGACAACACCCGGCGACTGTCCAGTAGTACAAGGCGACACCTGCAGCGCCGCACTGTTTAAAGTAGTCGTTATCTAGCCTTAGTTACATGTAGTAAACAAGTAAACAAAATAATAAATAAATGCTTTTCAAAATGGCATTGTATCTTTTGTAAACAGATTGTATCTTTAGATGATAATTGAAATATGCTTCAAATTCTTTCCATAAATGCTTTTAAGAACTTTAAAACACCAGTATTTTTTTCAGTTTTTATTAATTTGTAATTTTGAAGAGGTATTCCCTTGTTTATTCCGACTTAATTGAAGTGCTTTCATTTGTAAATTAGTTTTTATCGCGAAATCGCCTCTAAATCCGTACATTAATTCGTACTTCAATGTTTTAGATTACAGTTCATTACAAAAATATATATATATATATATATATGTATGTATGTATAGATAGCCTATGGTGTATGCGTTATATGGTAGTTCTAGTTTGTTTGTAGAAAAAAGACCGCGCGCGCGTATTGTTATTCGAAGACCACCGCGCACGATTTGGATTAGATCGGATTGGGTTATTGGCCGGGTTGGGGGTACGGGGAACTCTCTTAGACTAAGCTAAAAACTATTTTCTTACAACTGCGCTATTTGTATCCTTTATTCCATCCATGCAGGAAACACGTTTAATGGCTACCATCTAACTTCTGTTGCACTGCAAGCCTATTTGTTAGAGAAAAGTAACTTACTACTAGTTACTACTACGAGAGAGCAGTGGCAGGCGGAGATGATCACCAAGTGGTCGCGACCCCCTACCATCCACTCGATAGTTTAAAGATAAAGATAAAAACTGGCTACAACTAACTGTACAATCTGGCCACCAAGCACACGCCATCTATTCCCTCTACTCAGGACACTTCGATGTGCACTGCTAGTTAGGATGTGGGCGATCCCACTGCGCCATCCAACAGTACCGGCGACGATGTCATCTCGTCGACCGGATCCACGTATACCAGCCGCGGATCCTCGCCGAATTCTAAACGGCCATACCTAGCTACTAACGGCGTCTTGTTGCTATTGTTATTCTGGGGTGGAGCTCTCGGCCATTTCCGTTTGGGTTTAGTGTGCGTCAGCATGTGGGATTTAAGGTTCGTCGATTGGGCAAAACACTTGGAGCAGCCGTCAATGGGACAGTGATATGGTCGATCTCCCGTGTGGATCCTGACGTGGGTTCGAAGGTTGAAGTCCAGGGAGAATCTTTTCCCACATCCCTCAAAGGTACATTCGAATGGCTTCTCGCCCGTGTGTACCAGCTGATGTCGCTTCAGCTTCGAGCTCTCCACAAAACTCTTGCCGCACTGGTTACACACATGACCTCGCGGTCCGTGCGTGTGCATGTGCTTCCTCATTGCGGAGTGGTTTCGAAATTCTTTATTGCAGCCCCGATGCGTGCAACGGAACTTGGGCTCCTCGTCCTCTTCTCCTGCGGCTGCTGCTGCCGATGGTCCTGGTATCAGTCCAGCAGGATTAGTTATCGTCGGATGAGTTCCTATTGTAGTCGCTTTGGTAACGGTGGTGGGTCTCCTTTGGGGAAAATTGCTAGCTGCAACCAAGGGTGGAGGAGCCACAGCTGATGGAACAACTGCAGCATTCCGCTTAGCTACCTTGGGCTGGGCATTTTTCAGGCGAACATTGGTGCTGCTGTTTTGAAGCACCAGTTTCGGAAGCGTTGTCTGAGCGACCGCAAGGGGAGTAGAAACTGCCGTTACAGATGGAATCAATTCCACATTATTGGGCATATTCTCGATCAGCTCGATGTTCCCGAATGCTCCCTCCTCCAACTGATTATCAGCGTAGATGAACTGTTCGCTTAGGGGCTGGCTATCTTCCTCGCCCTTTACATCGCCCATAAATGCACTCACAACTTCCTCGACATCTGTCACGGCGGCTGCACTGAAGGGATCCGGTAGAATCACATACTCGTTGCCGATTCCGTCGCTCAACACGTCGTGAGTAATGATGTGGTCATCCATTATCTTTAGCATGCCGTTGTGAGATCCCTCGTTTCGGGCCGCGATTGCAGCGGCGGAAGCCACGGAGGTTGGTACGACAGATCTTGGCGGGTCTTCCAACTCCTCCTCCTCGTCTTCATCCTCAGAATTCAGTGAGGACCAGAGCGTGACATTGAACTCGTCCTGGGTGATGCGGATGGGTACCTTGGTCTGCTTCCAGCGCTTATTGGCCGAGTTCCCAACTGGACGAGGCTCAACACGACTACTGCCGAACAGCTTAAAGTCCTGCAGGGGAGCATTAGAGCTATTGGAGTCGTCAGCCGCAGACTTCATGTAGTAATCGCTCTCCAGCTGCTCCTGCTTGATATTGGTGGCCTCAATGGTTGTCAGCATCTCGGAGGCGATTTCAAACGCATTGGTCATGGTTGGCGCAGCGTCCGCTTCCTCCTCCACTGGCTCCCCATCCTCCTCGCCGTCGCCGTCGCAGGATGAGGACATTTGTAGACCGTCCTCTTCAATGTACTCATCTTCGTCGCTGGCTTGCTGCATGATAATCGGAGGTGGCAGAGCGTCCGCGGTAAGCCTGTCTAACCTATCCACCGGGTAGAACTCATAGACGTCTCCTGAGATAAAAAATTCACCAGTATCTACTACTATATTGTTTTCATCGTCGTAGTCATCAATAATCTCCTCAATCAAGAAGCTCTCGTTCTCACCTCCAATGTGCTCGCTGGCTTCCAAAACGCTGGTATACGGATCTTGCTCAACGATAGTCCCCGCTGGTACATGCGTAAAGTATGTTGAGGAGGAGGAGGAGTTTAAGGGTAGCGGTACGGCTGCTGCTGCCAGAGACAGATTCTTGACGATTGGTGCACGGAGCTGCTGGAGCTGCGGCTGGAAGTTTCCTCCGCCGACGCCGCTGTGATGATGACTTGTCATCGCAGTTTTCCGTCCACCTGCCTGTCTGTGTATATATGCGATAGATGCGTGTGTGTGGGCGCGCTTTGCTGTGTGTGCGTTTTCTCAATTAGTACCAGGTTGTATTTGGAATATCTGGCCAATACTTACTGCGTTCTTGATTTGTACGTTTCGGGTATTTTGCCGTTCCCTCCTCCGATTTTATCGCCCTTCTATTGTACTGCGATGTGATGCGATACTTTACGTTTGGTTCGGGGCGACGGCGGCAGCAGACGGGTACGCTTCGTTCGCTCCAGCCGCCACGCTCCGGTTGCTAATGCTATTTCACCTGAAGGAGCACTATTCCTAGCAACAACTGCTCCCGGAGACCACCGGTAGTGTAAATATTTTGAATTTTGCCGGTAAATATGGCGTATTGTATTTTCCAAAACGGCTCGTTACTTTCTCTCGTGTACACCTTTGTTAGTGTTGGTGTGACAGCGACAACGGCGCCAAATGCAACCCTGCGGCCGCTTTGTGTATATGCGAAGTGCAGGAAGGTCAGCCGTTTTATAGCTAGATTCTTGTTGAGATAAATTAATTATATATATTAAATAGTTTTGAGTATAATATTTTATAAAAATATCAAAAAAAAACATATGTTTTTCTATTTATTAATATATACTTTCATAATTCTTTTAATGACATTTTATTTGCTCTTGTTAGGGCATAGAGTCATAGGGCAGAGTTGGCTTTTTCCCGCCATTTATTATCATTACAGTTTATAGCATGCTATAGTTATATTATAATCAATTATAATAAGATAATTATAATCAATTAGCTTAGACTAGTGACTTTTCCACATTAAACCTTATACATATTTTTTAAATTGTAAAAAAATAAGCTATTGTTATTATTTTAAGCAGAGTCCTCTCTGTTCTTAATTTAGGGTTGTGTTCTATGTTTAGAGTTGTCATCGCCGCCACGCAAATGCGCAATAACATAAATAAAATAAATTAAAATTTTATTTACACAGTAATATTTACAAAACAATTGCAACTTGAACTTAAAACTTCTTCAGCAGCAACAATTCCGGCAAATAAACCTTTGCCAGTTTGGATTCCACGAAGGGTTCGCACCGCGGCCTCAAGGGGTCAACAGCATTATTAAAGTCAGTCTTATTGAAATGAACGGTCTTTCGATCGGCTGTCAATGACAGGTTATAATGCCGGCATTGTTCTTGCAGCGATTCCGGCTTGTCGATTAAAAGCAAACGCAACAAGTACGGAACCGGCACCGTAAGCTGCTTGTTGTTGTAGGCATGCGTGAAAATCTGCAACAAACTCCTGCAAGGATATGGGAATATATAAATAAATCAATATTTCAGATTGGGAAGGCGTTCCATACTTTCTCAGTGCCGGCAATTTGGTGCAGGCCATGGCAGAAAGAATGTGCGGCAGCTGTGGAAACCCCATTAGTACTCTGTAGAGATTTCCCTGGTGATATGCCAAACAGATCTCAAAAGAGAGCTTGAAAGTGGGATCCTTTTTTATGTAATCGGGCAGAGTAAGAGCACGCACAAAGGACTCGGGGGACCCCAAGTTAAATATCTGATACAGGGATTCAATAAGGCAGCGTCGCTCCAGCTCCCGAATGGTCAGGTCGCTGGGGGTCACCTGCTCCTCCAGTTCATCGTAGCAACGAAGCACACCGGTCAAGCACTCTTGCAGATGCTGGTTGCAAATCTTGGGATCAAATTTTTCGATGGATTCCTCACATAATCGATAGCGACTGTAAGCCAGGAAAATCACAATGGGCTCCAAAAGTGGAATGGTTTGACGAGCGTCGTAACCCTGGATCACGATCTCTCGACGTACGGCACGCAATCGATCGAAGATAAAGTCGTAGGCTACATTGTAAGGCTTCCGGGTATCCAGGAAAATGCTGTAAAGGTTATAAGTCAGTCGAAGTACATTTGGAAAACCCATTTATACTTGCTCCTTTAAGAGATATTCCACCGTTTTTCTCAGCGACGCTTCAGTGCGCATGTCCTTGGCCTGGGGCATCTTAACATCAGCGGCGGATCTTGTAAACTCTTTTACCAGGATTCCTGGCGTTTTTCTCTGGCCATTTTTCAGCTCGTAAAAGTGAAGGAGATTCTCCCGGATTCGCCTGAAAAATTGAAATAGGTGACTTTTGCCTTTATTTTTGGCTTACAAAATAACTCACATTTTGGACTCTGTATCGGGACAGAGAGTTTCGCAGGATCCTCGAACTTGAGCCATTTATTGATAAATATTGGGGAAAACTTCTAAAAAAAACAAATTTTAAGAGAAGGTGGGCAATGAAGAGGATCTTGGGCAGAGTTTTATATACATTTATCAGGAGGATGGAAATGATATTAATACCTAAGGGTTATTGTTTACCAGAAAAGTAAAATAATAGAATATTTGTTTATTTTATTGTTTGTATGCTAATATTGGCTTCCTTTCTACGACCCTGATTCGAACAGCTGTTGAGAGCTGTCAGGGTTTTCAAACAATCTTGGCTTTGAAATTTTAGTAACACGTTGGGTTAAATTTCTAACGTAGCCCAGTCGTAATGTTTGCGAGCTTCTTTCGACCGCTCCTTCGATCTCACCGCCAAATATGGGTCGCTTTAAGTGTTCACCTGAGAAGATTCATGTCCGCCGGCTTCATCAACAGGTATTGTCTGAGAAAGGTGGCAACACTTATGCCGGTAGCAATCATACGGACGGCAAACTGTTACCCAAACGAACCAAATGGTCCGGGAGAGAAGCGTAGGACACGAAAGCGCTCAATGAGCAGGGTCAAATTCGACATGTCGCTGGAGGGCAAAGCCCAGCAATATCTGGACGACCTGAAGGCGCGGTGGATGGAGCTCCATAAGGTTCCCGGCCTGTTTTCCTATCAGTTGCAAAAGACTCCCCGAGTTCGACAGATTCCAGGACCCAGTGGATTTTATACGGAAGTTTGTAAGCTAAATTATATTCTTTAGCTCTTACTAATATACATATTTGCAGCTGAACACGGACCGCTCCAGAAAACGCCGCCAGCCTCAGACCATCGAGAACCTTAATCCAACTTTTAAGCCAAAAATGTTTAATTTCAACAAAGTGGACCCAATGGAGGTTCTCCTTAAGATTGACGATGCCGAGGGAAGTCCCGAGGTGCAAATGATCATCAACAAGAGTCCTATCACCAAGTACCACACCTTAATCTGCCCCGAAGTGGAGAAGAACCATGTACAACGGCTCAACCGCGAGGTACTGCATTTTTCCATCACGTTCATGCGTAACATTGATGACCAATTTATGCGTATCGGTTACAACAGTCCTGGTGCCCTGGCGTCAGTGAATCACCTCCACTTCCACCTGCTGGAAATGCCCTACAGTCTGTACGTTGACCGTGTTCCATTGGAAAAACTAGCTGGGAACTATATTTATCGGCTAAGTCGGCGAGCGCCCACAGAGGGCATTTGTTTCGTGTTCGGCAATGAAGATAGCGATGAAGTGGTTGATGAAAAAGTGTCGAAACTTTACGAGCTTGCCATGTGGATGTGCAGGTGCAATATGCCCCACAATCTATTTATCACACAAGACCTGCGACCAGGAAAAAAAGGCGACGTTTTGGTGTTTGTGTTTCCTCGATCTGAATACTGCGTAAGCAAAGATTTGGCCGACTTCAATGTAGGATTCTGTGAGTTGGCCGGATACATTCCATTACCAGGTGAGATAACTATCCATTATTTAGAGTACTTTTCTAACAGTATCCTTTTTGAAATAGACCCAGATAGAATGAACAATATTACGGAACAGGAAGTACTTCTCAGAATCCGCACGGTTACTGGCGATGCCCCCAAAGATGCCTACAAGCAAATGATAAAAATTATTGAAGGACGGGAGGAAGAACTGTGGGACAATCCTTTTACGATGTAAAGATTGTGAAAAAATATAGCTGAGACCATTTTTATTAGAATTACTTAATTTTTTTATTAAATGGTCAGACTGCAGCAGCTACGAATCCCTTTGATATCGTGGCTTTGCTAATGACTTTGGTATTTTGAACAATGGAGTAATCCAAAGAGGAATCGCCATTCTGGTTCCTCACGAGGTCTATTAGAGCTGGCAACGTATCGTTGGCAACCTCCTCCCGTATCCTCTCAAAGAAAGCCATGTAGTGGTGTAGGTTGTGACTGTAAAAAAAAATCATTGACTGAGTTTAATTTTTGGATTGGGAGAACTTACATCATTAACAATATTGGTCCTAGAAGCTCGTTGGTTTTATAGAGATGATGCAGGTACGCACGCGTATGTTTCTGGCAGGTTAAGCAGCTACAGTCCTTCAGCAACGGTGTGAACTCCTCCTTAATATCATCATCCGTGATGTCTAGGAAAGGCATGTGCTCCTTTCCATCCTGGACAAAGGCAAATGTCAAGGCTTTGAAGTTTAGGGTCGCACAGTAAGCGTATGACGTGTCAAACACATCAATGCCCAAACGGATAAGTTCCAGCACCGTTATTGGCGTATAGGCACCAGGAATCATTCTAGGTTTATCTTCCTCTAACTGCTTAACACAGTGCTCTACAATGGGCAGAAGTTTTGAAGTATCCAGAGCAGTTGCCGATAAACCATTATTGTGGAAACCTTCTAGGACGTAGCCGCCATAACTGTCCGACGGCTGTTCCCGCGCATGCTTTATAGACTGCGTCCGGGCAAAAGTATTGTATCCACCTACAATAGGAGCCAAGAGGGTTCCCTTCACCTTTCCCCTCTGCTCATAGATGTAGTGCATGAACTTTTCGGTTCTGTCCACCGATTTTTGGGACCTCTTTTTGGAGCTTTCTGTATTGGTGTCTGCATCCGACAGACCTTGGTAGATATCAGGCTGAATCTTGGCCACCGCTTCTATGTAGCTTTCAGCAGTAAGCGTTTCCTTGCCCCTTCTCGTAAACAAAGGCAGTGTATCTCGATCGTTACTACCCGACGGCGTCGTTTCGCAAGGATCCCGCACAAGAAGCACATTTGGTTGACCAGGAAATCCAACGTAGTCGCTCACTCCTCTGTCTTTGTTGTTCCATTGCTCCAGGGCCTCTACCATATGTCCCATGGTGGACAAGGTGAGCTGGAGCACCTGTGGTTGCTGACTAATCTGATGCTCGAAAACATCTCCAGCCAACCACGGAATGCTGCCGCCCTTTGTAGTCTGCAATAAGAGCGGGGTCTTTAGATCAGGGCCTCCTTCCCTAATCCGCAGTTGACCCAACCGGCCGGAATTCTTGCTAATGCTCTCGATTAGGAACTTCATGCCGGTTCAGGTGTTTTTATTTATCTTTTGGAATGGGCTGAGGGCGCACGTTGTAAGAGAGTTATCGATAACGATAGAATCTAGTGGTAATAGTTTAGAGGGATTTTCTTTACAGACATTTTAAGATCAGAGGTATTTCATAATCATCAATTTGAATAATAAAAATGGCTTTATAACTTAATTTAACTTGAATAATGTATATATTTTATATATAAATCATTTAAAAAACATTCTAATGTTCTATATGTCTAAAAAAACACCCTTTATAAATTTTATTAAGTGGCAACTCTGGCAGTTTGGCGCCCCTATTCGTGTTTTTGTTTCTGCACCGCCCGTCAGTTGTTTTTGATTTTTCGCCGTGGTCGCTTTTTTCATCGGACGTTCGCCAGCTTTTGGGGGCCTGTTTCGTGGCGCTGAGTGGATTATTTTATGTTGTATGCGCAGCACACTTGATGGCAATTGTTGTCATGTATGCCCCACACTGTTGTTGTTTTAGTCTTGTGGAATCGGATGCTCGGTAATAAATGTGTACGGTTGTGTGTGTGTGAGTTCCGTACCGTTCGCGCCGTTCATTGATTTCCTAATTAAGTTTATAATTAAAATTAATTGAAAAATTACTCACATGTGTACATACATACGAGCATATACATATGCACATGTAAATTGGATGGCCGCAACGAAAATTGTATGAATGCTATTAAATAAGTTATGTACTTACATGACGGTGCACACATCGAGTGCATTATAAATCGGTTTTTTGAATTCGAAAACGAAATTGTGCCAAAAAGATCATAAAAACAAGAGGACGAATAACAAGCAACAGCGTAAGAGGTAATTAGAATAACAACAATGCAGAGACAGCTTTTAAATTGATGACTTCCTTGCGGTCTCTGTATTTATAATTAAAATCGTCTGCAGCCGCAATTATACATATGTATTTATTGAACAAGCAACTATAAAAATTCCTCACAAAATCCATTGAAATAGTCGTAAATTCGGCTGGATGTTCTGGTGTGTCGGCTTAAAATTTAGAGAAAAAGAAAGAAATCCCTGCCCTCCAGGGTTGTCAGGCATTGAACCGGCTGTGGCCTTGAGATCGCAGCCGTGTCTGTATCGGTGCTACCTGTTTCGTGTTTTATGGCCCGAAAGAGTCGTAAATGAAAACTGTAAAATTACGCGTTGCACATGGGCGTCAGAAAGTAATAAAACTTAACATTTATGCTCATTCCAGGTGGTCCGGGTCCTGTCGGATGTGGCTGGGCGGCGATGTGGCAACCCTAGGCAAATGAACTGTTTTTACCTGCAGAAACACACAACACAACAAAATCGCCTCACAACGGATAATTTAGTGGAATTTTCAAAAATAGCAAAGCTGGCAGAGGAGGAACAGCAGCGGCAGACGTAGCAGCAGCAATAATCCCCCAGCGAGAGCACAGACCAGGCACAATAATCAAAGATTAAATCAGGTTTATATGGAAAGGGTTAGCACGGCGCAGGAAGGAATACACGTTTCCTAGCTAAAGCAACAACAACAACAACAACACCTACAACTGATTACACACACACAGACAGACGAATGAGACCCGAGAGAGCGCGACAGCACGAAGAGAAGTCGTCGTTCGCAGCAGCGTAAAGTTGTCCGCTCGCAGAGGCTCTTTCTCATTTTCTTTTCGGACGTCGTGCGGAGTGGCGGTGAAAACTCTCGGGCGGCAAAACCACGGCAGATAAGATTTTTCCGATTTTCCGTATGGCAGCAGCACCAGCGGCATTCGGCATTTGTTTTGAAAGTAAAGCGAACGAAAAAAATAAAACAGAGACGGCAGAGAAAAACCGCGCCTCTCTCGCCTCACAGACATAACTGTGTCTGTGTCTCCTCTCGGGTGTGTGCGTGTGTGTAAGTGGGCGCGAACGTGAGCCGCAAAAGGAAGTGAAAATAGTGCAAAAAAGGCCAAGTAATAATAATAATAATAAAATAGGCAAAAAGACAGGCCCGCAAAGCAAGAAAGACCAGACCAGTTTCAAAAAGCCTAGCGCCTATTTGCAGGGCCCCCTCCCCTCCTCTATATGATGTCTGTGTGTCGAAGGTGAAGGTGTATATGTGTGTGAGCAGCAGCAGCAGAAGCGGCGGCAACAACAACAACACCAACTAGAATCGACCACATACGAGGAAAAGGAGCAGCGAAAGGCACCAGGCAGAGGCAGGCTGGCAGCAATAAGAATAATAAATTACACTTTGCTATAATAAGAAAAATTTATACATACAATACACACAAGCCCCAAAGAGAGAGGCCCACACATGTACAAGTAATATTACCCGTATGTACATATATATATATCTGCCGCTGTGGAAAATTGTAATAAAATATGAAAACGGGAAATCGCCCAGAAAACTAATAAAAAAAGTAAATATATAAATAAAAGTGGAAAGAGGAAAGAAGAAAAAAATTTTGAAATCGAAATCTGTGCCATTTTAAGCTTTAAATAAATTGTAAAAAAATATACAATAAACCAGAAACTACGTACAGTATTAAACCAATAACACACACACACATAGAAAAAGCATACAACATGTCCTGCATATCGAGCAACTTCAGCTCCTTCTTCCTCAACTCTCTGAACGATCCTTCAGAGTTTTCCAAGTACTTGAGCAATGGCGAGCTGAAATGCTCGAATTTCGAGGAATTTCAAGTGTTTGGCTGCGGCGCAGGCGCGACATCCTCTCAGCCGCCGTCGACGCAGCAGCAGACGCATCAGCTGCAGCACCAGCAGCAACAACAGCAACAACAATCACTCCAGTATTCCCACACACATCTACCCAGCACAGCGGATTTCTCACCCTACGATGCTGCGACGCAGGCAGCGACGTCGCAGCGGGAAACCTGTGCCGGCAGTACCGCTTCCACCAGTTCAGGTAGCAATACCGTTAACTCATCGTACGCTGTCGCCTCTGGCGAAGTCAGCGCAGCCGCTGCGCCGACGTCTGGAGCGTTAAATGCGACAGGATCAGGATCTGGATCAGGAGGACCTAATAATCCCGTATCGCTAAACAGCCCCTCTAGCAATCGTTGGCCCACGGCGGTGGCCACGCCCAATGGTCATGCCTCCACCGCCTCGGCGGCAGGATCAGTGCCCCAGCACTTTGATGGATCCTTCGAGTTCATCAAATACCTACGACACTCGGCAGACTTCACGCCCAGCACCCCCACCTCCAGTGAGAGTGCCGAGAAGGGTAGCTGCAAGCCGGGAATCGCTGCCGGAACACCCCCGCCTCCGGCCCAGTCCCCGGTGGCCGGTGGTCTGATCGACCTGGACACCAGCACCTCTCAGAAATCCCGATCTGCTTCGAGGAAGGTGGCCGCCCTCCTGTCTTCCGTTTCGCGAGCTTCCAACAGCCTGGTGGACACCAGCACCTCGGCCCTGGACGTCTTCGACCACGACTCGAAACAAACCATGTTCGATCTGCAGCAGATGGCTTCGAACGGATCTTCCAACTCCAATGAGTCGTCGCTGGAGATGCTGGCCTTTCCCAACTCACACCTCAATGCCTCCAATTCGAACACATCATCGGAGGGAGCGGCCTGCGGGAGTGCCGGCGAATTTGGCGGCATCCTAACCGGCGCCAGTTGTTCCTCATCCACTGCCTCGTCCTCGTCGCATGCCCCCAAATTGCTGGGCAGCTTTGTGATCAAGGAGAACTTTGAGGTGCATCCGTCGCACAAGGTGGAGGAGGGCATATTCCAGCACATGAACAAGTTGCCATCCAAGAAGAAGGATACACTGAAGCAACTGGGCGTCAGGTTCACTGGCCAGATGACTCTGACGGACAAATCGATTGTGGTGGAGAACTTTATCAAATTCTGCGAGGTGAGTTGAATACCATATTATGTGGCGGTGTCTGTATATATTACCTCCCTAAAAGGGTTGAACCATTTTCGGGTGTTAGGGCGTCGAATTTCCCGCTGCCGCCTGAGAGGTGGTGTATGCGAAATTTTCTCCAACCCAGTCTCCACTCTCCAACCCTCCGCCCATCCGCCCATCCACCCATTTGCATATGCAATTTAAATATTTGCACATATGTACGAATTACGTATTTATTGTTACGCGGATGGGGCGGGCGGCAGTGGGAGGGAGGGATTGGGGTTCAATTAGGGGATGGCCCTTTGGATCCTATATGGAAAGCTATCTAAAAAGACATTTTTAAGAACTACAAAACTCTATAAATTTGGGTCAATAGAAAGGTTTTTTTTAATCAATTTCTGATAAATAACTAAATTCGCCAAGAATTAGGGTCGATATATCATATTTCTTATCAAGTAATTAGGCTTTTTATCGACAAGAGCGGTCGATTATTATTTTTTGCGGCTTTTTTTTTGGAGAAGGTTCTCTTCCAGTGATCTTCCAGTGTAATAATCTCCTATATAATACTGTATGTACTATAAATTGGGATATTCATAATATAAACATGCACCCTATCTATATCCTATATCCTATATCCTATATTTCCTTACATCCCCAACACAGGCGCATTTCCCACTCTATTATGTGTGTGTCCACCGCCCACATCCTCGCCCACACACATATTCAGGATTCCGTTTCGTCCCCCCCACTGCCCTCTACTCACACAAATGTCATTATAAATTGTAATAACAGGAGCAGTGACGCTGGCGCCAACGCCGACAGCGCAGTCAACGCTGACTGCAGCCAACCACAAATTCAGCATACAAATGTAATCATGTGTGCTGTACTGTGGGTGAGAGAGTAGGAGTGGGTGTGTGTATGTGTGTGTGAGTTCTAAACACCTATACAAAATGGACCTCCCCCCCACCCGCATACACAGACACATTTGGCGCCCTTTTCAACACTATGGCAGTCAACCCCAGACACCCCAACTCACACCCCCAGCACGCTCATTACGCTCCTTTATCACACAAATACACTCACTCATACACACACAGAGAGACCCATCTAGATTTGTTGGCCGCCCAGAGCATCCCCCCACTTAGACACACACACACACTCACAAAACTATGTACAAAATGGCATTGATGGCATAATACAACAAAAAGACGAGGGGGGTCGAAAGCAGAAGAAGAAGACGTTGGGGGTCCACCGCCTATTACAAAATTCTCAGCTCTAAGGCGGTGGGGGGTTGGGTGTTGGAATTCTTGAAGGGTTAATACCACCCCGTCATTACTAAAAAGTTTTTGGAAATCTTCTCGCCCAGTCGTAGAGCCTTTGATATCCAAAAATTCTCCAGAGAAAGTCCTAGGATGGTGGCTCCAAGACGCTTCCTTCCTACCTACCCACCCACCCACCTACTCTCGGCTAACTCAAAATTGTTGCGCTCTCTCTCGCTCTGCCGCACTCAGTGCCTCTCTTGAGCTCAAAACTTACTTGAAGGCTGTTCTTGCTCAAACTACCGAAGATGAGTGTGTAGTTGTGTGCGAGAGCCGGGGGTGTGGAGGAGTAACCCCCAAAAAGCTCAAGGCAGGCGGCTGCTATTGAGTAATTGTATGTGGGGCCCCCATTACCTCCCCCTCCTCCTTCCCCTTCTTTGTGTCCTTCTTCTTCTCCCTTGGATTCCTTGACTTCCTTGGCTTCCACTCCTTGCTCTCATACATACAATCATCAAGTTACTTTGCGGGGGGTGGTGGTGGTGGATACGAAGGGGCCTTTGGACTGTCCGTTAGCTGCTTGGGCATGTCCTTTTCCTCTTCCTCTTCCGACTCTCTCGTTTTGGAGGTTATAGTGTATGTGTGTGTGTGTATTTTATCAACACATTTTATACATGTCTCTATTGGAGCGACCCTTGTTACAGTGAAGCTTCCATAGATTAGAAAAGGATTAGATTTTATCTTCTCTTATATTTCGATAATTTATCGATAGAGAAGTGCATCTAAAAAAAGCATAACATGTTCGTTCTTGCTTGAACATGTCTGTCTTGATTTCTAATCAACTTTCTTGAGTCTCCACTGTAATTGGGCGGCCCCAGAGGCAGCGTTGAAGGCTACTAAGTGCGCATGCAGTCGGCTTACACACACACAACTGCACTGCACGGCTTTGCCCAACTTTGTGGCTGAGTGTGTGTAAAGGACAGCTTAGCGGTGGGGCTTGGTCCTGGGCAGGTACAATGTCTCGGCTTCGCACAATTTACGCGCATACACACATACATACAAGCTGAAATAAATGCAAACACACACACATGTACACGCTTTGAAAGGCAGGCGCACATACATATGGGGCATTGATTATAATTTTAAATTATATACAAACATACATACATACATATGTATGTATGTACGTGTGCGGACGCATACCGGAATATAACTGTACATGCCGCATATGATGGCTATAGTATATACAGGATATATACATAAATACAAACATATGTATATGCAGGCATTCACATCAAATATTTAGGTTTTGTTTAGCGTTTTGTCGCCTTTTTGGGGGCACATTCCACATTAAATTAGTGTTGGCTAACAGCGGGGAGTGTTGGGAGAGCGCGTTTAGAACAGGTTGGAAGAACCGTTAGGCTTAATTAAAAGCTTCCCCCTCCCCATGAAATGAGTTGCCAAATGAAAAGGTTGTCACACCGAAAAACAACGGTAACCCTTAACCCTTTAAGTCTCATTAAAAAACCTGTTAAACGGCCGGCACACGCAGAAGAGTGAAAGTGTGAAATTTGCCTCCACTTTCTCACACTCACACACACACTGGCACGCATTCTGCAAAAAAAAAAAAGGAATCAAAAAATCATAGCAGCAACAGCCAAACACCAACTCTATGTTGTTGTTGTTGTTGTTGTTTCCCGACACGCACAAGCAACACCCACAAAACTGAACAACAACAACAACAACAACAACAGCAGCAGCAAAAAGGAAAACAATTCACACTTGTCGCAATACAAACAACAACAAACCGCATCACACCACAGACAACAACCGCAATCCCGCCACACACACACTTACACACACACACAAACAAACACGCCCCCCACAGACACGCCAAACCGACACACCCACACCCCCTTATAGTACGTCACGCACAAACACAAACCATGTCTGCCAATAAGTTTGCAAAAAAAAAAAGAAAATACAAAAAAAAATCAGAAAACAAAAAGCTAGCAGAAGGAGACGCAATGAAAACAGAAACGGAAAACGGCAGCGAAAGCAAGAACAAAATACCGCAACACATTGCCACACAGCTTTCATTCTTCTTTTCCTGTTTCTATTTTTTATTTTTTTTTGTGGCACCCGGTAGTGGGGGATTTCTAGGGTATACCAAAATAGATCTATTATGTTGAACTGGAATAGAGGAATGGTTGTGGGGTTTTTCAGATTTTGCTAAGATTTTACAATTGAAAAGCTAATGTATGGAAATAATAATTTTGAATAATATTTTTCAAAAATTAAAGAAAAAGAAAAGAGAGGGTTTTTGTTATAGAAAAAAGAGGGTTTTTGTTATAGAAAAGATCTAAGTATAAGATTCTAGACACTTGTATGTAAAGATTTCTAATTTTTATAGTATTTAGTTATTAGTTAAAGACTAGAAGTTCTTTATAACCAAAGATCTCCAGGATCATACTCTAAAAAGTATGCAATAAATAGGCGTAGACATCTAGGGTATACTAAAAGGGAGATATTATTATGAATCTCATAAGGATGTTAGTTAGTTAGTTAGATTTTAAATAATAATATATGGATTTAATTTTAGTAATACTAGTTTCCTAATTATAACAAAAAGACTGAAATAACCGAAGCAACCTAGGCAAGGATACCCCCCAAAAAGTATGCAATAAAAAACCAAACAACCATCAAAATAAACACTTACCCAAAGTATTGGGTATCTGATAGTTGAGATGCTCTGCCTCCTTTTTTTTTTGCTCCTGGCCAGTAAAACATTTGAGTGGCCATGGGCGTCGGTAAAAGGGTAGTGGCTGGGGTAAGGGGGAACGAAGGTTGTCAGCACTTGGGCCACGAGTTGACAGCTGCAACAGGGCGTCCTTCTTTCGGTTCACACCTCCAAAGCTCAGGCACTCAGTCCGTATCCTCCTCGTCCTTCTGCCACAGTTGCCTGTTAATGAGACACACCCGGAGAAACGGCCAGGTGTCGCCGGCTGTCATCGGCAATAGTCCCTCACTTCCCACCATCTCCTCCAGCCTTTTGAACAGGAATTTAAAGTTTTGCAGGACCCTTCCCGTCAGGAGTGGGAAGGAGCAACCTGGTCGTCACTCCTTTTTGCTCTATTGATTTTTAACATAATCAAAACCGAAAATGTATGCGCACACACACATACAAAGTCACAAACACATACACATATACATACATACATTCATAAACAGAAGCGCAGTCAGCATTTCGAACTGGAGAGGGGCGTGGTGGTGGTGGGTGGGTGGTTGGGTGGTTTTGGCAACCTGGGAGGCGCAACCCTGGCGCACTGATTATGAGGATGTTGATAAGTTCCGAGTTCCAAGGACCAACGAAGCGACCGACGAACTCTGCCGAAGACTCAGACTCACACACAAGCGTCCATTAAGCCTCTGCCTTCTGCGCCTACTAAATGTTACACTTAAAAAAATATAGTTATTAAAAAAAAAATATTTAAAAAAATTTAAATTTTTGTTAAAAAAAAAGACAACAATTTCTTCCAAAAATCTTAAACCATAGTTTTATTTATTTTTATAAATTTTTTTCTGTGTAGGAAAAAAAAACATACATACACACACATGCTTAGTAACCCTTTCTAAAGGGGCGGGTGGAGGGGGCTTTGCAAACATCTACCACCCTCTGCTCTGGGCCCCCCCCTTTTACCCATTTGGGGGGAAAATGGCTTCATTGAAAATGTTGTTTGCTTTTCTATTTGGGTTTGCTTTGCTGCCTTTCTGCTTCCTTTTTCGCTTCGCCCTATTCTATATTTTTACACTATAAAATATACAAGAGTGTGAGTAGTATGTGTGTGTGTGTATTTTGGTGGGGTTTTAGTGTCTCTGTGTGAAGCTTTTGCTTTGGTATGTTATTCAGAGCCAGTTACCACCCACCCAACCCAGCCCAACTGCCGGCCCACCTCCCACCGCTCATCCTGCCCATGGTCCTTTGCAAGTTTTTGGCTTTTGTGTAAAATTTTCGTTTTAAACTTTTGCGTTGTACACGAATTATAAGTTTTGATTAGTAGTGGGCAAAGTTTTTAGCTCGCATGTACATATATATACTGAGTCTGGGGGGGTTCAAGGGTGGTGGGTGGGTGCTTTAAAGTACATTATGTAACTGAAATACATATGTGCAGTCATAGAATTTGACGTCAATGAATACACACACATATGGGATATATGGGATATATGGGTAGATGGGAAAACAGCCTAAAAGTAGAGGAAATTATGCTAAAAAGTGGTGAAATGGGTGTTTGGGTTGGGTTCTTCTCACATAAAAGGTGTAAGCCATTTGAAAACTAATGAAAGGGTGGTTGGGTGGTTGGGAGGTGACAACTAAAACCGGTATGTCTGGGAAAAGTATTATATATTTTTCCCAACAAGAGTCAAGTTTCCAAAGAGATAAACCTGCAAAGTACAGTAACCAAAATGACAATTTTTTTTTATTTTTTAGGAATATGATATCAAGGATCATCGGCCCTGGCTATCCTTAAATCAATGCGGCCTCAACAAACCGGAACAGATAAAGTTCGCTCGATATTTGGGCCAGGGACTGCCGACGTTCACCCTCTTCTGCATTTATAGCAATTTTAAGAATCTATTCTGCACGAAACGCACAGAAATGTAAGTTCAAAGTTCGAAGTGGGTGGTGTTGGGTGATGCCTAAAAGCATGCTATGCTATTTTAATTGATGCATGTCCTTTTTTCCATGTCCTCCATAGCTATACCAAGGATGGCTACAATCTGCCTTATATACTCGACAAAACCAAGCGCTTCCTGGCCAACACAACAGCTGGTAAGTGAATTTTAGATAAATATAGATATTGCATATCCCCCCCCTGAAGTTCCCCCACTCCCCCCTCCGGCCTAGAACCCCGGTAGTGCAAATGCAGCAGCAGGCATCACCAAAAAGTATTCAGGCAGAAGAAAATTAATAAAAAAAAAAAGAGACTTGAAAGACGAGGCGGCAAATGTGCTAAATTTTAAAAATACACTCGAAACTAGAAGTGCTTACATTCATTTTTTATGATTTTCTTTTTATTTTTTCACTATCCGCTGTTTCTATTTCTATTTCTTGCACGCTTTCTGTTTGCAAAAAATTTACAAAAAAATAAAAAAACAAAATTATTGCGAAAAATATCAACAAGAAGATACCTACAATTCGGCTGCCTATGTTTGCAAAATTCTCTATAATAATTAATTCTTTATGAGATAAAAACAAAAAAAAAAGAACAATTTTAATTTTGACTTCAATTTGTTTGTGTTTCCTCTTCTTCTTGTTCCACGCATACGCTTTCAATCACTAGGTGACAATGCAAACAACAACAACACCACCAATACCACCATCACCACCACCAGTAACAAAGCCAATACACCAACATCTACAGCAACAACAACAACAACAACAACATCAGTCAATACACCGGTTAAACAGACACCATCATCACAATCCGAGCTGGATGCACCCGAATCACCTGCCACAACACCCAAGCCACAAGGACCAGCCACGCCCACACAGCCGACATCACGCACAAGGCCCGGCACGCCCACAATGTCAGGAGTAGGAGTGACGCCCACAACGCCACAACAACAGCCACACCTGCAACATCAGCAACAGCAACAACAACAACAGCAACAGCAGCAGACACATCAACAACATATGTTGCAACATCCGCACACGCATTCGCTTCCACACGGCCAACAGGCACTTCCACATTCTCACACGCATCCACATCCACATCCCCATCCGCATTCGCATTCGCACTCGCATCCACACCATCTGCAGCCAGGAACACCCACTCGGAGTCCAGCGATGGCTCCCCATCCGCATCATTATCCGCCGCATCCGCACCATCAGCCGCCGCCGCCACATCACGGCCATCCGCATGCACATCATTACGCCTACGCCCACCACCAGCAGCAGCAGCAGCAACAGCAGCCGCATCATCCGCACTACTATCCGCATTCGCATCCGCATCCGCACGCGCATGTCCAGCATATGGCGGCCATGGGATATCCTGCGCCGCCACCGTCACAACAAACAGGAATTGGAGGGGCAGCAGGAGGAGCGTCAATAGCTGGAGGCGCGGCAGCAGGAACACCTCCTGCCGGTGCAGGAACAGGAGCTGGCGGCGGTGGAGGTGGAGCGGCCATGTGAGATTGGGGGCGGCGTGGCGCCAAGGGCAGCGGAGGTGGCGCCACCTGTTGACAACTGTAGGCTGTTGCAAAAAAGGACACACAGATGTAGCAAGGATTTCCCCCAATATATCTTCCCCCTGCATCCTGGTCCTCGATTATTGCGTTTTCCGTTAATGCATCATGTCATTAAAATTATTTCCTCGTTTTAGTTTATGTTTCACTTTTAATTTAGACTAATTTTACACACAAGCTTTTTGCCAAATTTTTGAAAACTATGCAAATTTTTGTATTACGTTTGACGACGATATAAAAAAAAACAACAACAAAAACAAAAACAAAAAGTGTTGGACAACGATCGATTATTACCCCAAAACTATGCAATGTTATTCCTTAAAAAGAGATTATTACATTTACAACAAAAACAAAAACCACACACACACACACACACACATACACTTTTACACAATTATACAAACACACACTGAAAAAAAAAATATTATAGAAAATCAATGATAATGCTATTTAATATAATAATATATATATATATATATTTTAGTAAGCCAAGAACAAATAAAATTGTAAACCTAAAAACCTTAACTGAAGAAAACCTACAAAAACATACCACATATGAGAATTGTTTGAATTGGAATCTGAAAAATATATATACACACCTTAGCGTCGTGCGATTGAAAGAAAATCGATTCTGACTTGTGATTTATTGCCTGCGTCGCGCCTCTGCATTTGCTCTAAGCTAATATCGAAGGAAAACTCACCTAGTTTTCCTTGAAAATGCACTTGCAATGATTGGTAATCATTTTCCCTCATCGTTGTCACCTTCAGTCACGAAAATCGCCTTTGATTTGTATAGAAATGGGTTTTAAAATTAAAGGCGATTTCGAAAGTGTTTCCCTTCCCTCCGAGTGTCCTGGCACTACGATTCTTCTTTTGTAGACCTCAAGAACATGGCCGCCGCCAATGATGGCTCCCTGGAGTTCGCCACCAGTGGTGGCAGCTGCAGCAGCAGCAACAGCAACACCAGCACCAGCAACACCAACATCGGCAGCAACAGCAACAGCAGTAGCAGCAACGGAGCACCCAATCCAAATCCAGCAGTTGCTCTCCCTCAGGGATATGTGACGGCACCGACATCCCAACAACAGCAGCAGCAGCAGCATCTTAATCTTGATCCTCGGTATGGAGCACCGCATCCGCATCCGCCACAGTTGCTGCCACCACCGCCGATACCGGCCCTGGGACCGCCACCCCGTTCGCTGGAGCAACTGATCATCTATGAGAACTTTGATGTGCACGAGACGCACCGGATCGAGGACGGGGTTTGCACACACATTAGCCGCCTGCCGCCCAAGAAGCAGGAGCTATTGAAACAGTTCGGTATACAGAGTAGTAGCCAGCAATGTCTGAGCAATTATGAAAAGTACATACTCATCGAAAACTTCATCAAGTTTTGCAATGTGAGCAAAAGTGTATCGAAAGCAGATGATCCGGAGGCACCACTTAAGTCTAGCGGAGCTTTGTTCTTATGCCCCCCAAATTGGCGTTCGAGACATTGGCACTCATACATATATTTTGTTGATCGAATCTAGTTCCAAATTGCATCCTCATCCAGAGCATTGAACAAATCTCTTGCCCAGTTAGTTGGGATTTTATAATGTTAATATATTTTCCATTCCATTGAATTCCACAGGAATATCAGATATCCGATCATCGACCCTTTTTGGACTTCCACGAGAGCGCTTTATCCAAATGTGAACAACTTAAATTTGTACGATATCTGGGCCAGGGGTTATCCAATCTGACGCTAAACAAGATTTATGTGGCCTTCAAGGAGCTACTGGGGAATGGAAGGCCGGAAAAGTAAGTTATCTTTAGAGTACTTTATAGTCTCTAAAAGAATTATATTATACTCTTTTTCAGAGTGAGTATGGAAGGTTATAATCTGGATGCCCTCTTAAAGAAGAAACGTAAAAATCTATACAATCGCATGCATGCAACTGGTAACTAATAGTCTCCTTAAATTTATTAATTAAAGAAATACTAGTTTATTTTAACTTATAGCCCCCAGCATTGACTTGACCGCCTACGAGTCGGGTCAGCATAATCCTCAAGCACACCTAACCACGCCACGACCCCATCACGCCTTCGCCGCCTTGAATGCTGTAACGCAGCGCAGCGAAGTATGCAACGAATTGACGCACACGGGCTTGCAGTACAGTTACGCCGGACACGGAACCCGGTAAAAACAGCCCCCACCAATCCAAAAATCCAATCCAAAATCCAAAGCTGAACAACATATACATATATATATATATATACTTCTTCCTGGAACTGGACCAGTAACTGTTGTGTCTTCGAAAAAAAAATATTAAAAAAAAAAAAGTAATTTAATCGCCGCTAGCGTGCCGATTGTTAAGAGAAATCATTGAAAACTAAGTGCTAAATTAAACAGAAACCAGATGGAAAGCTAACCAAAATACCAGACACTAGTAAAATTAGACTAAATGTTAACAAAATTAATATTAAATGGAATGAAATTCAATTAAGGCAAAACAGATAAAACACTACACGGACATAAAAATGATAAAGATTAGATTAATAAGCAAGGTAACCCATATACAATATGTATGAATTATAATGAGTATATATACGAGTATATATAACGTATATGAAGATATTTCTGTAGTTGCCATAGCGCTTAGGGTGCAGCACACACTTCCAAATATGGCCAAAAATCCAGGCCGGTACTAAACAGACATATTAGCTTCGGTTTCCAAACAAAATCCTCCCTAGCCTTTAGACCCTATCCCCTACCATTATGCCCGGCATCATAAAATTAGCATAGAGTTTAAGTAAATCAAAAACAAGAAAAAGAAAAAGGACACCAAAATCAAAGACCTCCCATTGAAAGTTCCCAAAAACTAAACGCATACTAAGTAACTTGTAGAGACTAGCTTTTAAGATGGAACAAATTTTTAGCATAGAACTGGAAGAGGCGGATAAAGCGGCACAGATCAGATCAAATGATTAACAAACTAAATATTCCTATATACAATATACATATTATATACAACAAAAAAAAACAAGAGAAATCAGCATCAAATACGCAAATCAAATAACAACCAACAAGGAGAAACAACAAAAAACATAGCAATTGTAAATGATATATATACCGAAAAATATATTCTATACCAGCAAAAGGCAAAAGATCACTTTGTTTGTTTTATTTCTTTATGTTACCGAAACTGTTTATTTCCATTTAAATTTTTCACTATTTTGTATTAGGTATACTATTTAGCTTAACACGGAGAAGTGTGTATTTACGATTAACTGGCAGAAAGAAAAAGCCAAAATAGCAAAGCTAAGTATTAAAAGTGTAGAGTGTATAAAACTAAAGTACAGTACAAGGCAGTTTCACCTATCTACTAAAGAACCCATCGATTTCTACTCTGCCGATTGCTTTTAAGCTTCATATCTCCAATTTTCTGATTTTTTATGTTTTTTTTTGTTTTGAAATCGTTGCAATTTGGAATTGCCCAACGACAAGAGAGCTATATGTTTTTAAATGCCGACTAGTTAGAGTCCTTTTTACGCTGCGCCTGTTCGCGTTCCAGCGCCCTCTGCTTGGCCTTCTCGTAAATGGGCATCAGCTGCTGGGTCTCGCCCAGCATCTTCAGCAGCTCCACGATGAACGGCAAATAGTTGTGCTTGCGACGCACGTTCTCCACCTTGTAGCGCTTCTTTTTCTGGATTTCATACTGAATGTAGGTGCGCAAGTTGTTTATCTCAGTCTGACGATCCTCCTCGGTATCCATGGCATTTGGACCGGGATTCAGCAGCTTTTCGATCTGCTGTTCGTAGATGCGCTGACGGTCCGAGATGAGGGCCATTAAATTGAAATGAATTTCGCCGTCGCTGTAGCGTTGCATGCGCTTCTCGATAATGGGTTTTACCACATCGATCCAGTTCTGCTCGGGACGGATTTCGCCCAGGTCTATGGGTCCTTCCCGGAGGCCATCCAACTCGTAAAGCCTGCCACCGATGGGTATGTAGCCCACAAAGTGGTAGACATCCTCGTCCTTGTTCTGGTTCTTCATATCCAGCTCGAAGAGCGTCTGACGGGCAAACGAATTGTGAACGGTACGAATCTGGCTGGCGTTGCTCAGAGTCAGTCCCTTGTTGTAGGGATCAAAGCACTGGCAGAAATCCTTGAAGTTGGTCAGCGTGTCGCCCAGCTTGATGTCCTCGTGCTCCAGGTTCATAAGCAGACTCAGAATGGCCTGAGTGGCGCAGGCATTGTTAATGACCTGCTTGGCAAAGAATATGTTCTCCCGATCCAGGACCACTTTCCCAGCCGGCTCATCTTCTTGCACCCACTTGAAAAGAAAGATCAGGCCGTGAATGGGCTCCAGGTTCTTGAAGGACTCACTGTCCAGACTCCAGATCTCCTCCACCTGGGCGCCTTCGCAACCTACAAACAGGAAACACGATACAGTGTCGAATTTTCCAATTGGCAACTACCCGGCGTCTTTCTTGCAATTGCGAAAATTGAAAAACGCGCGAATTACTTACCAAACTCGCGAATAAGCTCGGTGAACACACCAGGATCGGACTCAATGAGACACCAGTTGCCTGCACCGTCGCTCATGTTTTATTTACTTTCAAAATACTAATCAAATTTCACTTTTAGAACACTAAAATTCGCTTTTTCCTGCTAGTGCAAAGAAATTTTTTGTCAACTCACAGCAATGCTCGGTGATGCCAGAGAAACTAAAATCAAAAGGTGGCAGCACCTACTACGATGTCATAAAAATGTTACTTATATTTTTATTTAATGCGATTTATACAAATGCTATTCTTTTATACTTTCATAAGGTATCGGTGGATGTATTATTCAGATTTTAATATTTTCAATTTGGACAATTACAAAAGTAGTTTTTTTCAGCATTTTAAGCTCGATAACTTTCGCGCCATGTCGATTATTTTATGTGGCAGTAATCATCGCCATTTTTCGAAGAAGGGTTGAAAAAGGAATTGACAAAAATCAATTTAAAAAGTTGAGAAAAACAGAACTAAACACAAAAATATCATTTAGATATTATTTTAAATAAGCTCCTAAAAATAAATAGTTCAAAAACCTGTATTTTTTTAAGGTTTTTGTTTAAGATGAACATTTATATCTTTTTAATTATATGAATGTTAGAAAATGTATCAGTAAATGGTAAATATAAGATTTAATTTGTATATTTAAACTGATCGGCATTAATAGAATGAACTTACCTTACAAAATTTTGAATTTCGCGCGCTTCACAACCTATCGATATTTTATACTATTTCTCTTTAATAAAGAATACAGAAGGAATACAGAATAGGTTCGTACAGAAACCATTTTAAAAATTATTTTATAAATAAAATCATAGGTAAAAAAACAACTAAAAGATATCGGGCATACTCAAACCATTTCTATTTTCGAAAAAGAAAATGAAGAGAAAGGAAAGTTCGAAAAATGGTGTTTGAGTGCTTCTCAACACTAGTTTTGCAAAGCAAAAGCGGTGGAAGAAGAAGCAGATGACGAAAAAAATATGTGCAAGCAGATCTCGCGAAAAAATGAATTTTGCTGCACTTGACGTGTGTGAAATGTGAACCCAAAGTGTACATTCTATTACCGAGACAATAAATCATATTTTACGAAAATTTTTGATATCGCCCGCAACGTTTAAAGCCGCAAAGAAATGAAGCGAAAATACGATAATTGCGTGCTGCAGCAGAGGCAGCAACAAAATCCGTGTTTGTTGTAGATATACGTAGTACGAGTATATGCAAATATATACATAATAGAGCAGCAGAGTCTGGCGGAGAGTCCGCCGACGACGCGTCATACAGACAGAACTGATCTCCCATAGGCCGCAGTAATTAATTCGAAAATCGTACCGCGCCAAGGAGCGAACAAAAGAGGCGCGAAAAATTCGCAAAGCAAAATGGTTGTCTCCAAAGACAACAAGCGTCGCCGCAAGGAGGCGGAGACGCCTCCCCCTCCACCGCCAACAACGGCCAACAGTTCCACGGCAGCCGCGGCTGCGATCGAATCCTCACCCGAAATGCCCAAAAGGTGAGTCCATAGACCATTCATATCCCAGTAACCGTATCCGTATCCGTACCCGTATCCATCCATCGGTGAATGACTTTAATCGTAAATACATACGTGTGAGATGACGTCGCAGAGCGACAACAAGCGGAGAACTGTGCGTGTGTATGAGTGTGTGTGTGGTGTGCGGGTGGCGAATGGGGGCGGGCGGGCGTCAACCGTGGAGAGGGGGGGTGGAGCAGGCAGCAGGCAGCAGGCAGCCCTGGACTCAGTTGTGTAAGCTAGCGTCAACATCGTGTCGTGGCGTTCTACTGAACGACTGAAGGGGGTGTTTCGCATCCGCCTTTGGATAACATTGTGGATGGGATGGGATGGGTGGAGGAGGAGGAGTGGTTGTGGTTGTGGGGGGTAATGGGGCAAATCTCCCCTCAACGCAGGTGGGATATACAGTGGTTAGTCACTAAGCTGAATGTTTGGAACAATCAATTATCCGGTCTGCATATAAATGGCAGCATTAGAGTTTCATTTCAGAGCCATGTCAGCAGTTGTAGAACTTTTTTTAAATAAATATTCAATTATTTCATTAATTAGACTTGCCCCCTACCCCTCCCCCTTCTGTGTAATTCAATCCTTTTCTGCTTTGATGGCTGAAATTAATATCTACTGTCTGTTTCCCATTAAAATCTCGCATACCTTTCACACAATGCCTTCCTCTTTGCTATTTTCAGAACCAAGGTGCAGGCTCAGCGCAAGTTCGCCCAGGGTCAGAGTGCTCCGAGCAGCTCCTCCAGCTTATCGTACAGCGCCATCGCAGCTGCCGCCGGGCCGAGCACGTCTGGCGCCGACAGCTCACAGCCGCCCATCGAGATCCTGCCCAACAAGTGTCCCAAGCCGCAGGATTTCGTCACGTTTCTCTGTTTCCGCGGCACTCCCGCCCTGCCGGCCCACCTGGACTACCTCAACCAGGGCAAGCACCAGGAGGCGGCGACCAGCACAACAGGTGCGAACAACAACAACAACGCCAAGAAGATAAACAACCGAATCCAGAACGTTAAGAAGAAACGAGGACGACCGGCCAAGGGAGCTGCCAAGAAGGGTGAGGCCGCTCCCACCGAAGCGCCATCCACTGAGAAACCAAAACCGGCTGAGAAGCCAGCCAGTGATAAAATCAATCTCATAGCTCCCGAGAAGCCATCACCCGCCAACCCCCTGCCAGCGTCGACTCCGCCGGTACTGCCGGGAGCTGTGCGCAAGCGGGCCGAGGTCGTGACGGATGGCAACCGGCGAGGAGCCAGGGGCAGAGGCGCAGCAGCGGCGGCGGCTGCGTCGCCTGACAAACCAGGACCGGGAGCCGTTTCGGGCGAGAACATACGACGCTCGAATCGTTCCATTACCAAGGAGAGCAAGCCCATTATAGAGGACGACGACACCCAGGAGGACGAGGAGGAGGCCGACGATGATGAGGACGAGTTCTTTTCCGCCCATGATGCCACCTCGCGCAATGGAGAGGAAGTCAAGTCGGAGAGCCCCGTGAAGGCCGAACCCACCAAGCGAGGACGCCCCTCGGCAGCGAAGCAACCACCGCCAGAGCCATCGCAGGCAGCTGCCAAAGAGAAGGCGCCCGTAAAGCGGGTGCGACAACGGGAGTCGCCCATTTTTATACCCTCGCCCGAGTCATCGGGACGGATGACCAGACAGAGGGCTTTTTTCGAGCCAGTGAAGGTTCCTCCCCACCAGGAGGAGCCTTCAGGCCAGGAGCGCTCAAAAGACGATTCCGAAAAGGAACAAGAACCCGACCCAGAGCCAGAGCCAGAGCCCGAGCCGCCAGCTAAGCAGGTGAAGGAGGCCAAGGAGAAGACAAACTCCAGTATCTATGCCAAAGACGCCAAGCAGCAGCTGGAGAACGGGGACAGCAAGCACGGGGCTGGTTCCAAGGGCAAGAAGAGCTTGAATGTCTTTGACTTTAGTTCCGACGACGAGCAGCCGCTGGCCAAGTCCATAAAGCTAAAGAAGGGCGCCAAGAAGGGTGGACCGGTGGCTGCGGCTGCTGCGCCGACTGCCAGGAATCGCAAGGGGGCGGCCAAGAAGCTAGAGAAGGAACGGGAGAAGGAGCTGGAGAAGGAGAAGGAGAGAGAAAAGGAGAAGGAACGAGCCAAGGAGAAAGAAAAGGAACCTACTCCGGAGGAACCCCCCAGTGGCGGGAAACGCGGAAAAGCTGGGAAAAAGAAAGCGGAAGATGCTCCGGCGGATGAGCAGGACCTGGCACCTCCTTCCTCAAAGAAGCCCGCCAACAACGCCCGGGGCGGAAGGAAGTCCGCCAAGAGCAAAGCCTCGGAGGACGACTCCGAGCCCCAGAGATCCCAGCGTCCGTCGCGGAAAACCAAGGAGGCTGCGGCCATCTACATGGGCATCATCGGGCACAAGCTGCAGCTGGCCGACGACGAGGAGGACGACCTCTCGCTGAGCAGCTTCCCGGACATCCCGAACGTCAAGGAGATGGAGAAGATGGAGAACGAGATCAAGCGAAATGCGGCGGGAAAGTTAAACGTGCCGGAGTCCACGACGGTGTCTCCGGCAGGAAAGCCTTCTCGTAAGCCGTCGCCCGCAGTTGTGGCTGCTGATCCCGCACCAGCTCGCCAGGAGTCCCCCTCCCCCACCGAAGCCGAGGAGGAGAAGCCACCGCCCCCGGCCCGCCGTGGACGCCCCCCGAAGGGCAAGACGTCGGCAGGAGCCGCTCCGCCGCCAGCCAAGCCACAGATCGAAGGGATGCTGGTGAAGAAGGGCTCGCTGGCCAAAATATCCGAGCAGGCCAAGTCGAAGGCCAAGTCCGAACATTCAAAGGTCGACTCCGACGAGGAGGAGGACTTTCTTATCAACGAGGAGCTGAACGAGACGAAGCGCAAGCTGGAGAAGAGCTTCAGTGACTCGGACGATGAGCCGCTCGCCATCAAGGTGCCACCGGTGGCAGTCAAGGAGAAGGACGTTGCACCAGCGAAGCTGCCCACCACCCCGAGTCCGCCGAAGGCAACGCCATCGCCTTCGCCCGCTCCCGTCTCCACGGCCGCCTCGTCAGTGGCCCCTTTGGGAGGTCTGGGATTCTGTGCAGCCCCCAGCACCAGTCAGCTGACAATGCTGCCCCTGACCTCCAAGCTGGGCACTCTGCCACTGCCCAGCAGCAGCACAGTCTCCAACTGCATACCGCCCCTGAGCTACTCTCCTCTGAAGGCCATGGAGAAGAAGCCTCCGGTGCCCACTTCTAAGATCCTGAATGTGCCCGCCACCTACGCACTGCCTGGCAGCACGGGATCGGGTTCGGTGACCCCGGGGACTGTGGGATTTCAGAAAACCTCCTCCTATCTGCCGCAAGCATCGCCGCACTACCACTCGGGCTACGTCCGGCCGCCACCCACGCCCACGCACCAGTTCGGAGGAGGAGCCCCGCCTGGGAGTAAGACTCCGGCGTCGCCGCTGAAGTACCAGACACCGCCGACCACCTATCCGCCGCCCATCGAGGCGTACCAGTGTCCCAAGATTAACCCCAACTTTCTGACACCCAAGTACGAGAGAAGCCCGCTGCCCAGGTCGTCCTCGTCGACCAACTTTCCCAGTCCCTCGCCGGTGAAGTTTCTGTCGACCACCTCGGGCGCAGCCAGTGCCACACCGGCGTCCTTGACGAAGAGTCCACTGGCACCACCGATCCCCACGCCACCCGTCAGCCAGGTGGTGATCCAGACATCCAGCCTGAACCTGAGCACCAGTGTGGCGGCCACAGTGAACGCAGCACCCTTGCCGGTGGCCTCCACCTCGGCAGCGGCGGCCGCTCAACAGGCAGCCACTCCACCGCCGGCGCATGTCAACAACACTGCGGGAGGAGCCGGCACCACCAGTGGGGCACCAGCTGGGGCCAATGTGGACACATTGAAGGACGAGATCGGAAGCATTTTGGCCCAGGCCACGCTCATGCCCAGCAAGGAGGAGTCGGGCAAGATCTTTGGGATTGCCAGCGTGAGCCTGGCCCAGAGCTCTGGTCCGGACAACACCAAGTGTACGCTGGGCAAGTGCGGCTCGATCCACAAGCCTGTCCTGGGACCGGTTGTGCCCACGGAGGGCTACTTCGGGGACCAGCTGTCGAGCAAGGAGCGCCGCAAGGCGAAGGTGAACATGACCCACGAGCAGATCCAGAAGTGGCTGATCGAGTGCTCATCCAATCCGGACGAGATCCAAGACGATTTGGACGATGATTTCGATGACAGCTTGAGGCCACAACAGTCCACGACGCCACCGCCTACCCGGGATGACAAAGAGCTGAGCACCAGCTTCAGTTCCTCCTCGAAGAACACCCGGGGCGATCTCGGCAAGAGCGAGAGTGCCTGGTCAGCCAAAGGTCCCTCTCTGAAGGCCACTCCGGTACTGGTCGCTGCGCCCAGCCGGAAGCAAGAGCTAGAGCAGGGCGATGGCAAGGACTCTGATGTCCTGGAATATGAGAAGTCATCCTCCACGCCCGTTAATCTCACCCAGAAGATTTCCACCAACGAGGCAGGCACCAGCGAGAAGAAGGCCAACGAACGGAAGACCAAGGACACTGGCAAGGCGACGGGAAGCAAAGCTACTCCGCCGCAGTCGCGCAGTGCAGCTGCTACGCCCCCTACTCCCGTCTCCACGCCCACTCCCGTCAAGAGCAGTCCCACTCCGCCGCCGATAGCCAAGCAGAAGGGCGAGAAGGGCAGGAAGAACGCAGCAGCCTCCGCCGCAATGGGAACTCCTCCGCCAGCTGCCACACCCCCGCCACCGCTGACGAACACCACCAAGCGTACGCCGGTGTACAACCAAAAGGGTGGCAAGGCTCAGCAGCAACAGTCCCAGTCGGAAACGAAGACTCCCAACAGTGTAGGCACTGGCCCCAAGAAGGAGTCCGTGTACGCCTTCGGCAAGGAGGAAGATACCACCGCCGCGAAGCCAACCAGTCGCCGAAAGGCGAATGCCAGTCCCAGTCCTGCTCCGCCTGCGGTTCCCAACGCCCTGAGCGAGCGATCACCGACCAAGAAGAGGGCAGCAGCGGCTGCGGCTGCCACGGCGGTCCAGCTCACCCTAAGTCCCACCGAGAACTGCAAGATCGAGGGCAAGCCGAAGGCCGGCACAGGAAGAGGAGCCAAGAAGCAGCAGCAGTCTGCTCCGCCGCCCAATCCACCGCCGGTAGAGGCCAGCGGCGATTCTGACGGCGAGGGAGCCACCTTCTACATACCACTGCAGGGAGCCGGTGTCGGGGGCAGTGGCGACGGCGGCATCCAGGGGGTGGCTGTGAAGCTGGGAAGGGAAGGCCCTGACGGCCCCAACCAGAAGGTGGTGATGCAGGCCACGCTGGTGACCAAGGCTCAGATGGACACCAACTCTAAACCCCTGCCGGAGTCGTTGAACACCAACGAGCTCGTGAAGACGCTGCTCCATGCGGCCAGCAACGATGCGGCCTCCACGACCACCAGTTTGAAGAGCCTGCCCAAGGCCAGCACCTCCGCGGCGGCGGGAGCGGGAATGGGCCAAGGCCAGGGCTCCAGCCTGGTTCGGGTGAACTCCAACTCGTCGCTGTTCTCCGGCTCGGCCAAATCTCGGACAGCGGCGCAGACCAGCTCCACGGCAGCGGCGGTCGCCAAGAAGTACAAGGACGACACGCCCATCAAGATGGCAAACAACACGGCCTTTCCGCGCCACGACGATCCCACCCAGATGGTGGAGGCGCCCATCTTCCGGCCAACGGAGAAGGAGTTCGCCGATCCCATCGAGTTCATCGAGAGAATCACCCCGATTGCCGCCCGGTTCGGTATCTGCAAGATCATCCCTCCGGCCAGCTTCAAGCCGGAGTGTCGAATCTCTGATGAGATGAGGTTCACGGCCTACAACCAGTACGTGCATAAGATGCTCCACCGCTGGGGACCGAGTGCCAAGGAGCTGAGTGCGATCAAGAAGTACCTGGCCACCCAGAGCATCGTCATGAACCACCCGCCCTGGATCGGAGGCATGGAGGTGGATCTACCGCGACTGTACCACACGGTCCAGGAGCTGGGAGGCCTGAAGGAGGTCATCGAGAAGAAGAAGTGGTCGCGCGTGGCGGAGGAGATGTGCATTCCCAAGCTGGCCCAGGACAGGGTCACCAAGCTGGACGATATCTACTGCAAATACCTGCTGCCGTACGACACGCTCTCGCCAGCGGAGCGCCAGAAGCTCTTCGACGAGGTGGAGGCGGACTGGGCCAAGCGGGAGGCGCGGGCACGACGAAATGCCGATCGGTTCGTCAACACGGAAAGTGTTTCCAATGAGGAAGACGACGTGAGCAGCGACGAGGACGAGGAGTCCGAGGAGGAGATTGACGGCGTGTCCATGGAGTGCATTGTGAAGGGCAGGAGCATGCCGCTCAGCCAGTTCTACAGGATTGCCAGGAACACCATGGCCCTTTGGTTCAAGAGCACCGATCCCACAGTCAACGAGGTGGAGGCCGAGTTCTGGCGCCATGTCGCCGTAAGGGACAGCCACGTGTGCGTCCATTCCGGTTCGATCGACAGTTCCGGTTGGGGCTATGGATTCCCCAGCCCGGGTCCCAAAGGTAAGGGATCCAACTACGCCAGGCATCCCTGGAACCTGAAGGTCCTGACCAACAATGCCGGCTCTGTGCTGCGTTCCCTGGGCCCCGTGATGGGCGTCACAGTGCCCACTCTCCACGTGGGCATGCTGTTCTCTGCCTGCTGCTGGTACCGCGATCCACATGGCCTCTCCTGGATCGAGTATCTGCACACGGGCGCCTCGAAGCTTTGGTACGGCATTCCGGATGACCAAAGCGCCAACTTCAGGTCGGCACTAACCTCGCTGATACCGACTCATTGCCAGAACAAGACCATCTGGCTGCCGTGCGATACGGTGATGGTGCCGCCGCACATGCTCACAGATCGCGGGGTATCACTGTGCCGGATCGAGCAGAAGCCAGGAGAGTTTATTGTGGTTTTCCCCCGGGCGTACACCTCTAGCTTGGCCACCGGATATGTGGTGTCCGAAAGCGTTTACTTCGCTACCATGTCGTGGTTAGATCTAGCCAAGGATGATTTTAGGGTAAGTAGTAAGGATTTCATGAAGACTCAAATAATGATACATATTGTTTCCTTTTTAGGACATACATGAGAGCTGTGAGCCTGCCATGTTCTCCCTAGAGCAGTTGCTCTTCGCCTTGGGATATGACCAGCGGGTCAACTCGGATGCTCTTCACCAAATGCTGCCCATGCTTAATGAGGTTTGCGAAAAGGAATCCGCCGCCCGAGAACAGCTTAGGGTAAGCACTGGGATTACCGTGTACGATGGGCAGGATTAATAATTCTCTTGGTATTCTAGGCTGCTGGGGTAACTTCAACGGAAAAGGTGCAGGCCGAGAAGGGCCAGAAGGCCAAGAAGCAACAGCAGCCGCCGTACAAATCCATCGAGAGCGAGTGCGACCTGTGCCGCGCCAACCTATACATATCGATGGTGCGCACCGAGGAGGGCAACGTCTACTGCCTGCAGCACGCTCTGAAGAACCTCAACAACGGCAACATTCAGGCCAAGCAGTGCAAGCTGATCTACGCCTACAACGTGGATGATATCCAGCAGCTTATCCGACAGCTTCAGGAGAAGATTCATCACAAGGCAGCGGTTAAGAAAAAGTAGCATCGTCGGCGTCGTTACTAAAAGGCGGCGCAGGATATAGATATGTATGATTAGGGATTCAGGATAAGGCTAGGGACAAAACACTAATGTATATATTATATACATATATATATATATATGATAGTGTATTCGTATGTGATTCGCCATCGCAATTGGGTGAAATTTGATAATGATCTATGGACGCATTAGTGGAGCGATAAAAGCGCATATTTATAATGTATATTAATATATTACTAACTGTACTATAAGGACATAGGATTGGATAGATATTGGATAGATTTCAATGTGGCAATGCTTTCAATTTTAACTAGTTTATACTTAATGTCGATATAAACGTTTGCAATCAATTTTGTTTTCCATTTTCGTTTATTCTTTTTTGTTATGCAATGCTTCCCCCCGCTCCCAAAAACAAAAAACTAAAAAAAAGCAAAAACAAAAAAAAAAAAAAGTGTTAACCCTTTAACCTTTGCGTTGTTGTATATAGAGGAGAGACTAGTACTAGTATATGTACGTACTATATAGTTTTTTGGATTAAGTCGGAAGCCCTCAAAGAAACCCAGCTAACATGTTGCAATTTCTACTACCTTTTTTTAGGCTAAGATATCGAGTAAATACCATAGAGAATCAGAAATCCAATCATTATGGATCATTAGTCTAGCACCAGCAATAGAAACGAACTAACGAACGCAAGAGTTACTAAACAGGCAGTCGCACAATACAACCAAATACCATTTAAACAAACGCTGGTTGCCCGTAAATGAGCAAAATTTCACTAGATGTTCAATGTATTTATATATATACATATATATATTAGTAATACATTATTTAAGTAACAAGTGCAACAATAAATCTTAACGCGATATATCGAAGCTGACCTGTCCAGTTAATGCTTACACTTTATAACTTAAACCTAAGGATGGGTGAATTTCAGAAATGGTTTCGAGAAGTCATACATATTATGCTACACATGCGTATTTTACAAAAAAAAAATTAAATTCCTTGGCTAGACCTTGGGTTTCTTCATCGCGGGGGCCAAGCAGTCGGCACTGGCCACCGCTTGTCGCTGCACAGGCCCGCTGGGCAGGTTGGCCACCACGTCCTCCAGCTGCCTCTTCAGCTCCGACACCTGGGTGGTGAGCTCTGTTATGCTGCCCAGCGCCTCCTGCAATCGTCGATCTTGCGCCTTTCGTAACGCCTCCAAGGTCCGAACCCTCATCGTCAGGGTTCTCTGTGCTTGAAGTTGTCTGTGCAGGTGTTTGGTGAGACGTTCCCTGTTGGGTACATTCTGGTGTGGCTGGTTGTTGGCGGAGATCGGGGCTGCCAATTGGACGATGGCCTGCTGGACAATGGCATGATCCCCGGGTCGGTTCACACCGTTTCGCTTGACGCCGCTGAAACTGATGTCACCCAGGGTGCCACAGACCACCAGCCTCGTACCTGTCGCTGAGGACTCTGCCAGCTGTTTCCGGTGCTCCAGCTTAAAGTTGACGGCAATTTTCTCATCAAAGTGCTCGATGGCCATGGAGGAGATGTCGCGCAGTTCCTGCAACACTTCGTGTGGCCGAAGCTGTTTTGTGGAGGTGCTGAGCAGGCGGAGAATACTGCTAATCTCGTCTAGAACACGTCCCGGAATAAAGCAGCAGATGTTAAGGTCAATAAACTTGGAGTACGTCATCGTGAGCATCGAGATGCGTGTCTCTATAGAGGTCAGTATGTCGGAGTGGCGGGCCAGGACGTGGTTTCTGCGGAAGACAAAGAAAATATATTTCTTATTATGATCTGGAAAGATCTTCATGTTTTATCATTTAGCTCCCAAATTACTGTTATGATGGAATATATTTTAATAGGAAATCTATATCCTATATCACAAATATAACTGAATCACATTTATGTCCGACATAAACTATAAATAACTTTACTAATCAATTCTAATTTGACCATCGTGATTTCGAGATATGATAAGGAAAAATCTGGATGTCTCCCGAACCGAGGTCGACTCACCTGCGCTCGGATTCCCGGCGTGGCAGCATGGATTTGATCCGTTTAAAATTTTTAGCATGCTCCAGGATTATCTTGTTGAATCCTGTGTTCAATACCTGTTGCCCAACATAATTAAATCTGGTACAAACCTAAATTTAAAATTATGATCGTATTATTGAGTCACGGACGATAGATTTTATGGTTTTCTTTTGTGTAACTCACTTCTCGTTTTTTGGCCACCTCGTCATAGGGCAGCCACTCGAAAATGTCCAGCAGAACTGTCTGTGGCAGGTCCAATATGTTCATTTTATCCTTATATTAATTATATTTTTCGAGAGCTATATATTTTGAGATTCTGCTATTGTTTTTAGTGAGGCAGTGAAGTGTTAAACTCAAAATACGGCAGTTAAAGATAGAAAAAACTCTGACAAAAAATCTGGCCACGTTAAAAAATCAAGCGCCATCTATGGAGTATTCTGTTCATTAATAAATTTATATTTGGCTAACGAATTTTTCAGTTTTAAAAATAAACTAATCACTTTCATTTAAAATACTCCAACTTTCTTAAAAAATGTTTCATTAAAAAAGTATTTAAAATGATAAGACTTACTCCGACTTTGAACAAATTGAACAGTTTGCCATAGACAAACTATTTTAACGTTATCAATATGATTAATAAATTATATTTAGTTGGTCGGATTTCTTGGGAAATTTTGAAAATTTGCGTTGTATTCTAATATTAAAACCCTTAATCTATTAATTGATATGTTTTTTGGTAGTACCCCTTAAAAAGTAAAGAGTGCATGGAAGCACAGAGAGGATTAACCTTTCAAGCCTTTCTAATAATGCTCGGATTTTTGAGTGGAATACCCTAAAAGATTTGTATTACAATTCTCCACAAATCTGCATCAAAATCTGTATACAAAATATTTTTTAGATTTTTATCCAAATTTTTCTGGGGGTCTCCTTCAAAATTTCGGCAATGCATGGAAATGACATTATGACCCACTGCGAAAGCGATATCTTTGCCAATATTCATCCGATTCTTGAGCGAAGTACCTTAAACGATTTGTATTACGATTCTTCACACATCTGCATCAAAATCTGTATACGAAATATTTTTTAGATTTTTTGCGAAATTTTCTAGGGGGTCCCCTTCAAAATTTCGGCAATGCATGGAAATGACATTATGACCCACTGCGAAAGCGATATCTTTGCCAATATTCATCCGATTCTTGAGCGAAGTACCTTAAACGATTTGTATTACGATTCTCCACACATCTGCATCAAAATCTGTATACGAAATATTTTTTAGATTTTTTGCAAAATTTTCTAGGGAGTTCCCTTCAAAATTTCGGCAATGCATGGAAATGACATTATGACCCACTGCGAAAGCCATATCTTTGCCAATATTCATCGGATTCTTGAGCAAATTGCCTTAAACGATTTGTATTACGATTCTCCACACATCTGCATCAAAATCTGTATACGAAATATTTTTTAGATTTTTTGCGAAATTTTCTAGGGGGTGCCCTTCAAAATTTCGGCAATGCATGGAAATGACATTATGACCCACTGCGAAAGCGATATCTTTGCCAATATTCATCCGATTCTTGAGCGAAGTACCTTAAACGATTTGTATTACGATTCTCCACACATCTGCATCAAAATCTGCATACGAAATATTTTTTAGATTTTTTGCGAAATTTTCTAGGGGGTCCCCTTCAAAATTTCGGCAATGCATGGAAATGACATTATGACCCACTGCGAAAGCCATATCTTTGCCAATATTCATCCGATTCTTGAGCGAACTACCTTAAACGATTTGTATTACGATTCTCAACACATCTGCATCAAAATCTGTATACGAAATATTTTTTAGATTTTTTGCAAAATTTTCTAGGGAGTTCCCTTCAAAATTTCGGCAATGCATGGAAATGACATTTTGACCCCCTGCGAAAGCGATATCTTTGCCAATATTCATCGGATTCTTGAGCAAATTGCCTTAAACGATTTGTATTACGATTCTCCACACATCTGCATCAAAATCTGTATACGAAATATTTTTTAGATTTTTTGCGAAATTTTCTAGGGGGTGCCCTTCAAAATTTCGGCAATGCATGGAAATGACATTATGACCCACTGCGAAAGCCATATCTTTGCCAATATTCATCCGATTCTTGAGCGAAGTACCTTAAACGATTTGTATTATGATTCTCCACACATCTGCATTAAAAGCTGTATACGAAATATTTTTTAGATTTTTTGCAAAATTTTCTAGGGAGTCCCCTTCAAAATTTCGGCAATGCATGGAAATGACATTATGACCCCCTGCGAAAGCGATATCTTTGCCAATATTCATCGGATTCTTGAGCAAACTACCTTAAACGATTTGTATTACGATTCTTCACACATCTGCATCAAAATCTGTATACGAAATATTTTTTAGATTTTTTGAAAAATTTTTTAGGGAGTCCCCTTCAAAATTTCGGCAATGCATGGAAATGACATTATGACCCCCTGCGAAAGCGATATCTTTGCCAATATTCATCGGATTCTTGAGCAAACTACCGATTCTTGAGCGAAGTACCTTAAACGATTTGTATTACGATTCTCCACACATCTGCATCAAAATCTGCATACGAAATATTTTTTAGATTTTTTGCAAAATTTTCTAGGGAGTTCCCTTCAAAATTTCGGCAATGCATGGAAATGACATTATGACCCACTGCGAAAGCGATATCTTTGCCAATATTCATCCGATTCTTGAGCGAAGTACCTTAAACGATTTGTATTACGATTCTCCACACATCTGCATTAAAAGCTGTATACGAAATATTTTTTAGATTTTTTGCGAAATTTTCTAGGGGGTCCCCTTCAAAATTTCGGCAATGCATGGAAATGACATTATGACCCACTGCGAAAGCGATATCTTTGCCAATATTCATCCGATTCTTGAGCGAAGTACCTTAAACGATTTGTATTACGATTCTCCACACATCTGCATCAAAATCTGCATACGAAATATTTTTTAGATTTTTTGCAAAATTTTCTAGGGAGTTCCCTTCAAAATTTCGGCAATGCATGGAAATGACATTATGACCCACTGCGAAAGCGATATCTTTGCCAATATTCATCCGATTCTTGAGCGAAGTACCTTAAACGATTTGTATTACGATTCTCCACACATCTGCATCAAAATCTGCATACGAAATATTTTTTAGATTTTTTGCGAAATTTTCTAGGGGGTCCCCTTCAAAATTTCGGCAATGCATGGAAATGACATTATGACCCACTGCGAAAGCGATATCTTTGCCAATATTCATCCGATTCTTGAGCGAAGTACCTTAAACGATTTGTATTACGATTCTCCACACATCTGCATCAAAATCTGTATACGAAATATTTTTTAGATTTTTTGCGAAATTTTCTAGGGGGTCCCCTTCAAAATTTCGGCAATGCATGGAAATGACATTATGACCCACTGCAAAAGCCATATCTTTGCCAATATTCATCCGATTCTTGAGCGAAGTACCTTAAACGATTTGTATTACGATTCTCCACACATCTGCATCAAAATCTGTATACGAAATATTTTTTAGATTTTTTGCAAAATTTTCTAGGGAGTTCCCTTCAAAATTTCGGCAATGCATGGAAATGACATTTTGACCCCCTGCGAAAGCGATATCTTTGCCAATATTCATCGGATTCTTGAGCAAATTGCCTTAAACGATTTGTATTACGATTCTCCACACATCTGCATCAAAATCTGTATACGAAATATTTTTTAGATTTTTTGCGAAATTTTCTAGGGGGTGCCCTTCAAAATTTCGGCAATGCATGGAAATGACATTATGACCCACTGCGAAAGCCATATCTTTGCCAATATTCATCCGATTCTTGAGCGAACTACCTTAAACGATTTGTATTACGATTCTCCACACATCTGCATCAAAATCTGTATACGAAATATTTTTTAGATTTTTTGCAAAATTTTCTAGGGAGTTCCCTTCAAAATTTCGGCAATGCATGGAAATGACATTTTGACCCCCTGCGAAAGCGATATCTTTGCCAATATTCATCGGATTCTTGAGCAAATTGCCTTAAACGATTTGTATTACGATTCTCCACACATCTGCATCAAAATCTGTATACGAAATATTTTTTAGATTTTTTGCAAAATTTTCTAGGGGGTGCCCTTCAAAATTTCGGCAATGCATGGAAATGACATTATGACCCACTGCGAAAGCCATATCTTTGCCAATATTCATCCGATTCTTGAGCGAACTACCTTAAACGATTTGTATTACGATTCTCCACACATCTGCATCAAAATCTGCATACGAAATATTTTTTAGATTTTTTGCAAAATTTTCTAGGGAGTCCCCTTCAAAATTTCGGCAATGCATGGAAATGACATTATGACCTCCTGCGAAAGCGATATCTTTGCCAATATTCATCGGATTCTTGAGCAAACTACCTTAAACGATTTGTATTACGATTCTTCACACATCTGCATCAAAATCTGTATACGAAATATTTTTTAGATTTTTTGAAAAATTTTTTAGGGAGTCGCCTTCAAAATTTCGGCAATGCATGGAAATGACATTATGACCCCCTGCGAAAGCGATATCTTTGCCAATATTCATCGGATTCTTGAGCAAACTACCTTAAACGCGAAGTACCTTGCTGACATCATTCTTCCCTTTGACCAAAGTATATAAGTCTTTCCGGGATCAGTCGACTACATCCTATAACTGCCATATAACTATTTGATTGGAAATGCCATAGCTTTGGTATTTTTCAAGTTACAAGGTTGGGACTTTCTATAGATACTATTTTTCATGTAGGTCCTTACATATCCTTTATTCTTCTATAATTTCTAAAAGAAAACATGATTTTTTTTTAAATTATAAAAATGAAAATGTAAACACTTATATTTCCATTGTCTGCCCTTAAGGGCGCCTAGAAGTCAAATAGTAATGAAGCGCAATGTACTACAATTTGTTTGCGTATGATAACATTCCAGCAGATATTCTTATTTGGTAACAATTTCATAAAAATTAAAAAAAAAAATTAATTAAAAAATAGCGCCCTCCTCCTCGATTCTCATAGGTTGCACTTAAGCAAGCCCGAAAAATCGGAAAAATAATTAATTGTTTTTTTTTTTTTTTTTTTTTTATTATTATTTTTTGTTTGTTTTTGTTGTTGTAGTTAGTTGTTTTATTAGGTTTGTGTTGTTGTAATTTTATGTGCCTGCATTTTTTGTGTGAAAATTTGTTTTATTTTTTTTTGTTAAATTTATTTTTAAATTTTTTTTTTCTAATTGCATCCGACTATATCTTATAGCTGCCATACAAGCAACTGATTAATCGTGAATGCCACAACTTTGGTGTTTTAAAGATAGAAACTTGTAATTTTATTTTAAAATTTTTCATAAAACAAATATAAAATAAACTATTTTTATAACTCATTTGGGCAGCTACATATATCCGATATTTGCACTATATATCCCTTCCGATATTTTCTTACAATATCAACTTCCACGTAACTGCAAGGGAATATCAACATGGATTCTTGAGTGGAGTGGAATATTCTTTTTATAGTTAATATTGAAAATGTCCGATAAAAAGTGATGGATATTTTTTTTATTTAATTATTAAATGAGTGCCAATGTTTATTAAATTAAATTTGTATTTACAGAATGGGAAACAACAATAAAAATGGGAACGAAAACCGACTTAGGCTTGAATCAAAAATTTGCTAGCATCATGATAATCATGACCCAAAGGCTCCAGCTCCGACTTCTTTTTGGGAAAGTAGGGATTATGCTCCGGATCGGCGTTCAAACTAAAAAATAGTTGTTTGTTTTATTAAAAAATTTTATTATTTTATAATAAATTGTAAATAAAATTGATACTTACTGGTAAAAGTTAGTAGCCTCCTCGCATTTGACATTGTACCACCAGTCGCAGGCAAACTCCTTCTGGTTGAAGATGGTGCCGTTGGTGCAGAGGAACGAGGCACCCTGGTGACCCTCGCGTCCATCGTGGCACACATGATAAGCCTGGCAGCCCGTCTCCACGTTGGCGTACATGCCCGGTGTGGCCGGGACATTGTGGCAACTGAATCCAGTATGTGGAACCTCGTGATAAACCGGATAGTCTACGCCCGGAACTCCGGGTATCTTGTTCAGGTCTTGCTTCTCCTCATGATGAGGGTGTTCCGGCTGAGGTGGATTGAAGAGATAGCCGAATTTCTGCAAACGAATGTAAACATATAAAATGTATCAGATGTGGCTATTGCATAAGCAGAGAGCTCGTGCCCCAATCCGGTTTGGGTTGCCACCGCTACCCCCGTGGCAGAGCTCATTATTTGTACACTTGAAAAATAGGTTTCAAATGGTATAAAGGGGTTTTTGGTCTTTGATTTTAAAGATTGTAGATCTATCTAATTCATTTTTGAAAAATATTTAAAATTTTTAGACAATTTTAAAGTAGATACTTATATCATCTATTAGAAAAAACCTTTTATCGAATATTTTTTACTCTGCAGATACCATTGTACCATGTATGCTTGGCTCAATTGCATGTTATGTTACAATTTTTGGGTCAAAAGTGAACGTGGCTTTAGAGCCAGCCCAGAGCGTTGTCAATCGGGGTGGCACACGCTCCTCTTAATTGATTCCTCAGCATAATTATACACTTATCCGCATTCAGAGATCCTCACCTGCACTTCAACGGCCACTGCTGCTCCGACCACGACCATTAGCCAAAAAGAGAAACAACCCAGCTTCGGCATTATTTTGTTGGTAGCAATTTTGTCCGCCTACGTTGGAATCTGAAGTTTATTATTTTTAGGGTTTCAAGTTGGAGCGACAACCGTCCGAGTTGGGTTTGAAAATCAAACTGAACTGCAATTTTCCACCAAAAAGCCTGGCCACTTGAGCCGCTTTGGTGTAAGTCTCTGGAGCTTTCAAGGGTAAAGCAAGCGATTTGAACGGATTTTGATGGTGGTACTGCTGCAACTTTCCGATCCACTGGAAGCTGTTTTAAGTCTAAGCTTTTTTCAACCAAATTGGCAAATTACTTACTGCTCTGCTTCAATTATTGCCAAAGTAAACGAAACGCCAGGAGCGCTCATAATTATGATATGTGACTTTTGTGGGAAAGTACGTACGAGCCATACTACAATGCAACATGGCCAACTTTATTTTGCAAGATACAAATTGTTTACGCTTAACTAGCTAAAAGCGATGAATTCCCATTCAGCGTCTTGGCCGGGCTTAGACTTTATAATACGTGGATGGGTTAACATGCGATGGGTGGATGTGGATGGTTACACAGTTGAAATTTATTTAATTTTAAAGGCTTTTAAACTCTGTTAGAAACGATAGAAAATAATACTTTTTTGTCAGTGTATGGGCTGGGCATGAATGGCTTTGGATATGGGAATGGGAATGGAAATGCACTAATCGGTGAGCGGGAGTATGGCAAATGTTTTCGAAATGACATGCTGTTGGTTGGATAATCTTGGTTATGAACTACCATCCGTAAATATTTGTTTTAGGCTCCATATGATATCATACTAAATTCTACTAAGTGTTGAATGCATTTCATAAAACTAATAAATCTTCTGGGTCGATTGCTGCAAGTCCAGTTTGTTCAGCAGATCATCAAACTCACTAAAGAGCTGCAATATGGAAAGGTGGGCCACATTATGTTACATCAGTGTTAAGGGCTTAAGAGACGACAAGTTCCAACTCACGTGGGTTGTGCCATAGCTGTCCACATAGGTCTTGCTGCCGCGAGAGGTTTTCTTGAAAGCCGGGAGCACCGGACTATGACCATGCAAGAGATTCACATTCTGATAAGACTGCGCCTTCGCTGAGCCGGCCAATGGGCTTGAGTGACTCTTGCCCACCGTGGGCGCCAGATCCAGCAAATTGGGCACTAAAATACAGGAGCTACGTGAGCATCTGGGCATCTGTAACCCGATTCCACCCAACTCACTCTTTCTCGGCTGCAACTTGACCTGGTTGAGCAGGGGATTGTGCAACTGGAGCTGCCGGTAGACGGGCAGGGCGTGCTTTGGCGGCACCAGCACGTGCTGGCGTCCCACTGCCTGGGGGTACAGGTAGGTCGTCTCCACGGTTGGCACCTGGCGGTAGTGATAGCGCCCCTCCCGTGGCGTATACCTTCCATCGGAGCTCAGGGCGATGCTGAAAACGGTTCGCATCGGTTTGCTGTAGTACTGATAGACCTTGTTAGGAGAAAGGTTTAAATAAATTATATAATATTGTTTTATTTATTTGAAATTTATAGATTTAATATAAAATGCTAAAAGCACTACACCACACTACTTATACTAATCATTTAAGAAAATATAAAAGTTCAAAAAGAAAAGGGGGAACTTTATTTATCTTTATATATAGATTATTATCATATCTATTCATTAATTTAATTTAATATTAATTTATTAGTAAATTATTATATTGTTGCTTGTAGTCCGGCTTTAAATGATTTATTAAAAGTTCAAAATAGATGACAATGAATTTGAAAAAAATTGAAACATTTCCGTATACACAGTTTTAGGATAACCCAAATAACTTATAATTAAAAACCAAACAAACAAGATAATACATAAGTAATTAAAAAATAATAAACATTAATCATGGTGAGTTTATAAAATCGATTATCAAAGTTTCGATAAGTTTATTAGAAAATTATTGATTAATGGTTAGTGGCTAATAAGACTCATCGTTCGAAAATAGACAAGAAATGTACAACATAGTCCTTGAAAAAAACACAATATTTACCTGAGGATTCCTTTGCTCTGGAACTATACCATCTGGCACTGCAATGCCCTCCTTTTGGAGTCGATTCAGAAACAGACGATCCGTCTCAAAGGCAGTATCCGGAATTTTGCCGCCCGCATGTGGCAAGACTTGTTCCCGATATATTTGACGTTTCTTAAAATTGCAATTTTCGAAAAAAATGATTTATGTTTTTTGTTCAACAGGTGAGGGTTACCCGAGGTACACACCTTATGGTTGCGTTCTGCATATTCCGATTCTTGGGCAATAATGGCTGGACTCAGGCAAAGATATAGCAAGGCCAGTAGAATAATTACACACGAAGATGGCATTTTTTAATTGTTTCTAAGAACACGACACTTTAATGGTTGATCTGGAATTTCAACTATTTCCGATCGGCGATGTCGGATATTAAAACTGAAAGGTCAAGTTGATCGAGAGGCAGACACAAACACTCGCGGGTCTAGACTTGTGCAAATAAATCTCAAGAGCTCGATACACAAATCCAGATGCGAGACATTCTTCGGCATTCGACAGGCAATTGCACAAGATACCACCAGAAATGAATGACGAGCAGAATAAACACGATCACGTGTCGACGGTTGCCAAAAGCTACCAAGCTACCAAGCTACCTGGCTATCTGGCTACCAGGCTGGTAAGGTAAGTTGTAGGAGTTGTATGATCCAATACCGATATGATCGTTCAGCGATCAGCGATCTATGTTGTTGACGCGTCGACGGTGCCAAACATAATGAATGCAAATGCACAAAACCGATCTCCACTAGCGGGTGCCCTCTGCCGACGTCAACTGCCGCGATCATCATCATTATCTTCATGAAAAGCAAAGGCAGTAGACGGAGCAGCCATGCCAGAAGCAGCAGATGCTATACTTTTTCGCCCGCAAAATTGCACTGTAAAAAAACTAAAGGTATTCCTTTCAAATTTAAATCCTTTAGGATTTTACTTTAAAAAATAACCGTAAGCCCTATATTTCTGAAACACTTTATTTAAGGGGCAGTATTTTTAGGATAAAGATTATTTTTTGGGCTTTAAAAGTTCAGTAAAAGTCCTTTTAATTTCTCTTATTTTTACATGATTTTTCCAAAGGATTATTGATAGATTTCTAAAAGATGTTATATATAGTTACATAAAATCTATAAAAATATAAGGAGAAACCTCCTTAAACCTCCTAAGACTACTTCAAATTCTTATTAAACCCCTAAACAATCTCTCATTGTTGCTTTTACTCTAAAAATACCCTCAACTCTTAATAATTCCAACTTGGCACAGTATTTATTTTTATTTGCGGTTTTTTACTGGAAGTGGCAACAAAATCATTTCCCCTGAATTACCACAATTAATCTTTTCAACGAACTTGTAACCAAGATCACCCCCGATCTCCCGATCAAAGCCAAAAAAACGTGGCGGGATGATGGGTCGGCTACTTGACTTGATAGTCGAAGGGAATCCCTGCGATGGGATCTGGTCAAAACATCTTTGTTATACACATAATTACACTAGTTTCTTGGACAAGCCGAGCTGTTGCGACTCAACCTTTTTCTCGTCTCGAAAGTGAATGGTTAAATTGGATTGTTTTGGCTCGATATGAGGGTGAACCTTTTGTTTTTTTGCCCATTTTCAGTTTTGTTGTTGATTGCGCCCTGAAGTCAACACTTTTCTTAAACGTTTCATATTTATTGATTGTTTTTGTTATTATTTTAAATATTTGTGTAATTTTTTTCTCCTCACCGGCCACTTTATAGTTTGAATTGCTTATTTGTCTCAAGAGGTCTTTGATGTTTTCTTTTCAAATCAGAAGAGATGGTTTTTGTAAATAATGCCAAGGGGCCATGAAGTGACTGTGAAAGTTAAGAGGTATTAGAGGATATTTTACTTATATTTAATTTAAGTAAATATTTTAATAGAAACTATCACTAGATTTTTAAATATTTTTGTTGAAAAATTCCCACGCTTTGGAATCCAATTAATTAAATATTCCTCCCGCATGGCCCATAGAAATTTGACAATTCATATGAGACAAGCATGTCCAAAGTTGGGGGAAAGTGTTACCAATTTTTGATGATAGAGTACGGCGATAAGAACGCCCACAACCTCAGCTACTTGGCAAGAGATCACTTGAAATGCCAAACACAAAAAACGAGCCTATAGGCCATTGTAGTAGCTCTAATTGTGATTGCACAATCATCAACAAAAAAAAAAAGGTTTTACTTTTTACAAATTACAATAGACCGAAAAACCACAACTGCTTCTGCAGTTTGGCCTACTGCTCTGCGATTGTAAAAATTTAGACCTTGGCTCGATCAAGATGCAGCAACCGAGCAGCCAGCCAGTCGACCAAATTTTGAGGAGCCCAGAGTAGAGATTAATTATTTTAAATCATCGCTAACCTTGGACTCCGAGGTGGTCAGAAATGTACCAAAAAAATAACTAAAATTGTCGAGACGTTTTGGGCCAGCTTTTCAATTGTGTGGTCTTTGGGCTAATTGGCCCAAAGTTGGTCTCTTCCTGGAGGGGCTCGCTCCGACTCCGACCACTCGGATGTCAAGGATAACATGACTCTTGGGGCTCTGTCATTCCCAGGCCTTTCCAATTTGCATCTTGTCACAAAAGATGACAAGCCAATACCACCGATCGTGGCCGGTTTGTGGTCCAGATCGGAGGTTACCTAATTGGCCAATAGCCGAGTTCAATTGCCGGTAATGGTGGAATACTTTTGAACTTGCCTTGCCTTCAAGCTTCGAATGTGTGTGCTTCGTGGAGGCGAACAAATGATTTTTTGTGGAAATATCATCTAACAATAAAATTTGATGTGCGGCTGTTCATTGAGCACTTGTTACCAATTAACAAATGATTTTGTGTACCATTAGCCATCGAAATGGCTCAAACATAATGGTTATTCCGGATCAGACATAGTGATCAGAGCAAGTGCCACGCGTTGAACCCGCAGGCCAACAATTTTCGGCAACAAAAGTTCAAGGTTTACGATCCCCAAAGTTGTAAAAACTACTGTTTAATATTTTAGTTTTATAATTTTTGTACATATTTTATTATTTTCATTTCATTTACATTTTAAACATTTATCCAAAAAAAGGTAAACATTCATATCAATCTTGTTGTTCTTCTGAATATGTAATATGGACAATTTTTGCCATTCTAAATACTTTTTTTTGGGGGCAGATATACTTAGAACTCGTTGCTTTCATATTCATATACATATTTACAATTGACGGATATAGTCTGTGGTTAACTTTTCATTGCATTTCACAAATAAATCTGCTTCGTTGTCTACACGGGGATTTAAATGCAAAACAAAATGTTTTCACTTGTTTTTGTTTTATTTAATCTTTATAGTTTAGCTAAGTGTTTTGGGTTTTTTTTTGTTTTCATTCTTTAAAGCTAAAAAAATAAAATACAAAAATATGTATGCAACAAAATATATGTATATATGTTTACACATAATGAATATCGAGGCAATTCAATGTAACTTATCTGTTTTGATAGATTTTCTTAAAAAAATGGTATTTTGAGTAATTTTCTCTCATCATAATATTATTTGGAAAGGTTGCAAAAGCTTCTTTACAATAGTTTTCTTACACTTACTAACTAAACATGCTAAAAAGTTAAATCTTGTTGGCAAAAAAACAACGTATTTTGCTAAAGAAACAAATTAAAAAGATTTATGATGGAAATCATTATGAGCGATGATTGCTGTGTGTGTTTTTTTTTTAGTTTTGGTTTCTTGCTATAGTAATACTCTTTTTGTAGAACTTTTCATTTTCAGAACCGGGTGCTAACAAAGTCTTTTTTTGTTTTAAATTTGTACCAAAGCGTACAACAATCAATAGGAAACTAATTTCAATATTCTTTCTATTCATTTAGGCGAACGAGTGAAGTGCACTTAGAACAGTTGCAGTTCCAATTCTTCGGGACGTACCTATAAAAAATATAGCCTATCCACTAACTTTAATATAATGGGAAGTGTATTACTAAAACGTGTTAGATAAAACTCTGAATAGTTGGTGCTGTGGGCAAGTTGGTGCTTAATAGTAGGCACTCGTTCAATGGTTAGTAAATCCCTCTTCGGTTCTCAAACAGACACTAAGCAACAGACACTAAGAAATGTACAAAATGTGTGGGCGCGGTTTTACATCTAACAATAGTTAGATGAGCTCTAGGAAGCGGAGCCTCAATCTCCTTCTCAAAAATCGTCTCGAACTGAAGTAGTATTTCCTATTCTTGTATATAGTATGTATATAGTATGTGTATATAATAAATATACGACATAACACGGGCATAGCACGATCTCTCCATCCATTCAAAACCTTCAGGTTTTTTTTTTGCTTCATGTGTGAGCGAGATTATTCTTCCCCCCAAACATTTTGTGGGATCTCTTATTTGGGTGGCGCATCTGTGTACGTCTTGATAATGTCCTTGATGGCGGCCTGGGAGCCGAAGAACAGGCATCCAACTCCGCAGATGGTAATGAGGATATTCTTCCACAGAATCCAATTGTATTTGCCGAAGCCATCCTCCCAGTGAACTATCAGTTCGATCATGACCTAAAAAGAAGATCTTGTATTAGTTTTGTGAATTAAATAATTTTTTTTAAGAACCTACCGGGAAAATGAGTCCCAGAATGGAGAAGCAGAAGGCACCGATGAGGCCCATGAAAGGTCCTATTGTTGGCACTGCCACAGCCAGGACCACAGCCGCCGTCACCATCACTGTACGCAGGACGTAGTTGACCACAAGGGGCCGTTTTGTGCACTTCTCCTTGATTCCATCCCAGACAATTTCCAGGCACACAAAGAACTGCAGACCGAAGGTGCAGTAAACGGCCAGGGAAATGAGGACCTTCACCGCCTGGGCGGGCCACTCCTCGATGGGCAGATTGAGGGCGATGCTCTCCTCGGTTCTATCTCCGTAGTGCAGATAGCCGAGGAAACCCAGCAGCATGTAGATCAGGGTCACACCCGACATTCCCTGGCTGAGGACTCCGCAGATGCCCAAGAAGCTCTGAGGCGTCTTCATGTTGTTCTCCAGGGGCATTACCACGCCAATGGCTTCCATGGCGAAGATGGTGATCGAGAAGAACTGCGGCAGTGTGCTCATCACGGAGTACTCGCGTTGCTCTAGAGGCGGCAGGTCCTGCACCAGGTAGTAAAAGGTGATAGCGAGTCCCAGGCCCATGAACACATTGGCCACCATGGAGACGGGTGCCAGGTATTTGAGATTCGGCACCCAGGCGATCAGGATGAGGGGAATGAGCAGGGCGCAGATGATCAACCGAAGGGATACATGATTGCCAGTCCAGTGCTCGATAACTTGCTCAAAGTTGGAGGCCACAATCACGGTGTAGACCGAGCAGGTGCCGAAGTAGGTGAGGAACAGACCAAACAGGATCGAGAACTTGGCCACAGGAGCAAATCCGCGGCACCATTTAGGTCCCTTCTGGAAGGCAGTCTCGGCAATCTCAGCGAATGTCATCTTGGTGCGTCGCGTTCTGTAATACAGCTTGTGACCGCATTTTACCTTTAAGGATAAAAAAAAGTTTTAGTATTAATAGTTAAATTATTCAAAATTTCTAAAAACCTACCAGCACGTAACTGCAGTGCGTGCAGATAAAGGCGGTCATGATGGTGGCGAAGATACCCGTGATGAGTCCAGAGCACATAAAGGCAAACGGCATACCCAGGATGCCAGTTCCCAGGGAGGCCTTAAGCAAATGCGTAAGAGTTTCATTGTCCCTGTTTAAGATGTATTGATTAGTTAAAAATATTTAAAAATTTAAATTATAAACTTACGTTGTGGGATGTTCATTATCGCGAAGGGCGAAAGGATCAAAGTCACTTCCACCGGCCAAGGCCTGCTCGGCATCTGATTTTCGTGGCTGGATCTTGTACCTGGAAGTAAATAAAATTGATAAAAATTAATGTTAACGATTCTGTGGGGAAAAACACCTCAACTCCACATTGGTGCGTTCTAAAGAGCCCATTGTCATTTTAGTCGGTTCGCCGGTCTATGTGCCACTAAAGCACCGCTTGAAAGTGCAGCGGTTTCTTATATGCTGACAGTGAAATTCCCTTGCCACGGAATTGCTGCATCTGCAATTACAGTTGTCGGCCGCCTCGTCTGTCCATGTCCCCCCGTCCATGTCGGCTTAATAATACTACACTTGTAACTTAATGTCGGGCAAGTGAGCAAAAACAATAAAAAATGGAAAACTCGGAGCGTATGCCGGGCCGAATTTGGTCAGGCTGCTGCTTCTGATTGGCCTGGCCTGGCCGGGGGCCATCCAATTGATGGAATCGATGGATTCCGATCCATTCCAGGTTGCCTGACTCGATTTCCAGATTCGGTTGCATCAGCCACCAAAGAAAACTGCAAACGACAGCACCATATGAAGCCTAGTCGTATACTTGATAAATTTCCGAGTTTCAGATTTCAAAACCTCCTAAAGGTATGCTGAGAATAGTCAACAGGCCCGGTTTAGTTTTTTGTGTGAAATATATTGAAAACTAAGCAAAAAATAAATATTCCACTTAAATATATACCAGTTCCAACAGTTCTCTAGTTAATTTTCTACAATAAAACTACTGAAAATATATACATGTTGCTATTTTTTAAATACCGGACGTAAATCATTAATATGACACCCTATTATTTGCACAAATAATTGCTGATATTTGAAACCCTTTTTACAATACACTTCCCCTCCATTATAGACCCTCAAAAAGTCAGAAGCTCTCTGCAAGGGTATAAAATTAGACAAAAGCGATTATTTTTCCATTAAAAAAATTCCTATCAGTTGAAACACAGCTCGGGTTAACAGCTCAAGTTCAAAAAATCAATCTCTACATATTGCCGCGTCATCAAAATAAGTATTTGAATGACGAGAGCAAATTATTTATACACAAACACTGAGATTTCAAATCAATCCTTATTTCTTCCTTCCTTATTTCTAAATCAAAGTGCATTAGAATATGAGAAACGGGGAAGATCTACACGTGTGCTAGCTGATATTGTCATAACATTTGCTAATTTATTTCACGCCTTTGTCAGTCCCGCAGTCTTTAAACTGTTTTTGCATTTAAATTCCTCGTTTTTCGTTCCCATTTCAATAATATTTGCATCCGAGTAGAGATCAGTGAAAAGCGATTTGCATGCTTGCACCTCTAAGGATGATCGATTTTTGCAAATGTTTACGATAATATTTATTTTTATTTTCGAAAGCATTTCTGGCCCGGAACCTTGAACTTGTAAGTGAACTGGGTTTTCATTTTATTGCGTTATATGGCAGGGTTTTCATTAAGTTTCACAGCGACTAGACGGTTACGTGATTTGTGCTTAATAGAAGGCAAGAGACTAGTCGATTATAGCCCTAGTTATCTGAGGGCGGGGTACTCTAAACTCGTTATCAAACTAGCAACTAGCCAAGACATTGATTTACTAACTCAGGAGCTCAGTTGGAAGTATAATTGATAATTGTAATCAATCTGGGCTGCTCGTGTCAGAGTTCCCGCCAGCAAAAACTGACATGGAGAGGCATTTTTAGTCAATTGGCTATTTGGCGGCTTCAAAGGCCAATTAACGAACAACTAATCTACTTGTAAACTTAATTGAGAAACATGCCACCGCACCAGCAATTTAGTCGACATATTTTTAGCACAATGACTTAACGCGACTCGACTGGACTATATAGATTAGATCTAAAAAACTCACATCACTTTGCCTTCCCCGGGAAGGAACTGCTCCATCTCCTGAGGCGCATGCTTCGAGCCGCTATCCTGCAAAGGCAAAAAGATATTTAAGCAATTAATAAAGGTAATTGATCAATTGAAAAATGTTCTGAGAAATACGCACCACAACGTTGACCATTTTGAAGGCAGTTACTTGATTCCCTCAGTGTAAGAACTGCAATGAATGAAAGAAGATATGTTTAATTGATTTAATAAAGAATTTTATTTGATATTCCAGCACCCAGTAGGTTGGTTGGCTGTTTCCAAAATCAGCCTAATAGAATCCCTTCCATTTATGAAATAAACGAACAGACAGCTTCGTTTGATTTGATTTAATTGTCGGCGATTTGTCGCCTAAATATATTCCACCAATATGCATCAAGTTCAATTCCCTGTTAATTGTTTTGTGCGACTCACTTTCAATTCCAGTCATTTGCCTTTAATTTATGAAAATAAATTCATACAAGAAAAGATCAAAATGAAAGCATTTTTTCGGCAATTTGTATGCAAATTTTGCAGGGAAGCAACAGCCAACAGCAATTGAGCATAATTTGAGTCACTTAAATCTGCACTAATGAGTTTTATTTTTGTGCCATGTGACGGTTGCCATCTCAAGTATATTCTATATATTGTACATTTTTCGATGACATATTTCCGTTAATTGGTTTTCGGCTTTTGCGTTTCATTTATTGTCCTAGTATTCTATTATTAACCTGTTAAATCCCCGTCACATGTGCCATTTTTCACATAGTAAATATTCAGTGGGAGTGATGGGATGGGTGTACTTTGGACTGGCCCCCAAATGCTGGCCGTGTGGGGTATTGTTCAGTTTTTAAAGAACCTAAGTGGAGGCCCAGCTTGAGGGCTAAATTACGATCCACGCTTCTGACAAATGATACACAATATTTATGTGCATACTTTTACATTTTTGCATATCAATTTCCAGCTTTCAGACGCTGCGTAGACACTTTTAGCTGGCTTTGACTTTTGGCCGTTTGTTTTGGCCATGTTTCGCTCTCGCATTGGCCAAAGGTTGAACGACCTCACACTTGACACGGCCTGACCTTTTCGACGAGGTCCCAAGGAGACGTTATTACAAGATAACCTCTCGTTCAAGACATCCGCCTTGGGTACTCCATGTTTACAACTGTCAACGAGTACTCGAGATTTACGAAATCCACTCATATATTATACGTTATCGATGTGAAAACGTCACATTCTGGCAAATCACGCACTAGCCACTCGTACTCCTCGATAAGATATAATACCACACACTATCGTTCAATGAATGAATCAAAACTTTTAGAGAACAGAATATCTGCCACCCGGCACACACAATATTTTGGCAACACAAATGGCCAAAAGAACCTTCACCTAGTGAAGACGAAAAAAAAACAACAAAAAATGTTGGCACACTTTGTTAGTGGTTTGTTTTTATATATTGTGTGTTTTATTTTTTTTACTATTTAGATATTTTTAGTGATAGTTTGGTCGACGTCTGTGATGCCAAATGTTTGCCCTTATCACATAGTTTTCACTGTTTTTCCCTCGAAACTAGTGCGAACTGGTTTATCTGAACAATCGGACGGATATATATGTGCATGTTTCGGTATTATCATTCCATTCGGTTGCGTGAGCCAAGAGAGCATGACATGGCCAAAATCGTATAACATCGAGGCCAATTACTTGCTCGATATTTTGCCAAAAAATTATCTCGATTGCATCATTTCAATTGAAATTTGTAAAATTTGTGATGGGGGTGGGGTATCCCTAGTTTTATCTTTTACTTTTACTAATTTCTTGCGGTTTGTTTTTATAGGTTTGAGATGTTTTAGATGCCCAAGATTTATTATTGTTTTTGAAATCTTTTCTATATTTAATCTCATCCACTTATCACCTTTCGGCACAACGTGACAGATCATTTACGAGATTCATCAAAACCTTGAAAATTGGCATTTCAACAATGACAAAAACTGAACAACAGAACAAAGTAATGCCGTACTCGTTAAAAGGTTAAGATATTATTCAGGTAAAGAATTTTATTTTTGGCAATTGCGGGGGAAGTTTGAGAGAATTTCAGAGAAGAATACTTGTTCTGCAGAAATTCTCTTAAAATACAAAACAGATTTTTCTCGCAATTCAGCAACCTCCCCCAACAATTGAAAAAAATCTCTTCAAACTGGTCGAGCCCCTGTGATAAAGACCACGTGTTTTTAAATTGTTGCTAATGTTTTATTTATGTCTACCGTGAATCAATTTTCAAGCAAATAATATGTACATTTTATATTATTTCCATTAAAAATGTAGATCTCTATAAAATTGGTTTAAACTACGGTCGGGGTAAACATAATTCATATATTTATCAGACCCATTAGTCCAGAGATATCGTTGGGCCCTGAGTCATGAGTCCAAATACAAAAAACCGTTTACCAATCATATAATCATGGTTTCCCATTCCGGCGCCCAACCCTATGCTCGTTGTGCGATAATCTTGTCGCATATGAGTGTGTGGTTCTACGTCGGCACAAACAACTCTATACCTTTCATTCAGGGAAGGTTTTTGTTTCTCAAAGATCTTATATCTGTTTATATATAGCCCCCAAGTTCATAGCCCGATGTGCTGCAAAGCTTTTCTAATATTTCATCAGCCAAAAAAAAAGTATTTTTGTGATGTATAATATTCGTGGTATGCACTCTGCTCGATTTGTCACTTGGGTTTTTTTTCTAAGTTTGCAAAATAAATATTTTTATCAGAAATCAAATAAATAATTTTCCCCCCTTTACATCATTATTTTCGCTTTTGGGTAGAGCCCTGGGTTGCTGGTTCACCAATTCGAAAAGAATTTCTTTTAATTTTAGTAGAGTTCTTAGGAATTTCTGCGATAATAGAACATGTTTCGTGGAACCAAGAAGGTTACGAGACTTCCCTTGAAAAAATGTCAATTTTGGAGATAACAAAAAAATCCGTTTCAAAGGAATTCTTTTACATTTTAAATAGCACGTCTGAGCAAACTCTTTAAAATATGATTTTAAAATCTTTAAAAATATTTAGACAACTGCTGGTCCACATTCACGTCACTAAAGAAAAAGGTTTTTACCTTTATTTTTCTCTAAACAATACCTCTCTTTCAGTAAAATGTTAAACTGCTGATTAAACATGTAGAGCCCAGCCATAAGTCCCAACAAAGTTTCTTATCAACCCGAGATGGAGACACGGTATCTGTCTGCCCGTTGTAATGTCCCACGTTACGTGTTATCTACTGAAAAGCTTACAGAGTAGCAAATGCAATTATATTCCTACTCATTAGGTTTTTTTTTTTTTTAAGCAGCAATTGGAGAGTTTGCATGTGGTCGTTGCATAATACCACTGATAACTCACAACCACAAAGGTCACCACCATATATCGTTTAAGATAATAGCTGCTAAGCAATTTTCGGTAATTATTTTACTTTCATGCACCGGCATATTTTTATTGCAAAGTGTTTTTATCGACTGGCGGACTGCCACTGACTTTGGGGGTAACAAATGGCAACCTGATAAAGAAACGACCTTCTCAGGTGTTACGGAAATTAGTTACGTCTAAAAATAAATCAATTTCTGTCCGGTCAGTCGGTCGGTCAAGTGTAATGTTTGAGGACAAATTGCGAGCAAATGGCTAAAAGCAGAGGGAAAAAGCTATCAGCTAGAATAACAATAAACAATAGGTACTGTCATCTATAGATATTGATAAGGATAGGGTAAAGGGTCTATGACATAATAATTGAAAAGGGGGAAATAATAGTAGTGGTTGTTTGATCAGGAATATTCATCAAGAAATAAAATCTATTGATATGGAAGTCTTGTCTTATAAAAAATTAAGAATACCATTCAGGTATTTATATTTTTTAACCAGAATTTCTAAAAAATGAACAAAGAATCTGTGAATTTAAGGATAAAATATACCTATCAATAGATTGTATTATAAGACATGAACCATTAAGATATTTGACCCAGAATTTCTAAAAACTGAACAAAGAACCAGCAGTGCTTTTGATGCCAAAAAAAAAAAAAACAAATCCTTTAGAAGATTTATTTTTGGAATATGTCAAAGTCTTGGAACTGCCCACGCAATCAACAGTTGCAGCCCCCACAGTCTCTCTTTTTGTGGCTCCCTTTCTCTTCTATACCCACTATGACATGGTCGTGCTCCACATTCTCTGACGTCACAGTTTTTTACTGCGTCTTTGGCTTTAGCTTTTTGTCAATTGCTGTTATGCTAATTACCCAACAAAAATAAAAAATCAATAGAACTACCTACAAAATACGCGCGTAACCGAGTGAAATGGGTAACTGTAAAGATAAAGCCAAGACATTCATATGCAGACAGACAGGCACACCTCACAACCGTTAGCAGAATAGCCGTCGTAACACCCATCCCATTTTGGCCTGAATTCTGTCATTTGGCCATGTCCTTGGTGAGTCAGTTTCGAACACCCATGTGTGGGTGTATGGGTGAGGTTAATGCATTTCTCCTTTTAGGTGTGTGTGTGGGTGCGGTAATGGGTAGCATTGACGTGCGTTGATACTGTTGTTGGTAATTCCATTTTAGTTGGTATCACCTTTTTTGTTGGTTTTTACATCAACTAGTTTGGCATTGAGTGAACTTTCCCTTGGCTAAGTGCTCAATTACTGTTAAATTACGTATTTTCGCATTTTCAAAAGAAACGTGGAACATCAGCAATTCAAATCGGAAAACCTAATCGCAGCCATTGAACTATTGCTTAGAAAACAAAATAGAGAATATAGTGGAAAATTTTAAATTAAAATATGGGAAAACCCTTAGAGAAAACCTTGTATTTTATTTACTTTCTTTTATTTTTCAATATCTTTCTTTTTTGTAAAACTGCATAGTTTCTTAAAAAAGCGCGGGCACTTCAAAAATTCAAATACTTCATTCATGATTTAAAAAAGCTGTTTTTCCAAGGAAAAATTAAAAAAATTTTTGGCTAAATTTTTTTATATAGGCTGTTATGCAAATAGCGGGACAGGTGCATCGCTGGCATGTTGACGTCGAATCGGACGCGTGTACCACCGGAAAAAAACCTTTCTTTCACATTTTTCCTTCCTTTGTAAGAGACAGCATTGTCTGGGTTTTTTTTTTGTGTATAAAATGTTTTAGGTTAATTATAGTGCATATCGAGTTATAATTGACACCGGTGGGCACTTTCTGGTCTGCTGATTTCAGACCTTTTCGTGGGCTGTACACTTTTTTTGACAGCAATTTTGGTTAATTATGTAGGTACTTTTGGTGGGTTCGATCTGACGGTTTTTTAGTTTTTTTTATTTTGAATACATAACACATGTGTGCGACTGTTGCACTCTGCCTCAGCTATTTTCAGACTCAGAAACCCCAATTTTGTTTCAGCCATGTGCTCTGCCCGTCGCTCCCTCACTGTCTCGTATTAAATTTCTGGTTTTCGAACCCGCCGCTGGGTTTTATGCTTACTTTTTAGTTTTATTCCTTTGCCGGCGCACTGTACCGCGTGAATTCAACACTTTTGCTTTGAATCTGAGAAGGTGGTTTCGCTTAAGTAGACAATTCAATTGGTAGAATAATGCCAACACTTCAACTGTAGCACTGCTGGCCACCAAAAATCCACCGAAGGTAGCTCCTACTAAATAACGCGCTCCGGCGACAACCAAACAGCAAATGCCATGTGGCGCTCTCAGCATATCTCTTAAATACTCAACAAAATGGGGTAGCTCTGGGGTCCGTCTCTGAGAGAGAGGAATACGCAGCCGGCTAATAGCCGGCCGCTATATCGGCTATACCTGGTATATACGAGAGTATACGAGGGAGAATTATAGGAAGAGAAATGGGAACAAAGGACATTGGCAAGGATGTGCTGAATAGGGTAGCGAGAGCATAAAAGGTAAGCGGAGAGTAAGACAGTACAGAGACAGTGGCATCGAAATATTAAGGGATATATTAAAGGATTGAAAATAATATTTAAAAAATTTTAGAAACAGTTTTCTGTTAAAAATGTATTTTATTTTACAACTACTAATTTAAGTTAATTTTTATAGCCCCCCACCTACTACACTGGCGGGAGCCGAAACTTTAAAAGGGCACGAAGTTCATCTTCTTCTTCATCTCGCTGCTTGGATGACGAAATCAAAGACTTGCCTTTCATAAGCGTGGCAAAAACCAGATTCTTTAACGGAAACTCTAAACTTTAAAATTTGATACATCCTTTTGGCAAAAAGAAATGTCCAATCATCATTACATCAGCCATTGAACTGAACTAATAGTAGTAGTTCTGGGAACCACCATCATGCCTTGTGTTTATTTCGATAAATATTTACTTTTCATAAAAACAGTTCTGCACCTCCCGCACAGCCAGTACGTCATCGTTCTACAACTTTCTATTGATGAAATTCATTTCCAGCAAAAATCCTGACTTTTGTGCAAGTCATTTATTAATTATTTTCGATATGCGAATGAACTACTGATTACGTAGAGGTAACCAAATAAATTGATGATAATTTATGTGTGTCGCTAAATAAAAAAGGCTATTAGAATTTAGTATAAGGGATTGAACTAATTAAGTCAAATATTATTAAGTAGATGATTTAAAATTTATCACAAATAATTTAATTTTCAATCTAAATCGGGCCATAGCTTAGTAATTCTTTAAATCTTTTTCTTTAGACTGGGAAAGTTTATTTTTTTATTATTCAAGCCAATCAATATAATAGGTAAAAAACAAGTGAAAGATAGAGAGCAAAAAATAGATTGCTGAGCTTATATTTATATTAAATAAAAATAAAGATAAAGACACTCGCGTGCCCACCAGGGGACCGTAAATTTAAGATAAGAGATAATCTTAAATTTAAAATAGCTTATTGAAGTATGTTTTATATGCGATTTCCGGGGAATGACATTCCAAATAAATCTGTAAAAAAATTAAACGTTAACAACAAATATCTTTTGTGTTAAAATGTATAATTTTATTCCAAAATCTTCACAAATATTGATACAATATTACTTAATTTTTACATAAATCATATGAAACCTCTTCAATTTTTTTTGAATTTTAGAAATAAACCAATGCTGATGAATATTTATGTTACATTTTCCGATTAACTCTACGAGATTTAAAATCTAAAAATTTAAAATGCTCTTCTAACATGAAAATATATTGGGATAAACTTCAATAAATGATAATTGCACACAACTCTTAGGATACGTTAAAATATTATATTATTTGCTGACTTCTATTGATAGATTCTGGATAGATTACTGGGTTCTGATCTGCAATGACTGAGTCTGTAGTTTCTATGCGCTGGTCAGTTTGGAACTGCCATTCAGTTACTATTGAGTTAAGCTTGAGCTATCTGGTTAGGTAAGCTATAGATTCATCAGTTACTTTGCTTGATTGAGTGTAGTTTGGTGTCTTCAATGTTGTGTGTGCGATATTCTTTCAGTTAAAAATTCCTCCAAATGGACGTGATGGCTTAGAGTCTATCAAAAATTAAATGGCAGTACATTATATATAATGGTATACCCATGCAGTCGTATATATCGTTCAGGTGGTCTATGTTTGTTTTTAAAATTTCGCCTTCGCCTTCACACACGCGCTTATTATCCGAATTTTTTTTTGTTGAGAATTTTTGTATTTGAAGCCCAGCGCTCTAAGGCTTCAAATAAATGAACCGTCAGTGTTCCTCTGGCGGTGTTCGGAATTCAGAAATCCAATCAGTTACACGCAACCGAAAGATTTCCGTTTTGGTCAGGATCCAATCGCGATACTGGTGCGGTATATACTCCACCAGTTTGTCCGCAATCTCCGGATTCTTGAACATTATCATGTAGATAACCACCGCGTTGAAGATGAACAGCAATATAAATGTCATCAACGAGGATAGAGCTGACCTGGAGAGTAGTTTCGACCAGGAGTTTCCCTTCTTCTTCTTTTGATTGCTCTTTTGATTGGTTTTAGTTGCAGCTCCTCCGGCTCCAGACGGAGAACCTCCTGCAGCATTGACTGGTTTGATTGTCAACTCATTGTCGCCAGCTTCAGAAATTTTTTTGGCTTTGGCTTTTTTGTTATTGGGTTTGACAGCCTTTCCCTGCTTATCCTTGCCGGCAGCTCCACCTCCGCCATTCGCCTGGACGGAGTTTGAATCTCCAGATCCTGCCATTTGTTGGGCCGCCAAACGTTCACGTTCAAGAAACTCGGGCTTATAGTTTGCGCAGATGTTGACCTGGAAAATGGAGAACCGTAAGATACTTTTTTTCCAGACACGTTAAAAAGTATGCGTGAAAACTATCTGGATACTTTGCCACAGCTTTGCAGTAAGTGAAATGGGGAAAATGTGAATAAAACTGAGCTCAAGGACCTCTCGACTAGAGAGCCTCTTACCGTATTCTTGGCTGCCTGTTGGCAGTCCTTTAGAGTGGAGCAACGACCCACAATCTTCTCCCAGGCTGGCGTCAGGGGGTTACCCTTCAGATCCAAATAGCGCAGGCGACGCAGCTGACCAAAGCTAAGTGGCAGATGCTCGAGGCAGTTGTTGTAAAGGTCCAAATGACGCAGCTGCTCTAACTGACCAAAGTCCTCGGGCAGGAAACGTATTTGATTTTTGCTCAGATCCAGTTTCACCAAACGAGTCAAAGTGGCAAAGTTTTTCTGTTGAAAGGTGACAGTTAGTAGGTGTGCTTTACTGTGTTTATATACCAGACTTACTCCCAGGCTGACCAGACGATTGCTGGAGAGATCCAAAACGGTGACGCGCTTGAACGAAGCCTGCAAAGGATAAGAGCAGACTGAACTGAGAAGTAGTGGCACAAACATGACCGAAAAAAGAAACCCCAAAAAAAGTAAGTATCCCTCTATCCATTAGATACCTTTTTGGTGAAGGGTGTGTTGGACATAAATTCTTTTTTAAAAATATTTTATCTTATATCTTTATCTTTATATTTTATCTAATCCAATATTGCATGCGATTAATTTTACAGCTAGTGCCCTGTAAAGTAGGCAATGGTTTTTGTGTTCTGCAAGACCCAGGGTATTTATGAGTCTGAACTCCATGTCTCTGTTTCATACTTTTTTTTTGGCAACCTTCTGGCCTGCTGAGGGGTGGCAAAAACCAAAAATCAACCCCCTCGAGCAATTTCGGGTGCATTTTCAACCACACTTGCACATGCCTGGATGAAGGGGTAGCCAGAGAGGGTGGGTAAGATAAAATATTTGGAGAGGGGAAAGCAGGGGGAAGTCAACGTCAGCGTTAATTGCAAGCCAGCCGGCAGAACACCAACAAAAACAAGAAAAAACTCTCGCTCATTTTTCTGCTGTTTGCGAAAGCGAGAAGGCAAGTGACTAGACATTCGGCAGACAAGAGACGTGGCTGGGGAAAAAAAAAGAGCCCAGATGTGATGGGGGTGCGGGAGGCCCCCCGATGCAGATAGAGACATCCGGAATTGGGGCTAATTACTCGTACTTACAATTTCCCGGACAGGAATTTCGCTCAGCTCCGAGAGGCTCAGATCACACGACTCGTCCACTACACGCTCCTTCACGTTCACCTTCACTTTGGCTTTCTCCTTGTCGCCGGCTTTCGGCATTTTGTAGTTATTTTAAATTTTCAATTTCCTTTCCGTTCGGCGTTCAGCTGTTGTTTTTGTTCGATGTTTGTGTTTACCCGTATCTCGAGAGGTTTTTGAAAGCCGGCTCTGGGCGAATGACAGTTTCCTGTGAAAGCTTTTTCAAGCTCCAAATCTAGCTCGCCAGTGAAAGCAGTTCTTTTTTCATAAATCTGGTCTCACTATTCAATGAAGCTACTTAGCCGTCTAAGATTCTAAAATTGTATATTTATTTTAGTTAATAAATCAGTCAATATTAAATAGATTTATAAAAAAAATTCTTATGTTTCTATCTTTCCAGCTCCAGTAATTGTTTTTCCAGGTGATCATTTAGCGCTACAAGTTGCTGTTTTTCTAATTTACATTTTTGTTTTAATAGAAATAGCTTGCGCTTTTTCATTTCATATTTATGCTTTTCCAAGGACAACTTTTCGTCTTTCTCTTCTCCATTTTGAAAAGGATTCGTTGAATCTAACACAAATGGTAACCTTATGGAGCTCCTCAGGTCCCTAAAAAGAGGTTCTTCGAAGGTTTCCAACCCGTCGTCATCAAATAATGCATTCTGGAATGTTATTAAATAAAGTTAAACATTAGTTTTTTTAGGAAAAATCAAGATCTTACTCTTGATTGTATGTTTTGGGTGCTATTAACAGGTGATCCTTCACTTTCTCCTCTTTTGTCTTCAGGCACGTCACTCAAAGGCTCGATTTGTAATTTATTTTGATGGCTTTTTGCTTTCATGCATGAGTATTTATTTCTAAGCAGGGTCCAAGGTCGAAAAGATTTTGTTTCCTCAGCAAATTCTTTCTCAATTCTTTTCCAAGTTCGCACTTTTAATCTCGACGTAAGCACATCACGTTTTTTGTTGTCCAAGATGGATTTATTTGCCCCAGCTAGATTAGAAAGGACCTTTTCCTCTAGCTTGGAAAAGTTTTTTCCACGTGTTAACCAGCTCATTCTTCTCGGATTTGGAATTTAATAATAAACCCAATACTTCATTTTTAATTGCCTTGAGAGGTAATCTTTTAAAATAAATTTAATGAAACTCCGTGGAAAAGCTTAGAAAACAGCTGGAACTTATCGATAAATTTCCTTTAAAAAATGTCCCTCCTTTTCAGTTTCGATAGTTTGGGTAATTTTAAAACAAAAACGTCCCTAACTTCTCTCCTTGTCCACACAATTTAAAAACTAAATTTTTTCAATTTTACGTTTATTTATGTAAAATATTAACTTTTATATTTTGTCCTGGTTGCCATGAGGCTCCAATTGACGACTACTGTTTAGTCCTCCTCTTCCTCGGCAGCTGCACCACCACCGCCCTGGTTCTTCTTCAGGTTCTTCCTCTTGACGCGACCGGGACGGCCACCACCGAAGGGCGACTTCAGAGAGAAGTCGATGTGCTTCTGGGAGTCCAGACGCACCACGAACGATGGGATGTTGACCACCTGCTTGCGCACACTGCAGATAAAAAGGAATAAGACTTCGTTTAGTTTAAATTCGATGATAAAACAGCCATCAAGTGGTAGAATGAATTCTAAGCGACAAACGTTCAGTGCAACTTACGCTAGGCGGGCATTTTGCATTTACGATTGCAGCGGCTAGAGCCACTAAAGCAATCTAAAGACGTTGAGAGCCGGTACAAGCGCACAAGCAGCTTGTTCGACTCCCAAGTGGTCTTACTGAACAATAAGAGTTATCTTCTCTACACTTGGCGACACTCTGGTCGCCTGTCCAAGCGATATTTACCGAATGTGACGCTGACGGATCAGGACGCGAGCGTGATGGATGGACTTGGCGAGTCCAAGCTTGAACACCTGCGTCTGCAGACGACGCTCCAAGAAGTCCTCGATCTTCAGACCCAGCACGTAATCGAGCTTCATGCGAGACTCGTCCAAGACACCAATGCGCACCAGACGACGCAGCAGGGCGTTACCTAAAAACAAGAAACTTAAATTAGTTTTGTTCCTGGGTAGTTGATCAAATTAAGTCAGTTGGATCGTCTTCAGTGTGTATTGTGGAACGTCATGGTTTGTTTTTTTCAGACAAGAGGTGTCAGAGATGGGTTTTTAATACTTATCATCACGTCATATTCAGTTTGTCTGTGGCTACAGGTTCTAGAGAACTTACCCTGGAAAAGACGCTTCTCATCCTTCTCGTCAAGGGTAAGCAGCTCACGGGCAGCCTTACGGATCTTGGCAAGGGCGTACTTGACGCGCCACACCTCACGCTTGTTACGGAGACCATACTCGCCGATGATCTTCAACTCCTGGTCCAGACGCGCCTTTTCATAGGGGCGACGGGGAGTCACATAGGTCTTCGAGAAGACCGAGGGTATGCGGCCGTTAACCATTCTACCAATTCAATGGAGCACTGTTGGGGCGAGAAAAAATTGGGTTAGAAACGAACTATGGATGCTGCACGTGGCTTTAATAGTATTTAAGTTAAAATCACAAAAACTAGCTTATTTAAAATAAAATTTAAGTAACCGATTGCTTCAAATACTATAAGTTAACAAAAAAACACGTGGACTGAGGTGCTTAGAAAAGTAAGGTTAAATCGCACGTTTCCACCAGACTTATTTATTTTGCCTTTATTTTTATTAACTTTTGTGTGCCGGCTGATGTCTTTAAATTTAAAAAGTATATTTTAAATTTACAAGGCTTATTACATGTTATTTTATTAATTTTTTAAGAGTCGAAATTCGTACGTACGTTTTTGCTCGGAGTTGGAAAAAGAAAGAACGGGCCAGGGATGTCAAATATGTATATTTCTAATATCGATACTTCTATCGTTATTTAAATCGTTATTTTCTTTTATTTTCTGATTGGTCACACTAGGAATGAAATGACTTATCGATATATAATTTTAAAAACTAATAGTTTTTATTAAATAAATATTAGGAAAATACGTTTGAGTTTGATTCTTATTTAAAGTCTGTGAAATACTTTCATTTTATTTTATTATTATGGATACTTTTCTCACCACGAAAGTTCCCACCAAAAATAGTATGCATAGCAGATACACAAACCCATAAAGCGGAGGCACAAACAGAAATAATGAATTTCTTTAAAATTTTAATAAAAGGTCTAGTTTATGAAGAACGTTCAATTTTGTTGGCATGGACTCTTACGTCGGCTCTCCATTTCTTCATGATGGACGTCCTCACTTGGAGCATATAGGACCCATTCGGGACAGGAATGTCCTTGAGGGTATTCTCATCAATGGAAAACCCATCGAAAATGACATCGTCCTGCTATATTTCATAAAAAATATAAAAAATGTTTTAATTAAGTTTAAGCCATCTTACCTGTAGGGGACAGGTAGTGTTTATATTTGAAACTTTCAAAAATGGACCCGTTAGAAAACCAAGCATGCCATTGGCCCCAATTATTTGGCGAGTAAATGCGCAAAAATCCAGAGTCTCGTTTATATATTGAACGTGACGGTTTTTATAATATTTAAAAAATGCTAGATTTAACTTAGGCCAATAATTTAGTAAGTCACTTAAATTTCAGCTTGTCAACACTTACTACAATGTTATCGAAGGGTTTTTTGTAGAGAATCACTTGATGGATGTGCAGTGTAGCCCTGCCATATTTCTTATGTTCAACTTTACAGATTTTAAAATAGGAAAATAAAGGATCAACGTTTCGGCATTCCATTTTTTCGACTCGTAGAATCCTTTCCTGGCTTAATTTAATAATGTTTGAAAAAAAAAATAGCAAATATATTAGGCGACAATACATGTTGCCAGATGAAAGCCAGCTATTAAACTATTGGATTATTTCACGCATGAGGTAAAGTTTATTTCATTGTATATCTTTCATCGTATACTAAAATTGAAAAAGATTGGATATCTTTATTATAAAAACAATTTAAAATGTTGTATATTATCAATCAACTCGGTTCACAAAGGTTTTGACGTCGGATTTCCAACCTTTTTGCATAGCAATTCTTAGTTGAAACATGTAGAGACCATTTGGAGCAGGAATCTCTTTAAGAGTATTCCCATCAATTGGAAACCCATTGAACACAACGTTCTTTTGCTTTAAGATAATAGGATTTATAAAATAACTAATCGAAAAAATGGAATCATAAGCTCACCTTCAAAGGACAAATTGGATTAATATTCGAAATGTTTAAAAAAGGATTTATCATAAATCCAATTATTCCAGTTGCCGTCATAAGGTTTCTGCTAAAAGCACAGTAGTCCAGAGTCTCATTCAGGAATTGGTAGCGTCGGGTTTTTAACAATTTAAAAACACTCAAATTTAACTTAAATTTGAAAATTATTTTACTGAAGATAACAATTATTTATCAACTTACAATTATATTATCGATGGGCTCCTTGTACAAAATCACATGATTTATATAAAGGAGAGCTCTATTATTATCTTTGTGGACCACTTTACATGTTTTATAATAGGAAAACGAGGGATCAAGGGTTTGGCACTCCATCTTCTTGATCCTCAAAGTCCTTGAATGACTGAAACTTATTAAAAAAAATATATATAAAACCAGGTTTAAAAAACACGCCTTCATTTGTTGACTTTTCAAAGAATTTCAATCAACTAAAATGATTGATTTGTTGAGTACAGTTAAGGTATTATTTTACGGCTGGATTATTTTAATAATTAAAATTATCCCATTATCTTTACTCTACCCAAAAAGTAAACAAGTAATTTTATTTTTTAAATATATTATCTCATCCAATTTATGAATACTTTTCCACTCGGCTGGCGTAGATCTTGACATCGGTTGCCCACCTTTTCATATAAGCTGCACGAATATTAAACATGTAGACACCATTTGGAATGGGAATCTCCTTAAGTGTATTCTCGTCGATGACAAAGCCATTAAAAATAATATTTGATTGCTGTGGAATGGTTTAAAATAATTGTAATCAAGATCAGGCACTCTCTTACCTGTAGTGGGCATGAGAAGTTGATGTTGGAAATATTCAAAATTGGAGCCATCACAAAGCCAAAAATGCCTGTGGCAAACATCAACTGACGACTAAAGGCACAAAAGTCCAGAGTCTCGTTTACGAATTGAAAGCGACGGTTTTTTAATATTTTGAAAACGCCTAAATTTAGCTAAAAGTAATGTTTGTATATAAATTAATTCAACTTTAAGTTTAAAACTTACTAGAACATCATCGATAGGTTTCTTGTAATCGATTACTTCGTTAAAGTACAGAGCAGCTCGGCCATTTTCCTTATGAACAACTTCACAAGTTTTGAAATGGCACAAGGAACTATCAAGGGTTTGGCAGGTCATCTTGTTGACCCTAAAAACCTTTGCCGTAGTGGGTTCCAATAAAATTAAAACTATTAGTAGAAAATATAAAGGTAATACTTTCATGTTGACGCTTCCAATAGATATACTAAACTGTTGTATGGGTTGAATTCAGTTTGGAATTATTTATTGTAGAATGAGAATTATTTTAATAGTCTTATTTTTAGAAAAAAATTTATAATAATGGACAATTATTTGTAATGTACGTAGATATTGATCTGTATCCGCCAGGCTTTAAAAATCGAAGTAGTGAACGACATTTTGTATTCTCCTTCAGGAAATGGAAACCTAGTAACTGCACTCTCATCCAATGTTAGATTATTAATATAGATATTCTTTTCCTAGTATGAGAAAATTAAGGAATAAATCAAATATTATCTAATAAACTTTTATAGTACTCACCGCATAGGGACAGGTATGATTGACAGTTGTGAAAGCCTTCATAGAATCATGGAATATGTAGAAAATAGGATATTTCTCTGGGTTTCGCATAAAGTAGCAGAAATCCAGGGTATGATTTATCATGAAAAACCTGTAGACATTCGATTTACGAAAAAGGCAGAAGTTTAACTTGATTTGATCGAGGGGTTCAGCGTATTTGATAAGGATATTAAGTCTTATGGCAGCAACATTACGGCGAACCAACTTCAATAAACACTCTTTAGTTTCTAAGAAGTTCGAATCCATATCTTTGCATTCTATGTTTGTGAATCGAAAGTTAGCTCCGTCAATACCGCGGCACAAGATCGATAATATTACAAGTAGAATACCCGAATACTTCATGTTGAATGTGGCTTTGTTTTAGAAAAAATATGCCATCATGTTGGCTATTGGAATTAAAGTAATTAGTAGACAATTAAAATGTTCGATGACCTGGGAAATCGGTTTCAATAGACACATTCATTTATATATTTCTAGTTCCTACCGGTTTACAAAAAAAAAAAATAAAACACATATTATTATTTTATAAATAAAATTACATTTTTTCAATAAATAAATATTTTTTATTTCCCTACTCTCTATGATTCTTTTGTTACATAAATGCTTACGTGTCCCCGCCAAATTTTATAAGTTATTATTCCGATTTTAATCATATATTCCCCACTAGGAATTGGTAGTTCCATCATATCGCCTTTTTTATACACAAAATTGTCGAGAATAATATCATGCTGTTATAATATAAAAGTTAGTTCTTTTTTTTACTAATTTGTTACCATTTTACTCACATCGTAGGGACACGTATGATTGATGTTCGATGAGGAAATAAATACTTTGTGTAGAGTATAAATCAAAGGATATGCCTGAGGATTACGCATGTAGTAACAATAATCAAAGCTCTGATTAAAAAGAAATGGACGATATCCATTGGATTTCTTAAAAAGAGCCACATTAATGTCGACATTTTCCACGGGAATCTGGTACACTTGTCCGATCATAAAGAAGGATGACATCCCTCTTCGTAATAATTTCATTTCGCAGCGGGTAAAGTTGATGTAACTATTATTAACTGATTTGCAAATTGCATTTTTTAATATGAAACCGCTATAGGTGAGTCTGGGAATAAAAATAATCCAGATTGAAATTCCCAGAAGCAGACAGCACTTCATACTTTCAACGACTAATAGAAATCAGCTAACCGAAATCCAAATCCGTGGAGTCGATTAAAAACGCATTACTGTTGGGCCAATTAAAATGGTTATTCAATATGGTTTTTCCAATTTTTCCATTTATTGAAAACTGATACATGTTTTTGTCGAAATTTGCTGATAATAAAACTGAATTGTAAAGATTATTATTCAGCTTTTGCAGTTCTAGTAAATTATCCTAGAAATCTGCAATGTATCAAGTAAAATATTCTAAATATTAAGTTTTCAAAGAATTCCTACTGCTGTGGCTTAACTTCCTGAACAAATTCCTTGTTCCACCACAAAAGACAACACCCCAGGACATGACCGTAAAAACTTTTGCAATAAAATGCACGTAGTAGGATGCCACAACCGTAAAAAAAAAACAAAACAAAACCGAATGAAACGGAAAAAAACTGCAAAACAATGTGCATTAGGTTGATATGTGACTGCAGGAGTCAGAGGTTGAAGGGATTTGGATGGATGTGTCCCCAGGTTTCGGGTCAACTTGGAAGACCGCAACAGAAGTTGCAAAGTTGTGACTATTTTCCCCCTCTTAGTTTGCATTACGATCCGAATTATTTTATTGTGTTTCCCGCGCGGCAAGTAGTTTCATTCTGGAGCAGTTACTGTTGCACTTGCTAAGTGACCTTGTAAGCTGCCAGGTTAATCTGGAAAACTTTTAATTAGACAAATTATAACTTTGCCCCGGGCATCGTTAAACTTTGAGCCGCGCCAAGTTTATTATTCATAACGAAGGCGTATTTGGATGCCAGGGAGGATGCGGATGTGGGCAACATGGGTTGTTTCCGGGTCAAAGTTACCTGCTTCTTAACTGCCTTATCCTTAGTTATTTATTTTAATAAAGCCACAAGCGCCGGCCCAAACTTCGGCCATTTGGCGGCGGTGATGGCGGTGGAACTGCAAGCTGCCTCATTATTAATCATTATTGCCTGTGGCCTGGTAATTTGTCGTAATGATTACAGTAACCCCACAAGCCACCCATTTGCTGGGATGCCACAAAAAAAAAGTTGCCACTTAACTGCTCTTCAGGTCCTTTGAACAGGAAAGTGATGCGTTCGAATGAAATTGGTTAGCATTTTTGGAAAGACTTTATCTTACAGACGAATTTGGTTTTAAGGTTTGTCATTAGAAATTAATTTTTTAAGCTTGCCTAAAATAATAAATAAGTGGTAGCATACTTTGCGGCATAAAAGAAACATACTGGTAGCCACCTTATTGTCTGTAAATTTTTTTCAAGAAATTTATACATTTTTAATGAATTTCTAACTGATATGAGCTAGAAACCTTTGCCAGTGCACCTATCCTGAGGCACAGATTCTGCTGGCTTGTCAATTTGCCACTGATTGCTCAGGCAATTGTTCTACAAGCTCCATGCTCGATGCCTGCAAATTGACTTGTGTAGGCTTAAGGGATTACAACTCCCTCTGCATATGTATCGAATGAAAAATGTTTTAGGCCAATGGATTGGCAACTGGGTTTTCATTTGGCCATCCTTTAACATTCAACACATCTACACAGGCCAGTATGTTTGAGTTAGGAGCACATGTGTGGCAATGCGGCGTATACGCGATGCGCCATAAATTGTATGTCCCCAACTATTTTTGCTGGTGGCCGGTCGAGGGCGAATGTGCCAATAAATAACTCGATATGCCTGTCAAAAATTGGTCACGACAAGCAGGACGACCGGTTGGGTCCGAACTTCAACCGGAAACGGATATACAATTTCAGTAATTTTCGTGAGTGACCAAGCTGGAAGTTCGAACTCTCCGTCCGGATGGCGTCGCCTGAAAGAGGAAATTGCCGGCCAAAAAGAAAGGCAGTGCCAGAAAATAGGAAAAAGTCCTGTCCATTCAAAAGCTAAGGCTGGATTTCCCTTCATGTGCTCCTTTCTTTTGGTTGTTGTATTTGTTTTTATTGGCGTGAAAAATGTAATAATGCCCCAAGCTTGCCAAGAACATTTTTGCCTTGCTTTATGAGTATTATGTGTGGCATATGCTTTTCTTGAGCTTCTCCATTTTCTATCCGGCCCAAGGTAGTTTTGTGTTTCGGCCACCGAGTTGTGGGAGAGTCTTGGGAAAGTTATGTGAGAGGTCCTATTTAATGCATGTTATACTTTTCTTTCCTTCTTTGAGAAAAACCTGACAGCTTATCAAGAAAATATTTTTCAAGAAGTTTTGCATGCACTTGGGTGTTGGTTTATCATAGTTTTTAGAGACACACGAAGATGATGTTTACTAGAGATGTTTTATGAAAAACATGTTAGCTTTAAACTTTGTATCTTTGTATCTAAATCTTAAAGCTCTTCTTTAAGGTATCAAAGCATTCCTTACCCTTTTTGTTTGCAAACAATTGTCATTGGCAGGCTTTCACATTTTCCTTCTATTTTTCCCCCATTTGTTCGAGTGAGTGTGTTTCTGGCCGTGTGAAAATGCGCCTAAGGTCACGGTCAAGTGTCTGAGCCGGAACCATACAAGCAATTTCGTTTATTTGAAAGCACCACAACCCCTCGTACTGCCGTGTCCCCTCTGACTCTGGTGTTTTCCATTTAGTTTTGCCTTAGTTGGGGCGGCTGTTGCCATCAATCTCATTGCCATTGGACGGCTCCATATTGCTGTTGGCACAACATTTGCCTTGAACAAGTTTTATATTCTTTTTCGGTGTTGGCCGTTTTTGGCAACGGTTCCGGTTCGATTTTATTTCAACTCACATTTTTTCCGTTTTTTTTTCAATTATTTTCCATTTGTAGGAAAAGTCACTAAACAATTTTGTTGTTGATGCGAGAGTCTATATTTTTTATGAATTTTTTTTTGTAAAAGTTTCGCAACCATTTGCATTTTTACTTTTGGGGTCAGTAGTGTATCAAGGGGGGGACGTGCATCGAGTTATAAAATCGAATTTATTGTAGTCGATTGGAGATGGGCAGGGCCGAAGGGACGAGTGCGAGGATTTTTGCGCGGGTGAGTGCAATTTTTGATTTGGCAAATATGTTTTGAGGGTTTTCCCCTTTTGGGGCCAAAAAAAGCGACGACAGTTGTTGGTTTTCTACTGATTGAATTGCCATGTTTCGGTTGGGAAGCTGCTGGTGAGGAATATTGATAAAATCGCGTATCTGAACAAATCCGTTGTTCTATATTCCTGAAATACCACGAGACCAGCCAGGACATAGGTTTGGCTTTTATTTTTTTTTACCTTCTATCAAGCTTGTTAATTTTTTTTGCAAGCTCTGAAGCGTTTTGGCATCTATTGTGGTTGTTTTTCTGGGCCACTTAAACGTGTTTCTGGCTCTCGAATAAACGTGCTCTTTATTGTGGTTCGTTGTCCTGTCGGCCCATAGTGTAGTCCTTGGAAATGTCTATATATGTATATATATTTTTTTTTGGTCTGAACAATTATTCTGTTTTGGCTTTTACATCCATATTTTTCTACCCTGAATGTGGAGTGTGTGTGTGCTGGAGTGTTCGTCAGAGCATGTTAATTGAGGCATTTTCGATGGTGATTAGAGTGGGCGATAAAAAAATTCATCCAGACCAGATTCCCATTTAGATAGGGCTAATAAAATGCAATAAACATTAATTTTGCATGCCGAAAGTGGAATGCCAATTGGGGAATTTAGTAAAGTTATACTTGAGTTTTTTTCGAGTAGACTTTGAGGGGAGAGATGAAAAAAATATGAAAGCGACACTTGAGCATCTTTCATTGACAACAAGTGTCCTTTGACGAGGGAGTCCTTTAAGGGAAAGAGAATCAGCCGGTTAAGACGCAGCTGCGGCAAGTGTTGCCAATATATATCTATCTATATATTTGACAAGCATATGAAATGCTTGACAACAAGCAAACAAACATGACAGACAGCGTGTGGGTTTGAGGAGGAGCCACGTCTATATAGATATATATATCCTATATGGCTGGGGAGAAAAGCCAGACGGATTAGTTGGAGAAGGAGGCAATAGCACTCACATTAGAAATTGACTCTCAATGTATTAAATTGAATTGTTCATCATTGCTTGGAGTAAGTGTCTGAGGGTTTCGACTTTATCACTCAAAGCCAAACAATTGGCTCATTGTGGTTGACTGAATCCTGAATCCTGTCGTTTAAACTGCACTGGGATAAAATGTTTTTTGATTTCTTGAAGTTTATGGTTTATTTGGGTTTTATTTTCAAACAATTTTATTTATACACAAATATTTCAAAATAATAAAAAAATTAATCCGGGCTCAACCGGGATTTGAACCCGGGACCTCTCGCACCCAAAGCGAGAATCATACCCCTAGACCATTGAGCCTCTCATATTTGATCCGAAAAATAACTCAGTTTTAAGCTATGGTTTAGAGCCGAAGCCCCAGCTCATCATGCATAATTAAGTAGGTTTGGAAATGACCTACACAGTTTTGTACAACCGGTTGGGTGGGTTTTGTGTTTGTGTTTTTATGAAGATGCTGCAGGTGCAGTATAAAGCTAACAAAAAAGTGTTAGACATACTCTAGGTATGGATTATATAAAAGACTATATAAGAAATGTTTCAAAAATTAGCTTAATAAATATTTTAAAGCTCTTCTTTAAAATTAAAAAAAAAATCATATAATGATTAAGAAGCCATTTATATCCATTTTAAGGACCCTCCACTCCACTAATAGACCCTTGACCAGTGACAAATGAGAGTGCAAAATACTTGTCGTTAAAACTAATTAAAACAATTTAATTGCCTTTAAGGGCAAACGTGCAGGATGTGAGCAATTTTAATTGCCAAGGGCACACGTACAGCGTGGCCTCCAATTAGAGGACAGGAATAATAAAAAAGCGGGCCAATCTAGGACATCTGGCCAACGTGACAAGCACGGCAAAACAGAGCCAAAACACCAGAAAATAAAATGAAAAAAAAAAAATTGTTAACCGAAAACCGCTGTTGGAGTGGTGCTGCTGCTGACTCTGCTCGGAGTCAATAAAAAGCCAAATGGCC